GCAACAATAGCGCTGTACATTTAGATTTCGATAAGCTTAGGAGATATTTCGTCCGATTCAAATATTTTCCTTATTTATATTGAAAAGAGAGGAAAAGAAGAGAGGAAAGAAAAAAAAAGACAACAACAATAACAATAACAACAACAACAACAACAACAACAACAACAACAACAACAACAACAACAAAATGTTTAATGCCAGAACAAATGTTTCTTTTACATAATTCATTTATACCTCAATAGCGATAGTTTTCAAACTCAAAGACATTATTTTCCCAATCTTAAGGGCAACTCATTTTCCTTTGAAAACTATATAAGCCAGATGATTGGAAATAATTGGAAACAAAGCAATTTTTATTTTATAATAAATTGTAAATAAATATTTTATCTATATAAGGAAAACCGAAGGAGCAATTCATGTTTTTACGAGAGAAAAGCATCAATAATGTAAATATATTTCCTTAAGTCTAAAAAATCATGAATAATTAATTATTAATGATAATTGACGACTTTTTCATTTATCGGCAGTTGTTGAATCGAAAGTGTACAATGTATCGCCGAATGAAAGCTCATACGAAAAAATTATGCCGGAAGAAAGTTTAAAAATCAAAGTAGCTATGATCGCATTGACAATTGGACATTTGAAAATTCTTTATTCCCAAACTATAAAAGCAGTAAAGTGATCATCGTACGATGAAAATGATATTTTGCAAAAGGAATAGACGTTATGTTGAGCAAGCTGCAGATCATTAAACCCATTACTTACGCTTATCCTCGTAAGGAAAAGCACCACGAGCCCCCTCGGCCCCGTATGCCACCGTATGCTCATCGTTGTTTATTTCCCGCGCATTCCTCCGCTCGTCGAATAAAGGAACGAGAAAATACTTGACGCGGGCGCATCGACGCGCCATATCGACCGCGAGCGCTCACTCGGCCGAAAAATCTATAAGGCCGAGACGCGTACGTGGCTCCGGAAAATTCGCCGGCGTCGCGGGACTTTGGGAAAATTTGCCGGATGATGATGGGAGGCGCTTAGACCGGAGCCACCGACAATACGTGGCACTACGCGAGGCTGGACACGCGGTGACGGGCAAAAGTATTCCTATCGGCTCCGCTCCGCAAGTCCATGTCCCCAGCCGCTCAAGTGTAATGATTTTCAAGAATGATGGCCGCCCGCGCATTCATCGCTCTCTTATCTATTTATTCATTAATCGTGGGGCTAATTTTAGAAAAGACGTCGGTGCGCATCTCTCAAGCAACTATTTGCGGAGTCATAGAGAGCAGGATTTCACGGGAGTGTATCTGGAATAGCAATAATGTAATAATGTCCTTTTCGTTCTTTTTAATAATGCATCGAGTTTATTCATTATTAATGTTTAAAGTTCGATGAGTTGCTTTCATCTTGGGACGTTGATCGATAAATTTCAAGAGATTCGGTCAGCTTAATACCAAGTCAAGCGATGATGTTTAATTGAAGTGCGCAAAAAATCTTGTAAATAATAATAACAACTATAAACGATAAATTGGTGTGAGTGATTATATGTGAAGTGGCTGCGAGGGCGTTTAATAAAATTATCACAATATTACTCGTATTTATTTATATAAAGTTTTAAATTCCATTTGAAATTCGTCGAAAGGTCTTAATTCTTCGCCTGACATATTCTCCTACCTAATCTAAATATTGCACTTTCCATTAAATTCCCAAGCATCTTTATTTGAAAAATACTTTCGTCAATACTATATTACAATTACGATAATGAAAATGTATCTGCTTATAAATATATATTTGTGCGTGTATAAATGAAAGTATATTTTTCTATTGACAAACGTTTACATTGTATAGCTTTTAGATCGAAAGAACGAAGGATATGCCGTGGGCGGCGTCACAAGTAACTTAGTTATTGACATGGTTATAGCTTGACAAGCCAAGTACCAAGATTTTTTGCTCGATTAAGCTATTAATATTTATTTCCAATACCATCAGAATTTTAAGAATCGGTTACATTTTTTTTTAATTTTTTTATTTTGTATAATAAATAATATAATACAATCATTTTAGTGAAACTAATAGAATGTTTTTTACATTTACTAGATCGTGGGAATCTTGTTTAATGTCAACTTTATTCTCTCTTTTTTTCATTTTTTTTTTTTTACACAGAGAATTTATCAGTGTATCATTTTATTTTAAAATTCATTTTCAACTAAAACGATGCAAAATTACTAAATCTTTGTTTTATGTGATCATTTTCTAATCTCCTCAGTGAAACAAATATTTATAAAAAATTTGAATAATTATTTGGACATAGGAAAAACAAATTATAAATTTTATAATCTTTAGTGCGACTTAAATTTTTATTTATAAAATTATTTTATTACATTAGTTTTCTTTCATGTCTTTCCTTTCCCTATTGCAAAAACTACAACTGTACGTCAATATTGATATATAAAAATAAAATATTGTAAGATTATTATGTAGTAAGCAAAATAAATTGATATTTTTGCTTTGATATTCGGTAGTCCAATAGGCGAATACAATTTATCTTTTTATATATAAATTACTTTTACTAGGCAAATTTACATGTAAAATGCAAAATCATTCTATGTTAAAATTTTGATGATAACTAAATATATATATATATATATTTATTTATTTATTTATGATAAAATTCTGAACAAAAAACAAGTAGATTAAAGCGATATTATACATATGTAAAAGTTTATTGAAAATAATATTAGTAATGAGGATAAAAATTGAAATTTATTGAAATTTGTAGTTTCTTTTGCTGTATAAAAACAAGAAGATATAATTCATAACATTGGAAGATAACAATCTCTCAAGGGCATAATTCGAGGTCTACTTTATCAGATGGTTTCTGAACTACCTTGGGAACACCAAAGATTTTACTTTCTCAATTTTTTAGATATGAAATTTTTCAGAATATATGTGAAAAATATTTTTACAAATATCATCATACATTTACTATATGCTATAAAAATGCAGTTATTGACTTAAAATTCTGGTTATAGAAAATATTTTAAAATGTTAAATTATACTGCAAAACATTGTCAAATTAGATAAATAAAGTTCTTAATTAACAAATTTTCTTTGGTAAAAAAAAAAACAGAGGCGATTTATAAATAAAGTATTATCATAAGTTTTCATATACTAAACAAATGTTCATAATAGAAATATACTCGTCAATGTGAAAAATATATGCCATCCAAAGAAAGTCCTAGTTATCCTACTAAATGGCTTATCATCACATAAACGCGTACACCTTGGAATTGCAATATATTTAAAAATCTTAGAAATATAAGGGGGCGATACTTGTTCATTAAATAAATAATAAAAATCAATACAGAGCAACATTATAAAATATAATTTTATAATATGTTCTATGTATATATAGTGAAGTTTATGCAGAAAAGTGTCGCTATTGTATGAAAGAATATTTTTATTTTTTAGAATTATGAAATTATTATGATAAAAAATTAATAATTATATTATAATTTATGTACTAGAAAATCTAAACAATTATTTATTCGATTCATTATTACAGTTATCTTATTTTTAATGAAAATATACTTTCCAATCAAATATTACGGTAGTGTTTGAAATTTGTCTAATAATATATTAAATTCCCAATAAATTTAGAAATATATGCAGTATATAAAATAGTTCATTGAGATGAAAATTGTTGGGAAGAATTAAAATAATCAATAAGATATCTGAAATTACCAAAATATATATATGTTAATTCAAGTGACGCGAACTTAGGTTTAGGGAGACATATTACATTCGTAATAGTTTTAACTTTGTTTCCACTTTTTTAATTTACTTGTAATTATGTTTCAAAAAAGCTTATATATTTTTAATATTTCAATTTATTGTTCATTATATTTTCATATAATGCCATTTATACCAGAAAAATCAATGTAAAAATTGAATTTTTTTACTTTAAGGAATTTTATTTTTTTTTTTTTTTTAATGCGTATAGTAAACTTGTCATATTATTTTATTATCTAATTGTTACATTAACATTATATGTATGTTTATAATAATAATAAATAATATGATTTAACACAGTCAATGATAAATTGCATTTAATCGATTTGTTCTACTGTCAAATCGTACTTTCACTATTTTGAATTTGAATATCCATATATTAGCATAGATTATATAGATATCATACATTTATATGAATTATATGAAATATCTTTTTAAAGTAATAAAAATCTTTTATAAATATCAAATTTTTATAGTTTTGAATTAAAGATATATTCCCTACTGTATCACAATTTTTCATCTTTTTATTTCCAATTCTCTCACGGAAAATGGTATACGTTTCTATAAATATTAATAAGTGTAAAAAGCGCTTATAAAATAATATAGAAATAAATTAAATAGCAAATATACCTAATTAAAAAAAGTTTTGTTTTCACGAGGCAAGATATTGTTAATAAATCCTTAAAAAATTATATAGTAGTAAAACTGAAGAAATTTATGCTAAATTAATTTTTGTAAAACTAGCATATTAGCATAGTTTTGCAAAACTTTGTCCATACGCACATTTATTTTAAACAAAAATGATTATCTTTTTAAAATGTAACACGCCTTTTTACTACTTTTTACTTTTTCTATACTACAGCGATATATACTATCTGTTGCCAAATACTACTAAATATACTATAATATAATAAACTATTAAAATTAATTTCACTATACATCCCTATTACTATACTATATTATAGTATTAGTTATTCCTAGTGCCATTTACATAAATCTCGATAATTATTTAGTTGAAATTAATTTGAAAAACTATGAAACTATGAAAAATATATGCCTCGTTTACTCAAATAAATAATATAGTTTTTATTGAAATAATATCTTTCTAGTTTATAATGAGAATACGAAGCAGTTCATAAACACAGTTGATCGTAGTTTAGTTAATCGTTGAATGTTGTCGAACGAATGTCAGAAAAAATAATATTTTTTTACAGAATTGGAATGGAGGGTCGATTCCAAGCGAAGGGCGATGAAGCAAGTGGGAATGAGCAGATCACAATGAACAGCAAAAGGCCGACAATGACGCTCAACGTCAACGGCCTCTGGGACGTTGTCCCACGTTTAGATCACTACAGGTACAATCTGTTCATATTTATTTATCAAGGCGAAATTAACATCAACATTGATCACGCAAAAGCAAATCTTTGTTTATTAGTAGAAAAAAAAAGTCGAATTTAAACTCTCACTTAATAGCGTGCGTTGCTTTGATATTTTAACTGTACATTGGCATATTATATAATTAATTGCCTGGCTCAAATAAAATATTTATAAACTAAAAGAAATTATTATACATTATATAATATATAAATATAAGTATTTTTAAATATTCATATGTTCTTAAGTCAAGACATACGATATAAGAATTTATAATGATTATAATAATAATGATAATAATAATGATGATGATAATGATGATAATTATAGCAATAACTGCCGAATGACAAATCTACAAGTAAATAGTTCCTTTAATACTCGTATCTACAAAAGTATCCTGGATTAATATTTTGCCATTCCATACTCGAGATCCAATGAACTTTAATCGTCGGTATTCGCCAGACTTCAATTTCGCGTTAACGTCGCGAACAAATAATAAAAAAGTGCGACGTTCTGACGAACGTCAACAAAAATCGTTGAACCAACAGAATTATAAGCCAATATAGTTGTTACACATAAATATCCAATATTTAGCTATGCGCATGTATGCATGGAACTCTCACTCAATCTGTCTTTTTGTAGGCTTAGTAGACGAGCGAAGCGTCCATCTCTCGCTGAGCTACATGAGGGAAACCCCGCTAAGGTAAGCGGAAGTTGTCATATATCTTTTCTCTTTCTGCTTTCCTTCAGCCTCGCACAGCTAAGAATAAAGCTTCCAATCGATAATCCATCCAGTCCTCTTTCCATCCGTGTCTCTCTTTCTCTTTCTCTCTCTCTCTCTCTCTCTCTCTCTCTCTCTCTCTCTCTCTCTCTCTCTCTCTCTCTCTCTCTCTCTCTCTCTCTCTCTCTCTCTCTCTCTCTCTCTCTCTCTCTCTCTCTCTCTCTCTCTCTCTCTCTCTCTCTCTCTCTATATATATATATATATATGTGTGTGTGTGTGTGTGTGCGTGTGTGTGTGCGTGTGTGTGTGTGCGTGCGTGTGTGCGTGCGTGTGCGTGCGCGCGCGCTTGTGCGTGTGTGTATATATAATCTTTCACGCGCGTACAGGCATCTGCGTAAGTGTGTAGGCTGCCGCCGACGCGACTGGACGGCGCTTCGTATCCTTTTTTTTTCATTTTCTTTTTCATCGTCTAGCTGCTGTAAGCTTCAATTTATTGTTTTGTTCACTTACCGCCAATACCGCGAGAATGAGATATGCTTTCTTGTTTGCCGGCATCGATAGCAGGAACAATATGAAAAATATGCGTAGCTCGCAATTCAATTCTTTCTTCTTTTTTCCCATAAAGCAGGCAAATGCTTTCAATTATTACAAAAATTTTTTCCGTGTTGATCTTTTTTTCATTATTTGACACGATAATGAATTCGTCAATTTATAATTACGCTGGCGACTTCGAGTTTTTGCCAATTTAATTACAATACAAACGAATATATTTTTCACTAAAGTAATTGAAATAATATTTAAGTAAAAAATTTAAAAAAATACTTTTTTAATTTTTGCAGTATTATAATTAAATGGAATCTTCAGGGACTCTTTAAGAATTTTTAATATTTACCTCGAATTTATATTATATAAATTTATATATAAATACACAAATAATTATGAGTTGAGGAAAGATCGAAGGAATTTTATAATTACAAAATCACTACCTTGTGCATAATGAAAATTGTACTATTTGAAACATGTTTTCAATTAAGTTTTTGACGAGATTCAAGGTTCATGTTTTGTTAAGAAACAGATGAGAGGAGCTCGGACTAAGAAATCGAGACGCTAGAAATACTAAAAAATAACAAAGAATATAAACACGAACGTGATTGTCTTTAATCGCAACTGAATGGACGCAACTGAATCGATTCAAATTAGTTAACATACTTTTGTTATTATTGTATCTATGTTGACAGTCTGACAGCTGAAAGTAATTGCAAGAGTAATGCTGATAGCAGCTGATTAGCAATGATTCGAATGTAAACTTTTGAAGCTAAGCTTGGTAGTGCTGACCTTTTGAAAAAGTCAACTTCATTTAGTCTCTGATGTTGTTAATACATTAGTCTCTCTAATTGCGCACTGATAATAAACTCCGTAATTACCTTGAAATACATTTTATTAAAAGAATATTCTTTAGATTACCTCGAGTCTTGCTTGTATTTGATAATAATCACTATTAATATTAACATAAAATACATGATTTTTCTTTTAAAACACGAATTTTTTGCAAAACAAAATCATTATTTATTCAAGAAAAGCAATAGTAATGATACGAACAACTAGAGCTAATAGGCAATTCAAACATTTCAATAAATAAATACAATTTAGTGAAAATCTTCGGTCTTTCATAAATGATTTGCATAATCACAATTTAACTAAAATCAATAAATCAATACAATTAAAAAATTTTATTTTATAATAAATAAATATATTAACTACATTTTCATTTAACCTTTTATTTATATGCCTACATAAAATTACTGTTTAGATTGTTCTTTGAAAAATATTTCTAAAACTACTGTTTTCAAATTATTAAACAAATGTATAATGATTTCTATAAAAACTAGATATATAATTATATATATATATATATATATATATATATATATAACTGTAAAAATTTCAAGTATAAGAAAATGTCTTTTAGAAATCCGTGTGTGATTATATTATTATGTTCATTGCGTAAGCCTTATATATCATCTTTTTTTTTTTACGAAAATTGAGTAAGCTTTCACACATTAAATATTACTTTTCTCACAAATTGAACAATGTTATTCTGAAAAAAGGTACGTTTCTTGCTTATAAATTTAACTAAATTTTCGAAAATGTTTTCAAATTCTTATAATGTTTTTCATCAATTCAATAATATATATTGAATAATTTTTTCAAATTATATCTATACATATTTAAAGATAATGCTATTTAATTTTAATAATTAATTTAATATTATTGTTGTATAAAATGTAAAAAAAACAGATAGTGCGAATATTAAAGCTAATTCAGAAAAAAAAATATTTCACTTTCCACAGATATATATATATATATATATATATATATATATAATTAATTAATTAATTAAATTATGACAGCTTCATGAAGGTATAAGCATATTGAAGTAAATCCTTTATTCCTAAAGAAAACATTTTTGTGTATTTCTTTTTAGCCTTCCCAATAAATCTAGAGTCACAGTAACAATATCCTTCGAGAGCCTGAGAAGGAAAGTAAAAGCGATGTCACTGCCCTTAGGGAGGGCAAGTAAAGAGAGATGTTAAAGAAATAAAGGTGTATTTTGCGTAGAAAGCTTACATAAGTTAATACGAAGAATAAACACACTTCTACTATTCATAAACGAATGTTCGTATATAAATTATTGAATGAAACTAGGGGTTTGACAATAATGATATCAAACCTTTTTATATTTGATTGATAATTATTTTTATGATATAATAATAATTTGTCATTTATAATGCAATAACAATTCGTTTATATAAACATATTTATTAAGTTAACCATCGTTTGTAAAAGTATTTTAAATTTAAATAATTAATTTATGTTTAGTTAGTAAAAATTTGTATGAAGTAATCAGAATATTTTAATTTGTAAAATCCAATTAAAAACATGTTCGAATGTCTATATAAAACCGAAATATGAAGCAACAAGTGAAACAATTGCTTCTATCATTACTTATAACGATTAAAAATACTTTTAAATTAAAAACTAATAATGAAAACGAATATATTTAAATAACAATCTTATAAATGTAGATATATGTAAATAAATTGCGGGGGAGGGGGTGCGGGTATACGACCCAATTCTTTTTAATTGATCGAGAAATAAGTTTAATAAAATATAATTTTAGTATTTATTTCTAAGGAAGAAAGACTAATTTGCTTTATGCGTTGCATGTTTCATCTCCAAACAAACTAAAATGGAGATGGAAAATGAACACTCGTTCTCTCTTCTTCTTTCTTTCGTTTTATTTTGCTTCCCTTCCTCGTTTCCAACTACCATTTGATACGCGCAACAGATAAAATAAAAAGAAAATTAACAGACTAGACAATGTACACATTTCAACGAAAATGGAACATTATTTATTAATTTTAGTAGCCATCGTTTACAATTAAATTAAAAAAGACAAAATATCTGCTTTATATTAAAATTCAGAAACTCATTTTGATTAGAATAAAAGTGAGAAGCATATCTATCTCATTTTGGAAAGTGAAAAATCTTTTTTCAATGGTTTCTCACATCACAGGAAATCGATTTCAGCTTTTCTTTTCAATCTGATTTTTAACGAGAAAAATCACTATTTTATTAAGGATTTATAGCGTTTTATCGACGCGATAACGATGATTCGCATGATATTGCATAAAGTTTGATATTTTAAATAATGTTAATTTCAAATAAAAAAATTAACTAAATAACAAAAAATTCATATACTTTAATTATAATTTTATAATATTATCAATGTTTCATATACGACACACATATTGAATGATTTTAAAAATATTAATGATTAAAAAACTTTAATTTAATTACAACTCTTATTCGTAAATTATATATAATTATTCGTCTATAAGAAAATATAAATGATGATTATGCAACATAAAATGTCTCGTATTATTTTACAACATTATTTTTTTAATTTTATAATGTAGGTTGTAATAAAATTTTCTTATGATTGTGCTTCTGTTTACTCGTCTAGTTGATAAATATTTAGCTTTCAAGAATTTTTACATTAAAAGTACAATATTCGAGATATTAATTAAATTTAATATTGAAATAATTATACATTGATTCAATTTTACGAAAAAAAGCTTTTATTTTAGAAATTTATCGATAATACCAGTTGGATCAAATCAATATTTGAAGTTGTGTAAATTGTTAATATAAATTATTAAATACGTCGAATTCATTGCTTAATTAATCTAGCTAAAAAGAATTGCTCATTTAAGAAATCTGCTTTAGCTATCTTAGTCTACTAAATAAACACTCGTTTTAATATAAATAAATTAATTTTATGTTTACCTCATTTACACACTCTTTGGGTATACTTACTTATATATATATATATATATATATATATATATATATATCATATATGTTAATATTGTAAAGCTTGCCGCAGTAACTTAATACTTATATAGCAAATTGATATTTAGTATCGTATACTTAAAAAATACTTAAAAGTATTTACTTTTTATTATTCTTAACAATTCATCATAATAAAGTTATTAAAAACTATTGAATACGTGTAATACCAAATAACAATTTTTAAAACATATAGATGTTTCTTAACTTACTTTGTAGGCAAAGATATTTATACAACAACAGTTTATACAACAAACAATAATACATAACACATTTATAAAATAGTTTTCTTTATTAGTCATGAAATACAAGGACCGAAATTGAATTTTGTTCACATTCGATTGACCTATAAATGCATAGACTTTTCGATTTCTTTCAATGTCATGAGGGATCATATAAGAATCAGATAAAATCCCATCAAAGTGCAAAGCCATTTTTCTCCGACCCACAAACCAAATTTTACCCTCGAAATAAAATGCACTCATTACTTTATTGCACAGTATCGATAAAATGGAAAACTCAAATCTTAAATGGATCGCAATCATGGAGTATTGTAAAATTAGTTTATTAATTAATATATTTTCACTCATTTTTTTTTTTTTTTTTTTTATCCCTAATAATGATCGTTTATATATATATATAATTAAATGGAAAAATCTAAACGAATTCAAGCGTAATAGCGATTGTAATTAAAATCATTTTACAAAAAATTTCCGAAGCTAAAGTTAAATGAAAATATAAAAGTTTCAATGTATTCGAACGAATCATTATCTAACAATATGAACGTTCGAATACGAATGTCAATTTCATATAATAAAATACAGCAATTACCATTTCTTCGTATTTTTAAACTAATAATAATAATAACTGACTCCTCAAATAATAAAGCATCGTTAAATGTTATTAAACTTGGCTAATAGAAAAAAATGACCTACTTTTACGAAAAAGTACACAATTTATTAATTTTGAAATGTTGATAAAATTTTTAATTACATTAAAAAATTTATCATCCTCTGGAATATTAACGTTAAGTGTATTATTGCTTTCAATATTAGTAATTGATCTTTTTTACGAATATATATTTAAAAAGAAATTTATTTTTATTTAAGAAAACTTCTAACGAAGGATTAACTTTTATACTGATATTTGAAAATTTCAATATTATAAATAACAATGTTAATTACACCTAAAGATAACTATGTTAAAATGTATAAAAATTTATAGGATTAAAATGATAAATATGAATAATTTTTAATATCTATAGATAAATATTTTTCTATAAAATTTATAGTTTTTATTGCATTATTATTATTGTGCATTTAGCACAGTCCATTTGTAATATATAATTTTATAATATAATTTAATGGAATTATATTGCGTTTTTTATGACATAACTATCAGTTCTATCATATTTTATTTGGTAAATGATATTGTGACAGTTTATTATTAACATTTATATGTCAATATTAACATAAATATCTTAATAATATATTATATTCGACCAAATACTGGTAATGACAAATTCATCTTCATATTTCATTTGCATATTTTTATACAATTATTTGCATAATCTTGCACGCATCCTTGATTGCATTGAAGCAATGTTTTTTAATTTATTAAGAATAATAAATTATAAATAATATAGTACTATATTTTTCAACTTTATAAATAAATAACATTTCATAGTTTATATGAAATAATAAAGAAAAATTGTCATATAAATATAATTATACATATATATATATATATATATATATATATATATATATATATATAATATTCAGCTTTTGTGGATTTTGATATGCGCACATGTGCGTGCATTCATGAATTAATTAAAATATATCCAAGAAAGAATTTCTTAAAACGTAAGAGAATCATCCACTCGTGAATCATATAATTAGTAATGTAGTGAAGCCTTAAGCTTTAAGGGGAGGAAGAGCTTGAACTTTTGTAGGGTTAATTTGAGAAAGGGATTTTAATTAAATATTTCCGAGCTTGCGAGATAAGTAGATTGTCTGTCGGGTGAGGTGATGAGCAGCCAATTTACAACAATAGTTGCTTTAACATTGTCCTCTCTTTGCTTCTATGTGCACAGGACCCAATAAATGCAGCTAATGTGGAGGCAGGTTGGGCCCCCGTCGGGGCCCCGATCGTCCAACAGCACGAGGGCATAAAACTTGGCTGGATCCAAGGTGTCCTCATACCTTGCCTCCTCAACATCTGGGGCGTCATGCTGTTCCTGCGGTTGTCCTGGGTCGTAGCTCAAGCCGGAATCCTCCACTCCTGTATCATCATCGGCATATCAGCTCTTGTCTGCGTCATCACGACCCTCAGCCTCAGTGCAATTAGCACTAATGGGGAAGTGAAAGGAGGTATGTACGTACTTTTACGGCTCTTCCGCCCCGTCCCACTGCCCCTCACCACCCAGCCGCCCCTTTCCCCCACCCAAACGCCCCATCTCCGTCGCTTTAACGCTACACGTGTCGAGGTTCAAGGAGTGCCGTGAAGCGTCCGTGGGTGCACGGATACGTTTACACCCGCACGTGCGCATACATATTTCTATTAGGGAGGCATCGCGAGGGTAGAAAAAATGTCACTTAAGTGCTAAACGGCCATAATGTGTGGTTGGGACAATGCAGGCGTTACGATCGACTTATGCTGGAAAATTGTCTCGATTATTTTATTGTTAAACGGATCTCTACCGATGCTTATTAGGTAATTAATATTCCAGTGAAAATTCGGCTATTCAAGGCTACGCTGCACTCTGCGATCTTACATTCTCATAATCCTTTCAATATTTTTTCAAGATCTTTCGGTAATTTATGTAATGTTTAAGCTAATACATCAGCAATATCGGAACTATTATATTATAACAAAATATTCTTTTGTCTTATCATTTTATAAGGTAGCGCGAATTTTCTAGTTTTATTGCATTTGAAAATGGCTCGAAAAATGACGATTATGGATATTGTGAGAAGTATTTTTGCAATTAGGGAAGATTTCATCTTTGATGCAAAAAAGTACCCGTTCTAACTACAAATCTTTATCATTTATACATAATAATATCGTAAATGTATGTAATTATAATTTTTCAAATAAATATAAAAAATAAAAACGCTACGGACCGATTAACAAAGATTACCAGATAATGTATACGTTTTAATTGCTGAGAAAATATGTCAAAGAAATCGAATGGAAAATAAAAACAAAAAAGCAAAAATCGAAAAAACAAACGAAATTTAGTTAAAAGATTATTTTTCGTTGTTCATTAGTTATTGATTATTTCAACAACATAAAATAATTAAGAATTATTCATAAATCTCGATCGACTTTCTAATAAGTGAGGTGCAACTTGGTGTCATAAATACATTTCGAATATATGGAGCTCGTCAGCTTATCGTTATTGCTATAACATGAATTTTATAAATAAAGAATTTACACAATTTTTACTTTTAATTAATTAATTTTTAACTTTCAAAGACGCGAATATCAATAAGAAAGAGCAAAATGACTTTGACAATCCACTAATATATAATTACAGTAATAGGGAGAATTATTTTGTCAAAAAATACGACATAAATAATACATAATAATCAAATCACTTTTACAACCAGAAAATAAGGTAGTAAGAGGATAAGTAATAGATGGAAGGGAGACTTAAGAGACGAATTAGGGAAAGGACGAAGTAGAAGAAAAGCACCTATTGGGAAACTGTGATATCTAAATAGAATTCTAAGTTTATTGATCGATCCCTTATTTATGTTTATTCATGACCTTTATCAATTTCATTCGAATAAATGGTTTAATAACAATTTCTTCTTAACAACATTTAACGTTCGATTAATGACCTTTTTAATTCATTGTATTTCTATTAATTTATATTCATTGCAATTAATATCGAACGTGACATTTATGCATTTGTAGAGTAAGAGTATTTTTCTCTTTCGTATATTAAAATCGTAATATTTCTCGTCAATTTAATTAAAAAAGTATTTGTTAACTTTTAGCAATATTTCAAACACGAAAATTTCCAAGTATATAAAATACCGAATTTCAACTAATATTTTTGATGCCAAGAAAAGATAAAAATATTTGTTAAAAAGTTTTTATTTACTTTATTTACTAATGACGCATATTTACTGCACTCCAATGATATAAATAATCAATCTTCAAATCAGTCGTTTGATAATGCAATTACGCTAACAAAGAGCATTACCAGTCAGCTTCATCTATTATTAAAAGTACTTCAAACTCGACGAATCTCAAAATCCTCGAACCAATTCATTCATTCGTTCAAACAATTATCCTCGATTCAGGTAGGCGATTAAACTTACATTTTGAAGTTTATCGATACTTATAGATCGATACGCAGTTATTTTCGTCTAAATATACGATCGTTTTATCTTAGTCACGACAACTTACATTTGTTTAAGGTTGAGAATTAAGTAATAAAAAAGTAATGTACAAGTCATTTAAGAAGATCGTCGATATTGAATTCACAAGTGTAATACATCCAATAAGGAATGACAAAATAAATTATATATACATTATCCTGACATTATATAATATTAATATTACTTAATTAAGAAAGCCATCCGGGCAAAATCGACGAAAATTAATAAATTCTAATAATTTTATTTTCAGGGGGTATTTATTTCATAATATCGAGATCTCTTGGTCCGGAATTCGGTGCCTCGGTCGGCATCGTCTTCGCCTTTGCCAATGCAGTCGCCGCTTCCATGAATACAATAGGCTTCTGCGATTCATTGAACGAGCTACTTAAAGAGCATGGATTGAAGATCATCGATAACGGAGTTCAGGATGTGAGGATCATTGGAGTCGTGGCTATTTTGGTGATGATCTTCATATGCGCTATTGGAATGGAATGGGAGTCCAAGGTAAAAAGACATCAAAATCATAATTGGTTAAAGGACTGGTCATACCCACTGAATATTAATATCTAACATTCTAATCATATATATTTTATCAATATTTCATCTTCTTTTCTTTTTTTTCTTTTCATTATTATATTGTTCCATTAAATATTCGATGACATTCCGATTTCATAATAAAATAATGTGCAAGTATTTTAAATAAAAATTTGAGTAATATTTATAGGCTCAGAATTTTCTCATCGCAATAATTGTTGGTGCTATCTTCGATTTCCTGATTGGTGCTTTAATTGGTCCTAGAACTGTTGAACAGGAAGCTTCAGGATTTGCTGGATTTTCTGGTAATTGATGATTTGTATATTAATATATCTCTTTAATATCGAACGATTAATAAACATTTTTTTTAAGGCCTCGCGAATTACATCGCTAAATTCAATAATCGAAACTATGCAACTCATATGCCGTGCATAATATGGTACAATATTTTAATTTCATTTGTGAAGTATAATAATTTTAATAAAACTCGACTTTAACTTGAATATTTCTACATATTTCCATTAAATAATGAGCCGATATTTATAAGCGATGTGAAACTCTAATTGCTAAACCCATAAGACCCCATAATTTAATAATAAAAACTTTTCTAGAAAAAATATGAATTGCTATAAAATATAAATATTCAATGGCATTAAGTGATTTTTTATATGGAAAATGCCAATTGAACCGCACGAATAAAAGATTTCAAGTATAAATATTGGTTTATTAAAAAAAAAAAAAAAAAAAAAAAACAAAAAACAAAAAAAAAAAACAAAAAAAAACAAAAAACACAAAAAAAAATGATGACTAAATAACAAAAATGAAAAATAAAAAAATTATAATAGGCAATAGTGCGTGTTTTGGAAGAAGTAAATGATAAATATAATAAAATTAATATTTAACAAAGGGTTGTTTTATAACTATAAATTCTTTATTAAAATGTACTGATAGTATTTTAAACTCGACATATTTTATCATCCGCAAGTAATAATTTACTACACACGATGATAAATTTTATTATATATTACAGCATCTTCGCGTATTAAAGTTATTTACTTTAAACTTTCATCAAAGAATGACGAAATCTTCGAAAATCATAAGCATAGTAAAAGCTACGATATATCGATAATTAGAGACAGAAATTGAATTATAAATTAGAATCTGCATAAATTTACCTACCAAACATATCACAAGATTGTATATAAAGTCTAGAAAAAGTCTTAAAGTTCGTGGAAAATATTATCTTTAATAATATAATATCTTTGCTAATATTATCTCCTTTGATTTAAATATTTTCACTGATTTACCTATTGAGTTTAAGAACATTTTAAAAGTCTTAAAATAAACGTTGGCATTGAATGAACATTAAGTCTCATTCGGTTTATCAATTACGCGATCAAATAGTATTCCGTAGATCATGACTTGATGGTTTAAAAATCAAATATCCATATAGAGTTATCCATTTCGAATGAACTTTGCTAAAATAAAAAATTGGATATATTTTGTATTATATATTTTGTATTATATACGCCGTTGATATGACCAGCAGATTGGTAAGCTTGTTAAATTGCGAGGACAATTGTCCCAAGCAAGTTAATGCGGTGAAGAATTGTAATAAAGATGATTGGCCCAGGTAAGGTATTCCTGGACAACTGGCTGCCCGACTACCGCTACTCCGAGGGAAGCAATCAGACCTTTTTCTCCGTGTTCGCGATATTCTTCCCGTCGGTGACGGGCATTCAAGCCGGCGCCAATATATCCGGTGACCTCAAGGATCCCGCGAGCAGCATACCCGTCGGCACTCTTCTGGCCCTCCTCATCTCCATGATCAGCTACGTGACGTTCGTGCTGTTCGCAGGTGGGGCTGCCCTGCGCGACGCCAGCGGACTCATCGCCAACGGCACCGCGCTCCCCTGCTTACCACCCGACTGTAAAAGTGGACTCTACAACAGCTACGCGGTAGGCACACAAATCCACCCCCATCCCCATCCACTAACATAGGGGCGATTGTTCATGGGCGAGAGGGAGCGCCAATTCTTACGAACTCTGTCGCTTTCGATCTCCTTTGTAAATGTACTCGCCCGTATCCTTATTTCCTTCCCTCTTTATTATGATGCGCCCCTGCGAGTTTTCAGGATAAATTTTTCATGTTTCGTTTAAACAAAAACAAAAACAAAAAAACAAAAAACAAAAAACAAATAACAAAAAAACAAAAAAAAAATAAAAAAAAAAAAGAGAGAGAATGCGTATAAACGAGCTTGCTTCGTTTCTTTAATGACATTGACAAAATTTGGCAATTTGCCATTTGAATCAAATTAATTGCTTAAACGATGTTTATATAGATGTTTATATAAATTGCCATATTATAAGGCAATTTGAAGGCCGCATAGGTGAAAATCATTTTTGACATGTTTTTTTAGTCCGTGATAAATTTGGGAAATTTTTTCGAAATTAAAACTATGACATATGAATAAGTTGCTACATTCTATTATTCGATAAATCATAATAACATTGTCGAATGTACCGTGATCGTTTCAAAGATCATGCTTTTTTCAATGTCTAAAGAATTTCCCACAATAAATTGATTTAATTTATTGTTCCTATATCACCGATACGGTTGACTTATATATGTATTGCTCGTTAAATTGATAATACGCCTAAGTCAATTTGTCCTTCTTTTTTTCATCGAAATAAATTTACGACGCGAAAGTTGTAGTGAGCTGGAAGTTTTGTAACAACGTGTGTGACAAAAGCAATAATCTACTAAAGGCTACTGTGACGTGGCCACCGTGTCATTGATAAAATTGTTCTAATTCAAAGCAATAGAGGCGGTGTATGAAGTGAGACGCGCTCGAACTGTTTTCATTGTTGATAAAATTCTTATGTTAAATTTATAGTAGAAAGCTGATTAGAGAGAATTCCATACTGCGAAAACTTTTCAATACTTCGTTGGCTTCAATTCAATAATTAAGGTCAAGTTCAATGTTCGATTTTTAACTTCGTCAAGCCTAAATATCGAAGCCTAATATTCCAAAATATCTATAATCTACCTAAATTTCATATAATTAAAAAGAAATTATCGTTGATATCGTTGGTATAGAATTTTTATAAAAACTGGCATGAAAATAGGGATGTCGGGTGAACCGATTATGTATGAAATCCCTTGATCTCTGATGAAATATTTCGGTAAATATTTCACTTGGTATACAAAAAATTATTTAAATAATCTTGTTCATCAAATACGATTCGTAAAGTCTCGAAAAATTCAATTTCATTTTAATTTACTTTTTAAAAATTTATTTTCATTGTTTTAATGATATTTAACAATTTTATTGTATTTTTATTAAAATTTTACTCATTAAAATGATTGTTTTTATAAGTAAATTCAAGGAAAAGCGTGAACGGGCTCGCCTTTGTTGATTTTTTTGATAAGTCAATTAAAATCGAGCACTCTTAGCCGTGTCAGTATACCTTTGAAAATATCTTTGAAGTCAAAGTCAAGTTTCCCTTCTATTGAAACACGCGTTTACGTTAAACATGTCAAGTATTCTTAACTAAAACAGCATTGAAATAAACAATTTATTAAATTTAACATTATTTATGAAAATGCAACAATAGGAAATGGATTTTCATGTGGATTAAAGTATAATTCTTTTATGTCGATAAAGTCGAAAGTGAGAAGATAAATAGTAATAATGCATGAAAATAAAGTATAATTAATATAAATAAATCTTAAATAATATCACCCGTATAATAATAACAGACAAATACTTTTAAATTGATGAAAATGTAGTATTAATAAAGCTATTTGCTCGCTTAATTACTCTAAAAGAAAACTTTCTTCTAAATTGTTTTGTTCGTATGTGCAACTTTCACGCTAAAACATTTGAAAGTATATTTTTCTTGAATCGAGTTCAATAATAATTTTTATATATCTAACGTTAATATAACATTTATTCTTTTTTTCTTTTTTTTCTTTTTTTTCCTTTTTTCTTTTATTCATGCAAATTCAATCCAAAGAGGATAACAACATTTGTGTACATTTTATAATAACTTTTTCTACATGATATTTTATAAAGTGCAAACGCACTTACTATTCGTATTAACTATTTTCATTGAGAATTCATTAAAAATTAGGTAAATAAATTGTGTTAAACTGGATATTTTTTAATTTAATTTTATATTCTAAAATAAATAATTGAATCGTCGTATTAGTTAAAAAATATTTAAATAGCTGAGCAGCCTTATAATTATTAGGAATTACTATTGAAACAGACGGTATGTAGAATATTTATAATATTTTTATAAGTTTTTCTAAGTACTACATAATTTTTATTGCTAAAATCCTTGATGTCGATGTAAATAAACTTATTTGTTCGAATCATGTTGTCTCCTAGCTTTAACAGTAAAATGATATTTTTCTATTTTGCAAACCATAATTAAAATCCATTTAAAATAGTTTATAATTAAAAAGACTCGAGCGGCACAAAAATTTCACATTGCGCAAGTGTACATAAATTTTTATTCGTAAAAGAAAAAATCAAATAATAATCAAATTATTATTAATTTACACATACAAATTGTAGAATAAGCATTTATCTAAAATGCAAGACGTCTCCTTAATACTGAGATGATCGATGATTTATGATTATATTTTATCAATAAACTTAGGCAACGGCATTAAAGTTAAAAGCATTCGAGCTTAAGTAGACACGGAGAAAAACTCCAGGCTACGCTCCTTCCCCAAAGTCTTCAACTCCACTACATTATGTGTCTTCCTACTCATATAAAGATTACAATTATATTAAAATGCATTATTAATATGCGAATAATAATAATAGTAATAATAATTTTGTAATTATATACATCCTAGAGAGATCTTAAAAGTTACTATATTTAATGTTTCTATGTATAAAGCATAGATAAGGTGAATTCCTCCATCTACATGCAAAAAAATAAAAACACCATTACACCATTATACTACACCATTTTAATGATATATTGCGAGAAGAGCCTCGCGTGCGATCAAAATCTATATTAAAATTATTAAATTAAAGTTAAATCTACATTTTTACGCTCTTCTTGGCGCGCAGGTACGTCAGAAGCGCGTCTTTATCTAATTGCAAAGGTAACCTAACGTATCTCCGAAAAGCGCACGATGCTATGGGGGCAAATGGGGAGGGAAGCCCAAGTAAGTACGGATAGTAATGCATATTATTGATCGATGCAGATGATGCAGTTAATGTCAGTCTGGGGTCCATTCATCTACGCGGGTTGTTTCGCCGCGACCCTCTCGACGGCCTTAACGAATTTACTGTCGGTCCCCCGGCTCATACAAGCCTTGGGTCAAGACCGAATTTACCCGGGCTTAATCTACTTCAGCAAAAGTTATGGGAAGTCTGGCGAACCGTACCGAGGCTACGTGCTCACCTTTTTCGTTGCTGCTCTCTTTCTTCTCATCGGTGAGTAATTGGTAATTCGATTATATTCAGATCGTCGCCACTGGCACTTTGCTGCAGCCTTTATCATTGTTGCTTTCTGCATTCTGCACTTTGTTTGCTTTGGTAAGCTTAGAGCTGAAAGATGCGAGTGTTATGCCATCCCTTTTTTTTTTTTCTTTTTTCTTTTTTCTTGTTTCGCTACTTTCTTTCTGCTAGAACTAATTTTATACATATCATTCGGCACTTTGCTCACTTAATTGATTTTGATATTGGATTTGGTAACGCACTCGCAGAAAAATCTCTCGCCTCTCTTCGTTGCTCACGGATACCTGATAATATGGCAAAAGCGAAGATTACCGTGTTACTAAAAATATTTAATTTCAATAACAATTTGCAAAGCTTTTTTTTTTTTTTGTCAATATTATATCGTATAATTAATTTTCCACACCTATATAGGAAATATGTAGGAAATGCATAATGAACACTAGCTTGAATTAAAGTACGTATGTGTATATTCCATTAGTAGGATGTATAATTTTTGCAAAACATGAAAGTGTATAGAGTTTCGCGTAATGTGTTTTCGATTATCTAATTAGAGCAGTGTACGCATTGATATGTATATTGTGTGTGGGGGGGGGGTAATCTTTTAATTAATTTCTTTTCCGACATTTGTTACAATGCTTTTACGTAATATAAAGGCTTTTGGAATATTTCAAAGACTACTCAATTAATATACATTTTATTAAGTTCAATCGAAAATGGAATATCGTACTAATTTGACACCCTATGTATATATATATATATATATATATATATATATATATACATACATAGGGTGTCAAATTAATGAAATACAATGGAAAATGTTTTTTAATAAAGTATTTTACTAGTTATTCGTAAATAAGCACTGCTTTTTAATTTCTCAGCAACGTTTTCTCAATATATTCAAAATTCGCACAAGTACACTTTTATAAGGAAAAGGCAGCTTGCCAAACGTTATGATGTGTAAAATTAAAAATTTCTCAACGATACAGTATTACAAGATCGGTAGAATGTAATTATATAAACGCGCGCCTTCGCATTTCCCTGTGAGAATTATATAAATCTCCTGGAGCGATATTAAAAGCATGTATAGTCGACATGGAGGCGAAAAGAAAGGAGGATTCTCAACTCAAGTCAAATGGAATTTCATATTCATTCCAGCAAATCTAAATGCAGTGGCACCCCTAATCTCGAATTTTTATCTCGCATCTTATGCTCTCATCAACTTCTGCACATTCCACGCAGCGCTCGTACGTCCGCTGGGTTGGCGACCGACATTCAAGGTAATAAAAAATACATTATCCGCGCTCTATTAAAATTAGTTACGGGACGGGCAGGGAGCATGGCGGGGGGGGGGGATATAATGGCTTTTCCTCGCCGAAATTCAGTTATTTTTCAGTACTTTGGTGAATTTTTTCTGTCTTTAAGAGGAGGACGAGATAGCCAGTAATTATTTGTTGTTTTTCTAAATAATAATTTAGACAGAGATTTATTAAATTTAAGCTCAACGTTCATTGTATCATGTAAATCTAATGCAACACCTATGCTCCAATCCATGAAAAATAGCTTTGAATTTGAATTATTATAAATTTGAAATGTCGAAAAGTCGAAAGAAAATTTCTTTTCAAATCTCTATTATTATTATTATTATTATTATTATTATTATTAGCGTACGTACTCTGCTTATAATTTCGAATAATTGGACCCAATTGTGGATGTTGAATCGAACAAAAAAACCATTAAAAATCGAGAGAAGAGAATCTCGTAGACTTGGATTGCAAAACAGAAAGTACAAGTTTTGATATATCAACGTATAATGAACATTGAAACGTTATGGAAAGCGACGCAAAGAAGAGTTGACACAAAGCTACAACAATAAATACCCTTTTCTATGTTCAATTTGCAGTATTACAACACGTGGCTCTCACTTCTGGGATTCATCGGTTGCGTAGCAATTATGTTTCTAATCGATTGGGTAACGTCACTAGTTACGTTCGTCATCATATTCGCTCTCTATTTGATAGTCGTCTACAGGAAACCAGACGTCAATTGGGGAAGTAGTACACAAGCGCAAACATATAAAACGGCCTTATCCATTGCTTATAGGTAGGTATCTAATCTCGTATTATTCATTTATATAAAAAAAAAACAAACAAACAAACAAACAAACAAACAAACAAAAGTAAAAGTAAAAAAAAAAAACAAACAAACAAACAAACAAACAAACAAACAAAAGTAAAAGTAAAAAAAAAAAACAAGAAAAAACGTATAATTATTAATCTTCTACAGTTTCATTCCTTTTTTTTTTTTACGTGACATTATTATTATGAGTCTTTGCGCTTCCTTACATGCTATTATTGCTTGCTAATAAATCTTTTATCGTTTGATTCTCTGTTTCTCTATGCTCTAATGTTTTTAAATGAGAAAAAAAAATCGTTTCGCTCATGCAGATATATAATTAAGAGAATGCAAACATTATAATACTTCTCGAGTTAATCGAGAATGACCTATTTGTTTATAGAATCTTTATCTTTAAAGTTTGGACCACGAGCCCAATGATCGCCACATGTGAAACGATTAAGCTATCGAGGCCAAATTAAATAATAAAATATATATATATATATATATATGATGACTAGATCGCAGATTCACTCAGTGACGTTTTGACTATATTGTTAGAGAAATATTAATAATTACAACTTAGACCCTTAGACTTAGATTTTATAATGTAAATTAGCTGCGCTCGCATCATTAAACATTATCTTCACTGCTGTTCGTAAAATTAAATAATGTGCATTTATTTTCAGACTGAATTCCATAGACGAGCACGTGAAAAATTATTGTCCCCAGATTTTAGCCCTCACGGGAGCACCAAACGCCCGACCAGCGTTACTTCACTTAGCTAATCTAATTACCAAAAACAACTCGTTACTCATATGCGGTGAAATTTACCCGGTAAGAGCAATTTTCATCTTCAATCATACGATTGCCATTCACGTACAATAATTTCTTATTCTTATATTATTATTAAAATAGTAATAATCACAATCACTATTGCGAACATTAATAGTAACTTTATTTGTTGAATCGATTAAGTTGAATATGACAGTGAACTTTTTTAAAAAGAAAAAAAAAGAACAAAAAATTTTATTTCTCTCTCTTTTTTCTTTTCTTCTATTTTTCATATCCTTTTATTTATTTCTTAATTCAATTCTTTATATTCACTCACTTCTTCGCAATCGTGTGATTTTCTTATTATTTCGAGCAAGGAGTGCTTGCCATTTGTCACTTTGAATTATAAATAAATAATGCAACGACTATAATATAAGCTTATTAACATGAGAATTTAATGTGTCGTCGACTATTTCATGTACGCAAATGTTACATACATCGAATCCTCGTATACTACTACTATTTATAAAATCTTAATTCATAATTCTCAAGCTAGTTACCAACCCTTCAATTTTACTCATAACTTTGCTGAATTAACGCATCAACCAGCCGACGAGTGCATTGACGGTGGTAAGTAACGCTCATCCTACCCGCCCCCTCCTCCTTCTCCTTCCCATTATCAACTATTGCAAGTAAACAAATTCACGATTAAGGAAAGCACAATGACGTCGTCGCGATTGAATGCGTGCTAATAGCAATAATCAAAGGCTCTACGGGACATGAATTTACATTGCAGTCGCGGATGTCGTATCGCGTGCGCTCGGCTCATCTTCGAGGTGGCTACGCCTGGCTACAACGACACCGAATAAAGTCCTTCTATCATGTCGTGGAGGAGCTGAGTCTGGAAAAGGGAGCCTCGGCCATGATGCAGACATCCGGAGTTGGCAAGCTGGCGCCTAACGTCGTCCTCATGGGCTACAAGACCCATTGGAGTAGTTGCAGCTACAAGGAGCTCCAGGAATACTTCAACGTGCTACAGTGAGTAGTCGCTCGTCCCCTGCCACTACCGTCTTCTTATTTTCGTTTTTGTTACCAATCCCCCCCCCCAACCCCCACCCCATCCGCCAACCGCCCATTTTTTCGCCCTCTTCGTCTCTCCTTTACTCGCTTAAATCCGACTCTTCGAAACGCTCACGATCTCTCCGTCGCATGATCGAATGCCGCCCTTTCCTTATCGGACGATAAAAAAGATGTTTCCATGGGGATACCTCCATCCTCCCCAACCCTCGAATTTCATTAATCCCAAGGATTTTCACCATGTCATCTTACGAGGCTTATTTTCTCTTGACTCTTTCGACTGGTCTTAATGAATTTTAGATTTGTATGTAAGCTCTTTATCATCGACCTTATGATTGTCTTCCTGTTTATCCCCTTGTCATGCAAATTTACCATATTAGATTAATTTATTGCCTTATCGTCCTCGTTACGAAAGCCATTTATTTCTCGTTTAAATTTTTTAACGAACGATTTATTTGTTCACTTCTGTCGAGTATGAACTTCAATGCTCCAACGTGGATTCGGTATTTGTTGTTGTTGTTTTTTTTTTTTTTTTTTTTTTTTTTTTTTTTTTTTTTTTTTTATTAAATATTCAAAGTACTTGTTAATTGAATATTATTATATACCATCATTGTGAGGGTGCGCGTGTAAAAGCGGCTAATTATGCTCATTCAGAAAATCAAATTAATTTTCTTATTTGAATTGAAATTAAAATGAAATTAATACTTTGTACTCATTCTTATTCGCAAGATTATATTGTTTTTAAAAATTTTTAACCTATCGCATTTTAAAACAAATAGAATAAATAATATTCAATCCGATATAAACATAAACATTTATCTCTGCATATATATTTATATATTAAGTTATATGAAAAATATTATGTCATTACTCTGATCGTTGCATATTTTTTAAAATATGATTTGCAGTGAATATAAGATAAAATAATAAAAAAATTTAATTATATGACATTAAAGTTCCCTTTAAAATCATATATAATCGTTCTTATTGTGTATGTTCTTAATCAACGATAAATTCATTAGATTTTATCTTAAAATATATGTAGTTAAATCATAAAAAGAGACTTTTGATTTATCATATCACCATCGAGATCTAAAATTTGTATTTGATTTGAATGATTTATTTAAGCGAAAATACTGATTTATTCCATAAATTTCTGTAATAGTTAGTGTATGAATCTAAATAAAAATTGCAATTTTTTATGTTCATTTTGCAAAATAGTAATAGAATAGAAAAAAGTAGTAATAGAAAAAAGTAATTAAATGTCTGCTCTTACGGTTTTTTTTAATAGTACAGAAATCATTTTTCTATATAACGATTAATCTACAAATAAATATTGTTAATTTTGATTCATATGAAAATAATAAGTAGTTTTTATCTACATAAAAATAGATGTTTAATAAATATATAAAACTTTCCTACTCAAAAAATTTTGCTATTTATTATGAAATTGACATTCTAATGAAATTTTAATTAAAATTTTCAAATTAATATATTAAAACTATTCAATAAAATTATTTCAATTAACCTTGATATTGTATTGATATTTCATTCTCCAGCTTTTTAATATATCATTATTCAACGATAATTTTATCCTCATCATTATAATCATCATAATCATCATAATCATCATAATAATCATCATTATTCTCTTTGTTTTTATTATTCTTATTGTTAATTTTGCTGCTGTTGTTATTGTTCTTAATGTTTAGTATAATGTTATAGCTTTAAGTTAGGCTTCATAATTTAAAGTAGATCATGTCGGTATGCGACCAGCCTTTACGCAATATATCATAATTCTTATTAATAATTGAAAGTAGCTAATTATATTAACTTATTGTATTATATATTATTGATAATAATTATATTATCGAATGCTAATTAATTAGCCATTGAGCAAATAAATTTCCATTACTGTAATAAATCAACAATATGAGCAATTTTTACAACAAATATCTCTGTTATTTTATGTTATTGCGTACGTAAATATCTAATGATCTATAAGTAATTGAAAAGGTATTCAATCTTATAGTTTGATCATTAAGAACAAGACAAAAATAATAAGTGTTAATTTTAAATATGAAAACAGCAATAGAAACTGAATGTTACATTAAAGAAAATTGAGAGGAATAAAATTTATGTAGTTGATCGATAGAATTTAGTTAAGATTCAAGTGAATTTTATCTAATTTTATATAATTTCTTACTCTATTATTATTATATATAAATTTACCAAATTCTTATCACTTTATAAAAAAAGTTTCAAAAAGATATTTTCAACTATTTTCGACCTGTATTGAATATGTTACAAGTTACAATTACCAACATTGACGTGAATTTCGATATTATTTTGCTTTCTCGTTATGGCAAGCCCCCTCCCCCACCCATCCTTACCGCCATCAATCAATGCCAATATATTTATATCAGAGAAATTGAATACTACATAAATCAACGACGTTTCTCACGCATCGCACTTAAAATCAGCAACAATGAAATTTCTTATTAGACATGTTATATCGCGAACTGTGCAATTTACTCGTACACAGCTTTGCCCGAACCGTCGTTATGAGCATCGATCGATAGCAATTGCCAATATCTCAATTGAGTGGTGCGTTTATTATGAAATTCCAAACATAGATAGCACATTGTTTTTAGCAATGCCTTCGACCATCGACTGGCGGTGGCGATCCTACGAATCGCCGAGGGTCTCGATTGTTTGGGGATCGGCAGCAGTGGCAGCGCCGAGGACGATCCGCAACTCGTCCAGAGCAGCTACGACCTCGCGGGCAACACCCTGATGCACGCCGACAGCGACCTGTCTATGAGCGGACGCGGCATCGCTCGAGTCCAAAGTGTCCCGACCATAGGTGAGCCCACTTGTCGAATCGGGATATTTTGAAATAAATCAACATCGCGCGTGCTTCGTACATTTCCCCCCACCCCCCCTCTTCATATCATTCTCTCTCTCTCTCTCTCTCTCTCTCTTTCTCACTCTCTCTCTCTCTCTCTCACTCTCTGTCTCTCTGTCCCTTTGCGTCTCTCTGTATCTCTCTAAAATATCGTTTATGGCCTTGTCCCATAAATTTCGTTTGTGCTTGATACGTCTATCCAAGCGATGTCTCCCTCTTTTATTATTTCTTTTTTCCGCCTATTATTCTAGTTGATAGTTTTTTTTATTTTCGTGTAATCGGTCGAAGCTTAATTAGATTGAATAAGGCCTTTCTTTTAGGCATCGTAAAATTTTTCATAATAGTTTAATAAGATTTTCAAAACTTTTACAATTAATAAAAAAAAAAAAAAAAAAAAAAAAAATGACTTTTTTGTTGGTCCAGGAAAATTAAATTAAAAAACTAATATCACAATTTAATAACTCTATAACTTTTAAACTTTTAAAGTTCATAATATTCTATTTTGTGCAATTTCATTTGTTTTTGTTTTTTTTTTCTTTTTTCTTTTTTTACTTTTAATCACACTTTATTAATATAATACTTTGTTTAAAATGCTGCATTTCATGTAAATTGAACTCAAGTAACTTAATGTAATCTATTCCACATATTTCCAATAAAGTAATTTATTTAAGATATTATGCAAGCAAAAGAATTTATTTAAAGCATTATAAATAATATTTCGTATTTAATTGATTTAATTAAATCATTCGACTTATTTGTTAAATTAAATGATAAACCTCTCACATATACTAGGCTCATATTTAATAATTATGAATCAACAATATCGTAAAAGTGATTGAAATAATTTTTAAGGAACACAATATATTCCTCCGGAATCTACTGCGCCAATGCGAGATTCTCCAACTCATTGGAACGCTCGAGAACAATTGAAGAACAAAAAGAGACACATTGCTGAAAAAATGTTAATGTATGTGTTTAAAAATCAGTATTTTTTTTATTGAACAATTATATAGTTGTGAATTTTATAAGCGAACGTACTATCATGATTTAGGAATAGTAAACAAAATGGATTGCCAGTGGTACCAGAATACATGACAATTTTCCAAAAGAAACACAAAGCCGGTACGATCGATGTTTGGTGGTTATATGACGATGGAGGTTAATAAAAAATTTGTATTTTATAAGTAAATCATTCTATCAAAACACTTTTTAATATACTGTTTACTTTTGAAAAAAAAAAAAAAAAAAAAAAAAAAAAGGTTTGACTATACTACTGCCATATATCATCAGTACCAGGACAAATTGGGAGCATTGTAAAATGAGAATTTTTGCTCTAGCGAATCACAAACAAGATATCGGTGCACAAGAGAAAGAGTAAGTGGGCTAATGATTATTAATATCCTCATTGTGATTTATAATGTACAATTGGGAGTGTTCGATAATAATGATTATTTGATAGAATGGCAGAAATAATGATGAAGTTCCGTATAAAATATACCAGTTTGAAAATGGTTGATGACATAAGTCTTCAGCCACGTCAAGAAACTCAAAATTTTTTTGACAAAGTCATTGGGGAGTTTCGAAAAAATGACGCCACTGAAAACGCAGGTAAAATAAAGCCCTTTTTAATTCGAATATATGAATGCTATATTTATTAAACAAACACGCATTTTAAATCACGCATGGACATAAAATGTAAGATTAAATCTTTTTCTGTTTTTTTGTTCTTTTGTTTTTGTTTTTTTGTTTTTTTTGTTTTTTTGTTTTTTTGTTTTTTTTTTGTTTTTTGTAGAATGCATTGTAACTGATACAGAACTTCAAAGTTTGAGAGAAAAAACATATAGACAATTGAGGCTACGAGAATTGCTATTAGAAAACTCCAGTCAATCTACGTTAGTAGTTATGTAAGTATATGATGTTTGAATATTTAGACATTTTTGTCTTTTTTCAAAAATCATGCATGCAAAATAAATTCTATTAAATAACCATTATCCATTATTATTAAATTGGATTATATTTCGAGCAGTTCAATATTGCCGATAAATCTATATGGAAATTTAGATTTTAATTCCATGCTCAATACTCCTCGTGGATGTTTAATCATTTTTATTGGGTACAATATTTAAAAACTTTTTTTTTTCACTAATATTATCAAACGCTTCTTCAATAAGAATATTTATTCTACAATAATATGGTATGAGCGTTAATCTTCATTAAAATTATAATTACATTCTATTGGAATTGATTTATTTGAATGAGAGAATACTTGCCGTAAATGTTATTTTTAAATAATGTCTATTAGTTAAAAAAAAACTTATTACTTAATAATTAATTATCGCACTTTACAGATCATACTTGCTCTAATTAAAAGAAATATATATATATATATATATATCATATTTTTATTTAAAAACTTTTATTTACAAATATTGTATATATTTGAAAAATTTATAATTTTTGTTAGCTTTAACGGTCATTACCTCCTCACACTTTACGCTTAATAATTTTATAAAGTGAAATTTTACAAATAAAGCTGAAAATTTACTGATTTAACGATACAAAATGTTGAAAGGGACAAAGAAAAAATTGTTGATCTGATTTGGAAATATTTCGTATATTATTGAGAAAATGCTGTTCTCTATTCATTTATCGACGGCCATTGATATGCAAAAACGTTTCATTACAAATTTAATTTCAATAACAACGATATATACATATGCGCGTGCATAAGCGCTTGTGTGTTGGGAGGGAGGGGGGGGGGATGTATTTATTATTTATCTATTTATTGGTCAAAGCTTCCTATACCCAGCACATTAATCATTCTTTTCAAGTTTTTTTTTTTTTTTTTTTTTTTTTTTTTTTTTTTTTTTTTGAAGTATTATCGAGTAACATAAAAAAAATGGCGCTCGCTGTGATATTGATTCGCCAAACTAATGATATCCGTAGTAATGTAGGTAACTCCATGGTGTGAAGAAAATAGTTTGCTGAAAGAGGAGTGTAGCTAAGAGGATAATGTAAATAAATATTTGTAAAACACCCGTAGGTCGTTGCCCATGCCAAGAAAGGGCGCAGTCTCGGCGCCGCTTTACATGGCCTGGCTGGAGGCCCTCACCAGGGACATGCCACCCACGCTCCTCATCCGGGGTAATCACTCGTCCGTGCTTACATTCTATTCGTAGTGCCGGGGGTCTGGACCATCCCTATTCAATTCTTCTGCCCTTCTGTGGACCCTTCGTTGCGTATTAGCGCGCCTGTCTTGCGCTCCTAAGCTCCATAGTTATTACTTTACGCGCTACAACACAACCATTTGATTATTTTTCATCTTCGACAGACTTGTGTTCTTTAAAATCAATTTGTTTGTATTGGCATATTGGAGTTGTATTAGAGCGCTTATGAGAATAATGTTTTAACGCTATTATTGCACACCCGAAATTGCGAATAGATGTGTGTGCGTGCGTGTGTGTGTGTGTGTGGGCGCGCGCGCGCGCGCGTGAGAGAGAGAGAGAGAGAGAGAGAGAGAGAGAAAGAAAGTAAGAATATTTTCTTTAAGATGATGTTATGGATACCTTTTTATAATGCATGTGAATTCGTATAATAATTCATGCGTACGTAACATTTTTTATGTTTCAGTTCATTCGAAATTACGTTCATTAGATTTCTTTAATGTACTGTTGCATATACGTCCAAGTTACATATTTTACTCACGTTTAATAACAATTCTCAAATTGTTCACAACAAATTGTCAAAAAGAATTTGACATATTTTAGCTGAATATCCATTATAAATCTATCAAGTTTTAAAAATAGTATAAATGCAATTTCTATCGGTCTGCAAATTGTACTAAATCAATAGAAGACTATTGAAATACTTATCCAAGATGTCGAAACATCTTTAAATTTTGAATATTATACATAATCACACACACATATATATATATATATATATATATATATATATATATATATATATATATTACAAAAATATTTAATATCGATTTCAACTTTATCGTCTAATTAGAAAGATCTAAATTTTTATTAATAATTTGTCAAAGAAAGTAACGATAGAAATTGAAATTGAAACAAGTATTAATATTACTTACGACTGAACCATTCATTGAAAAGAAATATAAATTTGTTGTTACGTAATTTGACTTTAAAGACTCCAATATAATTTAAATAATTCACATAGTATTTTATAAATATAAACTCAATTAGTATGGATAGATTTTCATAAATAATTAGTCTAATAATACTTATATGACTATGATCGTGTGCAAAATTTACATTTCAAGTAAAAATTTCAATTGTAATTATTACATTATTAAAAAAAAAAAAAAAAAAAAATATCCAAAATATTCTAGAATTTACATATATAATGCTTTTCTTCAAATAAATAAATAATCAAGAAATTATCAGCGCACGAATAAAGCCAGTCGTATTACCTATTAAAGCAATTTTATGTAAAAGAATCTCCTTTATCATACTTAAATAAACCGATAAGATGGCTAAAGTTTCCTTACAAATACTTACATTGTATATGAAACTATTTAAAAACTTTATAATCATTAATCGTAAGTTGCTTTTATAAAGTAACTACTTTTGAAGTACAAAATCCCAATTTTACTTTCACGTAATAGAATTCGTTTTAAAAATTCATACTCAAAGACCAAACATATTTATTTAGGGATTTTGTACTTTATACTTAGCGCAATTACTTAAAAAAAAAAAAAAAAATGGTAGGAAATATTACTTTTAATTGCGATAAATTATACGCATTGTTATTAATGAAGGTTAAGCTTAGTATGTCGCACTACATTGTTTAGTCCAGTCTTAATACAACTGTTTTTGTTTATTTGTTTTTTCATTTTAATCAGTAAAAGTGTTTTAAATATAGAATTTTACTTACTTACTTAAAATACTAAGCATCGTAGTTCTGAATAATTGTTTAACATGTTTATAATAACAATGCTATTGTGAAAATTTAGATAAGCCAAATGTTTTTTAAAGGTTCTTAAGGTTCACCTAATTCTATATTATTTTACAAAATAATGAAAAATTTTTTTAAATAAATAAACAAGTAATCCAACTGCGTTATTGTTGTAATAGGCCATTTGCATTATATTTACTAAATATTATATTAGTACATTGAATTTTACATACTGGCAATTAATGAGAATTTTATTATTTATAACTGAAATTATATTAATTGATATTGTTGCAATAAGTAAAAAAATACTGCGTTAAGGCTGGATAGTAAAATTTCGTTTTATTATAGTTTGAAAATTTTTAATTGCTCTTACGAGTTTTGCTTGAAAGTAATATAATAAAATAATCTACCACAATTCTTGCCATTACTTTGATGGTTGTAAAAGTATTATTTAATTATATATATATATATATATATATATATATATATATATATATGTTATATTATATATAAACTATATATATAACTATATATACTTTAAAATATATATATATATTAATCTTGTAGATTCTTTCGACTGTAACTGCAAATGTTATTTTATATATAAAGCACAACGCTTTACAAAAAATAAATAAATATGATAAAATATGAGCTTTCGCATATAACTTAATGTATAATAATGAAGTACATATGAAAGTATTTAGATTTAAAATTTCCATTGAATTTATCAAGACAGTCGAGCAAAATATTCTTGTAATTTAATTGAAATTTGGAGAAAAAAAAATTTATCAATAATGCATTTCCCTTACTTTGTCCAGTTAACATTTGAATGCAAAATAATATTATAATTGAATAATAACATAATAATTAGTACACGAGTATAGAGATTTATTAATTTAAATTTGGAAAGTTATGAAAATATATGGTTATATTTCTATAAATTATTTACATAAAAATGTCTATTTATGTTGTAAAGTTCCATTCCCATATTTTTAATTAAATTTTAGCTATGATCACAAATTTTAAGAAAATAAATAACAAATAAAACACTTTTTTACAATTTAAAAATTGATTTTTCCATAGATTCGTGTGATATAAAAATTTTGTTATAATTTCATACAGTTTTGACTTACATAACATTTTAATACTAACAATAAGAACGTTTACTTTGATTTTAACAATAATTAGAATAAAGTTTGAATATATATATATATATATATATATATATATATATATATATATTTATATATATGATTTTATGATAACAATATTATAATAAATAAAGCTTTATTAGACTATATTAGAAGTATTATTACCTTCAAAAATTTATTTAAATAATCAAACGCAAATAATTTAAAAATACTTAAAAAATACTCTATTGATAAGTACTTTTCCAATTAAATTTGGCTCATTAATACGTCTCAATTAAACATATTTTTGTAAGGCAAATTGCAATTCTGTAAAATATTATATTATAAATGTTGTATAACTTGAAATTCAATTCAACTACACAATAAAATAAAATTCTCTTGCAGCATCTTATTTACGAATACTTATTTTACTTTCATGTAATCCCTGCTGCGTCTTATACAATTGTTATATTCATTTGAATTGTATGAGAATAAATTGTATTTTATTTATCGGAGCGATCGCTAATTCAGAACTTTTGTCTATAGATTGAAAGGGGCAAGAAAATAAGTATTTGAAGAAGAATAGAAGAATAGCAAAACATTTGCAGTCCTGAGTAATATATTGAGACACGATAACAACATATTTATTCAATTCATTCATACGAATATTAAAAAAAAATATTTTCATACGATATAAGAATAATCTAATGGTTTTTGTAAGGCTGGATTAAAATCAATTTTACTTCTTTCCCTTATCCTTATCCCTTAACTCGAATTATTGTAGTGCAGAAAATAGGCAAATATACCAAAGTAATGAAAGAGATGCACACGGCAATACATTGCTTTCTAATTGAAAAATACAGGCATTGCAGAAAAGAAATTATATTTTATAGATCTTAGTGTCATCTTAATCACATTAGTTTAATAATTTATTTTTATGTATTAATCTCAAGTAATTGTTATTAAAATTTTCAAATTCGTTCCTCTATTTATTATCTTTCTTTTTTCCTTCTATTAGCATCATCGATCATTGGGTCTATCCTTGATATGATACACTAACGAAATATCGTTAATGAGAAATGCCTCTACAAACCTATATCCAATAGGACACAATTTTACAATTTTTCTACAATTTTTCAAAATAAAATCATAGCTATAACGAAGAGAACGAAATTTAAAAGCTAAATTCGCAACATATATAGTTGTTTACCTAATCTACTGCTTCATAATGAAAGTGAAAAGTAGGGAACAACTTGATTTATTGGGAAATAGTGTATTGTTGTGTATTTACATGTAACATTTACGTCTTTACATAGCTAAGCGAATTCACTTTACATTGCAATAGTATCGGCACTCGTGGTCGTTGTGATTGAAATGCTCGAGCTTTCTTCCACCCCATTTAACTTATAATTGCGAAATGCCATCGACCGCGACAAACTGGAGTCAGAGCTTTTTGGGAGGGATTTTTTCTTTATCGTAGGGCGTGACGCGATTGAGTCGGTAATTTTAATAATGATTATTGAGAAGTAAAATGTTTTAGCGATTCTGCTTGTATTACGAAATCTTGTGCTACACTTCTCGAGCAATAAGATAAAATTTTACGGTGTTACAATCGTCTCGTCATTCCTTACAAGATAAAAATATTTAAATGCGAGTTTATCTTGCCCGAAGACAATGAAACGAGAGCACCAGTAAAATAATTATTTCAAAATACAAAAAAAAAAAAAAAAAACTATTCTCATTGATTATAAGACACTGATATATCTTTAATTGCCAAATAAATTTATTTACATATATTCTTTATTTTAGGTAAAATCTTGGATAAAGAGACATTTTCATCTGATTTTTTTATTCGAAATCTTCGTATTCTGGTAAATTCTAAAAAATTTTTTTTAAAACAAAAACTTGTTTACATTAAGGGAGTACATAATAATTTTAAAATAACGTATTGAAAATTATATAAAATAGTTTCTTTCACATGTTTTTATAACTATCTACGGTTTATCTAAATTTAATTTTGAATTATATAAATTATTCTAAATTATTGTTTGATATTAAATATATATATATATAGTCATCACTCAGCAGTCATTCGGTACACAGAGCAGCCATTGCAAGGAACTCACGTTCAATTCTCCAGTGCGCAATGGTTAACAACCTGTCAAGGGCTGATTGCAGTTCTAGAAAATAGTCGACTACACGAAGCATGGTATCTGATCCTTCTACACACGAAACTATATCATCTGTCTTTATTGAGAATAACTAGCTCACACACATTTCCATACTTCACTAGTGAGTATAGTCGATTCTCCCTGCTAATCAATGCCAAACTACCACAGAGACATTCCCATACTTTCCTTCTGTGTCCCCTTGAAAGTGCTCGAATATGAATGAACAATATATATATATATATATATATATATATTTATTTATTTATTTATTTATGTATTTAAAATGATTATACTGTTTTAATATATATAAAAATGAATTTATATTATCCATAAATTTTAAGTATATATATATATATATCCCTACACTTTATATATTATAAGTCAAATTAACGCAATATGAATATCTTGATGAACTTGCGTTGCCAATGTAATCATACCCATATATTTGAAGAGTCTCCGTAAAGCTTTTCAAAGGTTAACGTGATCTCATCTAGCAAATCAGTGGTAAGTGCCCCTCTACCTTTTTTGCTATAGGAAACGGCATTGCACTGCCTGACAAGACTGCAGGCTGCGTAACAGGCAGCCATCAATGATATATGATAATCAGTGACATTGCTGGTCGCCCAATAAGAGAGCACCGCCAGCGATCCGGCCAAGAGGTCACCCTGGCCACCGCATCGACGACCCGAACCCGGCATCTCACAGTGTATTGTCTTGACATCCTTAGTACCACAGCTAATCACATCGACACTGCCCTTGCATACGACCAGAACGTCTTCACCAATTGACTCAGCTGTAATGAAATAAAATGTTATTTTATCATTTTAATTTTGATATATATTATTTTATATCTAGAGATAATCGCTACATTAAGTGTGAAGAATATAATCAAATTTTTGATCAATTAATTATCAATATTAGCTTTATAATTTTCAGATTATTATTCGAGAATTTAAATTTGATGTCAGGGTTAAAAAGTTTATAGGAATGTTTTCAAATAAGCTTATGATTTTCACATAAATCATTCTTGTGCATATTTTTATTGCAATTAATATAATTTTTGTAGAAATTTTTAACTAAATGCTTTTTAGCGTAAAAATATAGTTATTTCTCTCCATCTTCTTGGCCAATAATTTTCAACTATTTAATTATTTAAGTAATTAAGTAACAGATTAATTTTCAGAAATTTGATATTTTATATCGAATTTGTAAAAAATATTCATAATTTTAAGCAATTTAGTCGTATACAGACTTCAGTATAGAATCATAAACCTTATATCTGTCTAGATATTTAGAATTTTATGGATTCTTACAAGATAAATCTTATATATCAATAATAAATGAAAATTACAAAAAGATATAAAAAATTATAAATTTAAAAAAATTTCCTATTACCTAGTTCCTTCACTAAAGATTCTTCGATGCCTGACTTCAAATCAATTGTTTTATTTAAAAATGCTTTAACTAATCGGGCAAATTCATTATAATTTGGCGTAAGTATAAGACCAGGATAATTTCTAATCAATTCTGTTTTCTGAGAAACCAAAAATAACCCATCTGCGTCGATCACCAATGGTTTTGATAATGCTCGACATTCTTCGATCAATTTTGAAACTGTTTGAAAAATATTTGTATCTCTTCCTAAACCTGGACCAATTAAGATTACATGCAAATCTTTAAGCCTAGATACAATTTGACTCAATCCATTATTTAAATGCGGATGAACAATAAGTTCAGGACTGTATGATTTTATTGGAATACTTGCTTCTTTACAACAAAATATATGGACTAAGTCAGCACCAACTCTAAGAGCACTCATTCCTGCAAAGTATGGAGCACCAGTGTATTCGACAGATCCACCGATAATTCCAATTTTTCCATTTTGACCTTTATGCGTAATTTCATTCAAATTAGGAAGAAAATCTTTTATTATTTTTGTTAGCCTTTGTGCATTAGTATTCAAACAAGAAAAACTTCGTCTTCTCGAAATCATAACTGAAATAATAAAATATTTATAATTCATATTGTAATTTATTCATATATATATATATATATATATTTTTTTTTAAATTTAAGCAATAAAACTATCGAATACCAGTAAATTAAAGGTATATTAAAATCTTTATATAGCGTTGAATTGCAATCACTCGCTCAGATCGTTTGTAATAAAAATTGGCAAAATAATAAATGAAGATTTAACGATTATTCATAACCTATATTTTTAAATTACCTGCACACATTAATAGGTCTATTTATTAAAAATTTTTATATTAATTTTTATACTTCTATTTTACTGAATTTTCAAACAAAAAATATTTTATTCACATACGTTAAATGGATGTACATAAAATTTTTCTTCTATTTTATTTACTATCTTAAATTTCTGTATTTACATTGTTGCGGCAAATTTAAATCATTGAAGCAGCATAATCAAAAGTAAATTAAATTTATAATAAAATCCGTATAATCAAAAGCAGCAGTCTAAAAATATTACAATTAAATATACAATTAAATATTGATATAATCAAGAAATACTTTATTTATCCATGGTTAATCGTTAATCTGTTTTTTCAAATTAATTTCATGATGCATTATTCAATTATAAATATATCAAAAATCAATGAACGAACAGCCGATGTATAAGGTGATCCTTAATGTTAAGGATTTAATATATTAATATACAATTAAAATTGCAATCTAGATTTTGAAAATTATATTTAAGCAATTTACCATATTAAATAACATAATAAGCATCTTATAGTTACTACAATCCTATTATTAAATAATACTAATCGGAGGATTAAATTAAAATTTTATTAAAAATTAACATATATATATTTAAATAAACTCATTCAAATATAAACAAAAAATTTAATATTTTTGAAAATAAATGTACACAAATAAAATGGAAACATGAAAGTATATATCAAATGAATTAATTTTTCAAATGTATATTTCTTGCAGTAATATAGCTAAAGTTTACAAAATGGCAGCGATTTACTTTTTATTATAATAGATTTTTATATAGTACTTGTTCCTTTGAAGTGAAAAATTTTGTAAAAAAAGTTATTGTATCCAAAAAAAAAAATAGAAAAAAAAATGAAATAAAAAAACAGATTTTGTATAAAGATTTACAATTCTAAATGAATATACCCTATTTATAATTATTTATTTCTACGATGGGCACTTTTCTTGTATTTAAGAATTACAATAAAAAAAAGCAACTACTGTTACCATTTATCAGTCATTTCCTATACATGCAATAAATATTCTTTGTCAAATATAACTTGCATTATAGTATTTTAGTACCGCATATTATTTTAAAGTTTATAGTAGCCTTTTTGCATACTACTTCTAAGCAATGACAAGTATGTCAAAGAGGGATCAATTAGTATTTATAAAAGTATTAAATCTTTTGTAATAACAATAACTATTTATAAAACAATTTTTTAAAAATATAATAAAAATAAATAACTATTAAGTACCATTTAATAACAATGTTTACAAATGATTATAATACATTACTTGATAATAAAATGATTCAGGTTATCATTGGCGTTACATTGCTTCAAAATCTTTCCACTAACACATAGGTTTAAATTTGCAAGAAATAAATAAATGAAATTCATCTCTTTTATAATAATTGAATAACATTTTATAAAAATTAATTTATAAACTAGCAATTATTTTGTAAAATAGCACTAAATAGTTTTATCATTATTATTATTTAAAAGTTTCAAAAAATCCGCATAAAAGTTAAATTAATTAATAAATTAAACATTATGAGATTGTTAACTAAAATAAATTTTAATATCATCCCTCCTTAATTATAATCAATGAGCTATGCACAGCAATGCTACATCAATTAGGCTAAAGCCGAGTATTCGGCTGCCAGCCTTTGAAATTCAAGTTCTTTTTGAAGGTAATCTTTTACAAATGGATGTTCCATATGAGAATCCTTTAACTGCGTCAGATAACGATTTGCAACTTCGTATGGTTTTCCCATATGCTGCGATAAAACAATCATATTTATTAATGTATCTGGATTATTGCTGTCTTTTTCCAAAGACTCTTGAAGTACTATTTCGGCATCTTCGTATTTTTGTTGAAGAATCAGGCTCGTTGCTTTTCCATTGAGTAACATAGTTGTGCTGGAATATTTATCAATCATTTCCTGAAAAAACATTTATTGAATTAATTTATAAATGTACACAATCGTCGACCGAATAATTAACTTTATGACGTAGCACGTGCATGAAATATATCAATTCGATATTTGTACCTGAAAGATATAGTAAGCTTCTTGGTATTTGTCGCGTCCTATGGCTAAGTTGACCCAAGCCAGTGCGAGCTGCGTCAAAGTGGCATCGTCGTCGCTCTCTTGCATAGTTTTCACTTCCTTTACAGCTAAATCAAGACGATCCATTTTTAGGTAGATCTGCACACTCAGCGCAGAGCATTCCAAATTTTCAGCTTTATGTAATACTCTAAGAGCGGATTCTAAATTATTCTCGTGGTAATAGATCGTAGCGGCGACTATCATATAGTTATGACTTCTGCAATTTTCTTCGATCGTAGCCTTATCAATTGCAGATAATATTTTATCCCTATGTTCTGGATGAGCAAAGTATTCCGCTAACAATTTCAATGGCAGCAATTCGGACGGAGAGGTATCCTTGATCTCATCGAGTACTATCCTAAATTTGCGCTGAGCGATATAAGCTCTGTATAAAAAGACATCTCGATTCATCTCTGCCTCCGTTGAAGATAACTAAAGCAAAAAAAAAATTTGTCACTGAAATAATATCGATCAAGTAAACAATCAAGAAATTCAATGGTACGAATGTCACATCACATGTAATATTTGGCAACCGGCCGAAATAATATCCAGCAACCCATTATTAGCATAACCGACCTTCCGTCGAACACCAACTACCCACACATCTACAAGCGAATAATAAAAATACTAGACATTAATTAACCTCTCGCTAACGACAAGCACATTAAATGCAAGTTAATTGTAAATATTAATACAAAAAAAAAAATTGCCAAGCAAAACAAACAATGCCGCAACGCGTCACGTGCACTCATCTGCCGGCAGTACAAACGAAAATACGCCGAGCTATTTCGAAAATAGTCCGACATGTGTCAAAGCCGTAAACCCACACAGCTAATGTAACGACGGCATCGTGCACCTCGAGTACACAAATAATTACGTTCGTCTGGCAAAGGAATTTCTACCTTCACTTTCTGCGCCTCGTTAATGCATTGTTGATAATTTCCAATGTAAAAGTTATTCTTCACGTCGAACAGCTCGTCAAATGATTCATTCTGCTGACGTGCCATCTTATCCGTCGATTAGCCGTCGTCACCGTGCCTCTACGTCCTCCCGTGCTATGCCTAGACGCACTCGTAGGCTGCGGTCCCTCCCTGGATCCCAAACCAGTGACGTTCGACTCCGCAGTCTGCGGTAAGCAGCGGCACTAATTAACGATTCCGCAAAGTAGTGCAGCAGTTGCTAGTTGCTGGATTGCTAAGCTCAGCGCGTACGATGATCTATGCGTGCGCCTGAATTTGTTTGCGCGCGCATGTGTGGGTGATTGAGAGAGGGAGTGGGGTCGGTGAGCAAGAGGAGCGTAAGCGGGTGGCGAGTGAGTGGGCAGGCGAATGAATATGAGAGAACGAGAATGACCAAAGACGAATAATGTATTCGATAATTGCTATTTTAAGTATTTTTCCGTCATCGAAATGTAGAAGTGCAAAATTTCCAAGGTAAATTATGTATTCGCGTTATTATTTAGCCTCGAGGTCGAGTGTTTAACGTTGGATGCCAAGATTTTTTATATATTTACGATTATGCCAGTGATTTATTTATAAATATTTATTGCACCGAAAAGATAATTATGGATAATGATAAAATTATCGATCACTAAAATCACGATCGTCGATCGATAAGATCAATCGATGAGAATTAAATGTATTTTATATTATTTTATATGCATTCAGAGACAAATGACAAATATCATTTGTCAAGTACCGCTACTAATGTATAGGAAATATTATCAGCTTAATGATTCAATTTTAGTATTCGTAAAAGTTCTTTAACGAATATTAATGCAAAGATTTACTTATATTAAACTGATTCAAAAGAAATAAAAAAATATGTGCTATATTGCTAAAACTCTTCAAACTGCTCCATTTAATATCGTTTTTTCTTTTTTTTTTTTTTTTTTTTTTTTTTTTTTTTTTTCTTATATATTAATGCTGGTTCACAATTTATAATACAATAATATTATCATAATCAACAATCTTTTTTTAAAACAATTGATAATTAAGAAAATTTATATACACACTAGACGAATGATATTTTTTTCATTATTTGCATCTTATCGATCAATGAGACTGTTACTATTTAAATGAAAAAAGAAGAGAGAAAAACAAAATGCAGAAGTACATTGGTAAAACCAAAAAATTTACTTCTATATGAAGTCCAAAACGTTAAAATGATGATCAATAATCGTTAAATTAACGAAATATAAATAAGTACAATATAACACAATGCTTTTACTTTAATATCAGGATTTTTATATTATCTCAATTAAAGATTAACCATAATAAATGTTTTTTCACCTAAGAGAATTCAGAGAGCAAAGTGTCTTGTATTATTATTGTTTTACCAATATAAATGATAAACCATCCATACTAATCGCTTGAACATAATATTTCATGAATAAATGATTGCATGCAACTAATGAAACAATATTCCTCTACTTAACCAATGCTATATAGCTTCTTTGTATAACGCAAACATTTTACGTAAAATTATTTGATAAAGAAGAATCTGTTTTTATGCAAATAAAAACATATTAAAAAGTCAATTTTTTTACTTTATTTTCATTTTCATCAATATTAATTGGTAAATAGTTAATCCACGTCTTCAGGCCGCACAGGATGTGTTAAAGGAATAACCGATTTCTTTTTTATATCTTTTGATAATGCCTTTCTCATATCTGTAAATACGAATAGCCTTATTACACACTGATTATTGTTTAACGAAATTGTTTAATAAGGTAAATAATATCACCATAAGCATTTTCGTCTGGATCGCCGCTGTAGTATTCTAAGACAGTACGGTAAACTATATATCCTAATTGTTGGTACATTTGTATTGCCACTTTATTGCTAACTCTTACAAAAAGATCTACAAAATAAGCTTGGTTTCTACAAGAAAAAAAAAAAAGAAAAAAAAAAAAGAAGAAGAAATAAAGAAAATAATAAAGCAATTATAATATTAAGTCATTTTCAATATAAAACAGTTATTTACTTCTCAGAAATTTCTTCCAAAAACTTCATAAGCGTAGCAGCAAGACCAAGTCTTCTATAATCAGGTGAAACAGTGAGAGCCGTTACATGTCCATGCCAATTATCACCAACTCCCTCTGCTTTACCAATAACTACACGAAAGAATTTCACATAACAACAGAATGAATCTTATCGCTAAATTTTCCATTAAAACAATGTTTATTCTTACTGTAACCCATTATTTCACCACTTGGCGATTCTGCTAATTGGATGTATTCTGGCCAATGCGCCAAATACTGCATATAAAAGGGTAGTCCATACTAATTAATTCTGTTATGAAAATATTTGAATATACTATCGACGGTTATGATGATACTTTAATGAAATATTTGGCAGTTAATAATCTTTTTATTAATTAGCTAATAAGTAATGAAGTATTCAAATCATATTTATTGTGATCGTATCATCAAAGGCATTCGTTATTAAATAAAGGATACAGTTTCTGTAAGAGGATCCAAATTTCTAAAACAAAATTAAATTTTTGCATTAATTTTATTAACAAATCACAAGGTTAGAATCGTCACGATTATTTACATATCGTATGAATTAGCACAGAATTATCTTACATTATATATCACTTACACATTATTAAATTTAAATAAATCATCGCAAGTGAATGGTCTTAAAGTAGACATATCGAGGAGGTAATGATGCAAAATATTTGCAAAGGAACTTTAATTTTGGTATTGTTAGGCTCGCTTAAGTAGTGACAAATCGTATCGTCAGACTTGAAGTTCAGGCGGCTGACCATTGAACTTGAATTAAATTAAAAATACGAGACGCATGCGCAATAATATAAAGGTTGCCTGCACACAAGAATGGAGGTTAAAATGTCTGAAATTGCCGCCAATTGTTATTAAACACAAAAGACGTGACTACTAAAGCTGAGTATCCATATTCAAATGTGTTTGAATAGTACGTTATGTTTGTAGAAAATGTTAAAAAGAAAATTTATTATGATAGAGTACGTAATCGATGAAATATTTTGTAAATATTGAAGACTGTGCGAAGGATTGTTTTCAATTATCCAATTATCGAATATTAGTATAATTCTTTTATGTGCATATGGTATGTAATATTATCATTTATTTATTACATTTAACCAATGTATATAAGATTTCATTTCTAATTTTAAATTGGAATATTTTCATTTGTGCAAGTGATTTAAATGCATGTATAAAAAAAATTATAATTTTTTAATTTTGAAAAATGTTTAATATATTTAACTATATTGACTTATTTATATGTATATTGTAATTGAATTCACTATGGTAAGCTTCGATGTCGAAAACAGTTTTCTCCAATTAATTTCAATTATTATCATTTTCTCTACTCAATAATAAAATTAAGTTGAAAGTATTTCAGGATACATAATAAAAGTGGATTACGGTTTACCCAAGTATGGCAGATTTGGTTAATTTTGATACTTGGTTAAGTCAACTTGAATGTCCTCATTGGTATACCACAGACTATGTTAAAGAAACGTAATGTTAATTATTGTTTTAAAATATGTATATAAAAAACTTTAATTAAATTACATATTTCATTTACAGACTACATAAAGGTGTATTGGGGTTGTTATGGGATGATGTACCTCAAATCATTAGACCATTTTCTGAAGTTTCAGAAATAAGAAAAAATATCTTATTATATAAATTAAAAAATGAGCCAAAAGATTCTTTGATCGAAAGTGTTAGAGATACTGTTTACTTGAGAGAAGAAAGAGAGAAGCTTAATCTTCAGATTAAAAATGCAGAAGAAAAGTGGAATCGACAAGAATTTATCTGCAGACAAAAAGGTATTAAATAAATTTGTTCGTGTCATTTTTTTTTTTCATAAAAAAATTTATAATTTCTTAGCATTTTTCTTATCGTTAAAATTGTAGTACAATTGTTGGAAAAGAAGAAAACAGAAAGACAGGCTTTAGAAATAAAAAAGGAAATATTCAAAATTAAAAATGAACAAATGTTAATGCAAATTGCAAACTGTTCAAAAATGCAGGAAATATGTCATCATTTAATGCCACCATCCGTAGAAGAAGTATCTCAATTAATGATAATTGAGTGTCTTTCGCTTGCTAGTAATTATTCTGGTGGCCCAGATAAAAGAAAAGTTTGTAAAATACCATAGCTTACATTTTATTTAGATTTTAAAATTATAATTCAACATAATTTAAAAAATTATATTATTCCTTTTCTTTTTTTACAGGTCTGGAATAAAATCGCAGAAATGCTAAATTCTATTAAAATACCGGTATTATGGAATGCATTGATGACAGCAAGAATAAATTACACTAATTTTCTCATTGATTTAGATATTGAGGAAGACGAAACTCATGAAAGTAAAACTGGAATCAATTTAGATATTGGTACAGCGCAGATCTGTGGTGAACATCTTCATAATGTATCGAAACGTTTTATACATAAAGAGAGAACAAAAAAGAACGAAATAATGACTATGGAATATGTTGAAAAAATTGAAGTAACTAAGAATTAAATTTTAGTAATAAATGCAACAAATTTTTTTTTATCTTACATTTCATTTCATACATAATTATACCGAACACAGCTTATAATAAATTAAACATAAAGAAGGAAAATTTTACGTAAATATTTAATATTTTTTAGCAAATAATTGAGAAACATAGACCAGACTTAAATGATTGGTTACCATTAACTCTGGAAGTTAGAAAATTAGAAGTTCTGAGCACGGAACTGCAAAAGGAACTCAAAAAGCTTGAAGAACAATTACCAATTGATGTGATGGTTGAGGACATTATGATCCAGTTAATCACTGACATTAAGAATATTGATAGCAAAACAGTAGATAAATGTTTAATTACTAATTTTTTCCTTAATACGATTTCATTCTTACCCCTCATTGTATACAATATCTTGTATAAATACATAAATAACATTTAAAGTACATTTAATAAAACATATTAATTTTTAAAAAATTATAAATTAGAATAAAAATCTTAATGAAATTTATTGAACTTTAATACTAATAATTAGTTTTTTTTCTACAGACTGATTGTGTTCAAGAAATTCAAAATGCCTTTGGACTGCTTAAATCATCGGGACCGTTAATTACAAAGACAAAAGAATCTCTTCTCAGTGAATTGGATAAATTTCAATTGCTACAAAATAACGAAGAAAATCAATGGTTAACGATTGACCTAAGCACTGAATTAATGGTCTTTAATAATAATATAGATATTAATGCATTGAGAAAAATTATGTTAAAAGGAGAGACTGGTGTTTATAAGCATCTGCAGATGTGTTTCAATAAAGCCTCTTTAATTGTAGATATACCGAAAAGTGAAAATGTATCGAATTTTCCAATGATAAGAGTTCCTATTTATTATTTAATAGATTTATATAAAATGTATATTACGAACTCTGTATTGAGCAAACGACTCAATGAAACCATGGATAATTTTGAAGACTCTTCTGGGTCGCTACCTGATTCTTCGACTATTGCTACCTTTTCTAATCAAAACTTGATGGAATTGTTGAGAACGATTGACACAATATGTAAAAAAACTCTACAGCATAGTGAAGAATTTGAGCAAATTTTAAAAACTTGGTTAGTATTTATTATATTATATTCTAGATGCATATTTTTTAAAGAAATCTTTAAGTATTAAATTCAATTAAATCATTTAATTATATATAGTTTATATATTATATTAATTACATTTGTATATAATAAACATTTAAGTTGCATAAAATCAAAATAATAAAATTATTCGAATAGCATATAAATATCGATTGATTAATATTTCATGAAAAGATAAGTTTGTAAAAAAAAAAAAAAAATTGTTGAATTTATTAAATATAGTTAAAAGTTAAATGATCTTACTTCTTAATAAATAATTATTATTGTAGAATAATATTATAAAATTTGAATAGCAATATTACCGTCTATTATGTAAGATGAAATTTAAATACAATACGTTGTTAAAAAATATTTATTGAAACATCTAAATAAGTTGATCTGCCAATACAAACAAGTACATTTGTAAAAAATTTATACATGACATTTCTTTTATTTTTAAGAGTGTACTATATTACATATACATTTCGTTTAATTTTATTGAAAATTATATATATATATATATACACATATTTTTATAAAAACAATACACTACATTTCGTATAAATTTATTCTGAATCTAATGAAATAAGAAAATTATTAGTCTTCCGATTAAATTGGAATTGCAATATTTTTCTAGGTCCACTCAAGCTGTGCGGGAAATAGTATCAAAAATATACTGCAAAAAGACTGTAAACAGAGCTACTCTGGATGAATGGGAAAAACACTTTTCTATGATCGTTTATGTTTTACAAAAATCGAATAAAAATCTTGCGTAACGTAGTTACCATATTTTTTTCTATATAGTGCTATTTAAGAAATTATTTAATTCGCATACTACATGTTGATGTGGGCGCGTGTGTGTATGAACGTCAGTATGTATGCATGTACGTATGCTTCCTAAAAAAATTGTTTAAAATATTTTTAATGACTTTTTGTACAATAAAAGCTTCGTTTTTTGTAAATATAATCTTTTATATATATATATATATTTAAAATTTATCTATCTTGTACTTTTCAATTTTGTGTTTGATATAAATGTTTATTACACATTCACATGAATATAAATCCTCTTAAATGGATTAATTATAAACGTAACTTTATTACAATTCAAAATAGTCATACTGCTTATGTTATTTCACAACTTGATTTAATAATACATAAGGATATTCATTTGTAAAAGTCTGCATGAAAACTTTATTTATAAAAATTTGTGTTATAAATATTTGAATTATGCTACTCCTGACGAAAAAATACTCATATTTTTATATATAATGAAAAATATTAATTGTTTGTATATTAGAATATTTATGATAAATATAGAGATTTTTTGATACACAGAATATAAATGTTAGAGAATAAAAAGTTTATATTTGTTGGCAATCTGAATGATAAAATCGAAATATAAAATAAGACATTTAATTATAAAATTAAATGTTAATTTTTCACGAGATTGTTACAACTTTTATTCAAAATTAAAATAATATTGTTATCAACCGATAAAAATACAAATATGGAAAGTAAGGCAATGTAAATAAATCTATTATAAAACGGCAAATTGATATAAAAGAGCCTTAATTTGAAATACATATTACGACATATGAACACAATATATTGATTGCTTCGCTTCTACTTACTAAGCTTCTACTATAATTGCTCGTCAAATTTTCTAAATATATAAAAAATGTTCTATCCGTTTACTGTATAATAAATTTAAATACAATTGTTATCATGCTTTTGCTTCAGCAAGCAGCTCCAACCTCTTGACAACTTTCACCATATCGAAGTCCTTGGCCAATTTTAGGTAATTCACCTTTCTCACAACGTGCACCATGGCCCAAAGGGGTAATAACTCACAAAGCAACCTGATGTGTTTCTCAAGCTCGCCGGACGTAAGTTTTGTACGATACGAGTCATTCAGCTTCTTAATAACAAACTCAATGGGGAGCACACTTTTTTTCTCGCTGACGAAGATGTTGCGCACGATTTTTGCAAGCTCGGGCAACCTTGAATACATTATTAAATCATTGCTGGCGTCCGAGGACCGTGTCATCATCTCAAGAGCTTTGGCGGCTTGCTTTGCACGCACCTTCTCCAGCAGGGCCATTGGTATCCCTTTAAGTGCTGGATTTGACATGGGTTTTTGGCTTTTTGGAGTAGCTGGTGGCGTGTCTACGAGGGAAACATTGATATTTTCGTCGATGTCGCCCGACTTGGTTATGTCTGTGCAAATGTATACATTAATGTGTTAATATGTCTCGTCACGATAGTCATATTTATTTGTTGCAATTTTAGAATTTTTATTAAATCGCTAGTTAATTTCAAAAGCGAAAATGAAACTCCAATCAATATAAAAGATAAAATTAAATATAAATATGAATCTGTTTTGTTAAAATCATTTGTGATCGTAATACCCAGTTATTAATTACTTTATTTCATAATATTATTTTAAAATAAGCTCAAGCTTACATATGGATTGAAGATTAACTCAATTGTTTTTAAAATTTTGAATGCATAAATAGATTTTCTTATTTTTAATTTATCTAAAATTTACACTTTTAAGGCCAAACATCTTAATTGCATGAATAATATTTATCAATTGCGTGATAAAGACGTATGCGTACTAATAATATATTTTATTTATGTTTTAATTTCTATATTCTCTGAGCTACTTGATTAAACCTACTAATTATAAATAATTACCTGTAAGGCCAGTCGATTTCATTTGTTTGTCAGCAAGTCGCTCAATAGCCTTTTGCATGCGTGAGTTATCATTGAAAAGTTTGTTTGCTCTCTCCAAGACGTCTTTTGCGGTGCATAATTGTTCTTGTTCTGGTGGTTGTGGTAACTCTGCCTTTTCAATTGCTCTACAGTTCTCCACGTCAAATTCTGGATGCCATCGAGTTATTTTTTCCTTGGGGATATTCATTGGTGTGTCCAAGGACAATAAAAACTTGTCATGCTCATCCTTAACGATCTCTAAAAGTGTATTATAAAATTTTCTTCTTCGCTCTAATAAGACACTCGGTCCCATATGTGTTTCAAGAGCTGATTTTAAGACATTTTCTGCATCTGGCGTATTTCTGCCGCTTTTATCTTTACTGCAAACAATGATGGGAGTTATGACGAGTTCGTATTTTTCGGGATTCATGGTGCCGAAACTGCGTATCTTCTCTTGACGAAAATTAAAAGCATCAGGATAAACGGTCTTAATCTACAATAAATAAATAAGACAATAAAGATTATAATGAGAATTAATGAAATATGACTGAGCGTTAAATTTTACTTTTAAGCATGTTTGTTATTACTTTTATCATTATTTTATTATTATTATTACTATTTATTACTTTTGCAGTCGTCAAATGCAAAGTGTGCAAGCAAAGTTAAACAACATTTAAAATAATAGTTACTATTATGCAATTGAAATTATTATAATCAACATTTAAAAATATTTAAATATTAAATATAAAATTAAAGTATTTCAATATTTTATTTCATATAAGAAAATATCAAACGTAAACAATACAATGGATAAAAACTATTATTATTTTTAACGCATCATTTAAAAATTTATACAACTTTTATTATATCATTACATCAAATTAGAGAAATAAGTATAAAGAAAAGAATATTATTTTTAATTTTAACTGATTTAAATGTAACGCCATTTAAACGCCTAATTTAAATATTGAACACCAATTGAATTGACAATGCGTACCAGTTTTGCATAACAAAATTTTATACGTTATCTTATTCATTTATATTTGTTTGAGTAAAGAGAAAGTAAATAATAAAAATTTGAAAATGATTGTATAAATTTTCACTATAATAAAACAATTAATGTTAAATGCAATTAATGTTAAATGAAAAATAAAAATTTGTCACTATTAAATAATAATAATTTATGACTATTTGAATACAATGATTAAACACTTACGATTCATAAATCTTTAAAATTTCGTTATTAATTAATGATAATATTTACATTAAGGAACGAATGAATTTAATAAAGATATTATATTTCAAAATTTTTAAAAGTAATTTTAAAAAGTAAAAATTTATTTTAACGAAATCAGTGTAATTATAATGAACTTTTAAATATAGAAATTAAGTTTTTAATATCCTTATTAAGTTGTTCGTAAATAATTACGATTTTATAAGGCTTGGACCATATGAAAAATTATATTTTTTTAACGTCTTAGAAATTGATTGTGTTTATTGTAATTATTATTAAAATATTGAAATAATTATAATTTTTCAAAATTTGATTGACAACACACTTATAGTTTCTCGATTTAAATAAAAATAATTCATTAATATCCATGATTTTTGTATTGTCTATTAAATTAAGCAATTATTGTTAATAAATGCATTTAAATTAAGACAATAATATTAAAATTATTATATTTTGATTAATTTTTAATACGAATTTTTTTTAATTTTTCTATACAATTTTCATATTTACTTTGGAGAATTAATGAAATTTTATCTGTATTTTATTTCATGCAAATACATATTAATACTTGTTAAATTTAAATATACTTCAAACAATTATAATTCATAACTTTTAAAAATTATGAAAAGATGTTTAAACGATAAGGAAATATTAAATTTAAAATAAAAATAGCAATGTAGTGTGATTGTACCTGTGCTACATGATCAAGGGTAAAATTTCGCCTTACAAGTTCTTGTACGGCAGGCTTCAGTTTATTAAAAGTTATTGTTTCTCTTCGATTAAATAACATTGCCGAAACAGTATCAATACTGCGAAAAACCTCTGCTAAGAATCGATAACCGTAAGGTAAAGGTAAAGTTTTTCCGTCTGTCTCAACCAATGATTGATATCTCTGATATGCCGGGGTTTTTATAGGACTACCCTTAACAGGACTTGCAGGAGTATCTTTTGGTTCGAAAAGCAGTCGACGAGCAGGACTCGCTTTTGGTGATAACTGCATCATCTTTGTAGGACTGAAGAATTTATTTGGTGATTGCATAGATTTTTGTGGGCTTACTGGTATTTCAAGCTCTATACGTTCAAATTCTTTGATCTTTATCTCATTATTTTTCCGAATGTCTTCCTTTACATCCAAATGTGCTTGATTTAGTTTCTCTAATCTATCCGAACAATTCTGAAATTTGGCAATTCTAGCTCTCAATTCATTCAATCTCGCACTAGTAGTCATTTTAGTTCTTATTTCGTTTAAACTCATGTCTTTTGATATTATTTTTGGCTCTTTAGTCGGTGTCTTAGTGTATAAAGGCTCTTGAATCTGTTCGTCGGCATGACTGCTCGTTGCATTTTTAGAGACACGCCTTCTGGTCAATTTTTTCGGACTCAAGCTTCCTAGTTTTTCAAAAATTACTTTCTTCTCATCTTCAATTTCCTTATTAACTTTTAATAAGGCATCGCGTATGTCAGATTGTTGATTGTCTTCATGCGTTGATGATCGTTTTGATTTTAATGATTTTGTTTTTGAAAATGTATTTGATAATTTAGAGCCCATATCAAATTGTAAATTCCTCGCAACTGTATCTCTTTTTGTGTCCATTTTCATCTGAAAGTAAATAGGATATATAACGTAGACTCGCTAAAATATAAAATATTTGTAAACCAACGATGTTATAAAGAACAGACTGCAATATTTGAAAAAGTATTTCATAATGTAAATTTAAAAATAACTCTTTGCAGCTTGGCATTATAACGAGAGTATTACATTTACAGTTTATATAATGCTCCATTTTTGCAACAAGCAAATATGCAAAGTAAGCAAAATTTTTATGCTATGTGTATTATTTAAGTAAGTCATTACTTCACCTGTGCTCCTTAAATATTCATTTCTTATAATTCATCAAATATTAAGTTAAATATCTCATTGATGTATTAAAAAACAATTACAGACACATGTAATACAAATTTCTTAAAAATTGCAACTAAAAAATCAATTGGTGTATAATTATCATTAATTTTTTAAATAATTTTTTAATATTTTCAATAACTATCGTTCTCCAAAAGGAATGATGTAGAACATATTTTTGCCATAAGTGCAAATATAATTATTTCATCAAGAAAGATATTTGTGACATAATATAATATCTATTAGACTAGAAAACGAATTATTAAAATTTTTTACTATTCATTGCCAGCTTCTTTCTAAAATGAATCATCTATCGTATTATAATTATTTGCATTAATTAATTCTCAATACACAATTAATTCTAAATTACAGCTTTAACTTTGTCAACCAACTTAATACATTATGTTGCAGAAAAATTACGATTGTTTTATCTTAAAATGTATACTGTCATTTTTAAAGTAATTTTATTAAACTCAAAATATATTACGCAAAACTTATTACAGTACAATTTTTATTTCAACAAATTACACGACTAATTCAAAACTTCTACCAAATTGTAAAATTTCACATTTTTCTCTGATTTTTCATTTTTCATTAATTAATCTTGAAAATTTAAAGACCGATGGATTGATTACCTACATCAATGGAATGTAACGCATGTGCAATATAGGTAAACAGATGAAACTGATTAAATATTGTTCAAAAAAAAAAAAAAAATAAACAAAATTATAGAGAATGAAATAAAAAAAATGAAATCTTACCAATTTCTTGGTTGATCTGCGCTCAACCATCGTCGGAGTTTTTTCAATTATTACGGGAAGGGCCTCCGTTCTGTTATTATCCTCAATTATTAAAACTTTTGATTTGTTACGTAGTTCATTACTAGCCGAACGCTTCCTCGTATTAAAATACGAGGCGACTGATGGCTGCGACATCGTCCTTTGCCTTTTGTATTACTTTCTTCGCTCCTCCTTTCCTCCTTTCCTTCTTTCCTTCTTTCCTTCTTTCTTTCTTTCTTTCTTGCTTTCTTGCTTTTATGCACGTTTGCAAAACACGAACTCACGTGGAGACCACCACTTAACACAATATGCCCTCACGATGCTCCCACGATTAGGCGTCCGATATTTTCGTTAAAAATGAAAAAAGGTTAAGGACGCAACGAAGGGTAGCCAAAGGGCCGTACAAATAAGGGAAGGAATAAGAAAATTCCGTTTTTTCGAGTAGTGCAACGTTCGCTCGCACTATGCTACTCTCTTCGTAAACTTTTACCACTGATTGGGAAAAGCGCGCGACCGTTACAACGTTGCCACCTATATTTCCCGCGTAAAACTCGCGCTTCTCGAGGCATCCACATGGGGTGCGGTGTTGCCGGGTGGGGAGTAATTATTGGCGGAAATATTTGTATGGGCTATGGCTAACCGCTCTCCAATACTTTCCGAGTAATCTCCTTTTAATTCACAATTTTTATGTAAGCTACTTGACTTATTATTATAATATTACTAATTATTACTCGAAGCTGTTTGTTGCTAAAATTATTGCAGTTGGTATTTTTGGAGTATTGACGATCGGATGCATAAATTGAAAAAAATGCTGATTATAATTTTAATACCTCTTCAAGGAATGTACAAAGAGCATAATTCCGAAGAATCAAAATTTATTTTAAAGCCACTGCATAATCGACAATAATAATATCATTGCACATATTAAATCCTATTTCTAATTATTATTTTCTAAATGAAAAAAAAAAATACTATAATTATAATTCGTAAAAATGAACAATCGAGTCTGTATTAGTCGAAATAAAATATTCATTCATATACTGGCAATTGAAATTATTACAATATTAATATTTTATGTTTTAATTAAACGCAGACATTCCAAGTAAATTTTCCACTTATAAGTAGGCATGTATAATAATACAAAAACGCTATTTGTGACTAACCCCTCTTGTCGATTTTATATTACATTTTTCATGGAATAAAAAATTCGCTTTGCATTTGCAGAATTACGTGCAATGTAATTTGGAATTAATTTGGCTGTTAAGAGGCGCAATCAATGAGAATAAATAATTGAAAACTTATATCGAGCGGATCATTAGAGAAGGATAATTCATAAAGTTCAATAAAAATAATATACTTTCCTCTAAAAATATTTTATTATAAAAATATTCACGTTGATATATATATATATATATATATATATATATAAATAAATAAATTATATAAGAAAAATTAATCGTTTATTAATATAGTTAATATACGAATTACTTACAATCATTGGTATCATAGGTACAAGAATACATTTATTTTTAGAATTTTAATTTTTCATCTTTATTTACTGTATTTAAAATTATTTGCTCGAATCTGAAATAAGTACATTCCACATTTTTCACAGTTTGAATAATCATCGCAGCTTTCAATTTTAATTTGCCAAAAATGTTACACGCCCTATAAAATTACGATTACAATTCACATTCGTTTAAGGTATAAAGCAACGAATAGCACAATCGAGCTAATTTAAAGTTCCATAGAAAAATCAAAGGATAAATATATATATATATATATATATATATATATATATATATATATAGTCTATACTACTAATAAAACATATAAAATGTTGTATATGTGGTTAATCTGGAAATTTCAAAGTTTTTGTAAATATGAAGATCATAGTTCGATGTATAAAAAGAAATAATTAAACATGTTAATGAATTGAACAACGATTACGCATATGCATTACAATATAGAATATAGAAGGATAATGATCCTCTTGCTCATTAAATTCCTTACGTAAATAAATAATCCGTACCCTTATTTACTAGATTTATGTGAAAATACAAATGGTATTCAATCAATGCATATTATGTATCGAGAATGCAGCACAAAGTAAATTGAGCCGTGATGAAAAACCATGCATTTATCATTATTATAAAGCTTTGTTATATACCATTACGAATTGTTGAGATATTATAAATAGATTTTTTTATTTAAACAATAATAAACAAGAATTGTAATAAACATAATATTTATCTATGCAGTTGCTTACGATAAGTATATAAATTATTCATAAATAAAGATATAATTAAAAAAATTTGTATCATTTGGAAACGTATTTTAATAGTATTTTGATTGTTTCAGGAACGATTTTTTTCTTTATAATTAATAATTAGTCAGTATTTTCTAATCTATCTACTCATCGATCAATTCAATTCTGTTTTTTATAAAAAAAAAAAAAAAAAAAAAAAAAAAAAACAAATATAATCTTTTTTTTTTTTTTTTTATTAATCTCAGTATTGAATGGATAATTAGAAATGTTTTTGTTTATAAAATCAATCGAACTAGGACAAATTATATTTGTTAAATTTCCGTTAAAAAAAATTCAAATACCTTTAGCATAATTTGCTCTAATAATAAAACCAATCGTTGTCAGATTCGTAATCTCCTTCTTTTTCAATCATAAAGATAAATTCGATTAAGAACGTAAGTATATTTAAAAATTTCATAATTATGGCTTTAGTTATCCGCCGTAATTAGTAAATTTAGTAAATTATAGGAAAAATTTGAGACAATCATCGGTAACGGTACATGTCGCTATGCTTAATGAAAGCATCGTTTTATTATCACATCGATTTCTTTTATCATCTATAGATTTTGTTATGGGAAGAGTAATTTGAATTTTCGTTCTCTTATTTGTTTTGTTATTCTATATTTGAAAGAAATTTTTGGATATCTCGTTCAATAAAATACAACGAAATAATTTTGTATTTTATTTACATAATAATTTATGTAAAAATATGCTAATTGCATTATCAAACACACAATTAGATACAATTTAAGTATAGTTCATAAGAATATTAAGAATTAATAAGTTTTTAATAAATTAAAGTGCAATTCCGATTGAATGAATATTGTTTCCAAAAATTTATCAAATAAAAAACTTTAAGAGCTTACATATACGAAATAAATAGTGGATTATATTAATATTTCTATTATTGCTCACCAAAGTATAAAAGTTGAGAAAGTGAGTGTTATTTAATTAGAGACTTTGATTAATCTTTGACATACTAATGAACGAAATAGGAAAAACTTTAATATATATATACAATTTGAGCATTATTGATAAGTATTCATTATTCAATATTCTATCCTTCAATTATTCAGTTTAACTGATGTCTATCCTATATTTAATCAATCCTCTTCGCTACTTTTTTAACCGAATAAAGATTTTTTATGTGCATTTTTGTTTTCTTAATACATTTTTGTAATTACGATTAAATTGTCATAATGAATACATACGAATATTGTGTATCGCGTATCAACGAAATCAATCACGCGAAATCAAATTAAATAAATTATTAGAAGCGCATAATAGTTCTAGTAGCATCATCTAGATAAGTGTTATAGATAGCTGAATAGGTGGATAGTTTTATAAACAAAAACATGTCAATAATTCTTGTATAACATTTATAACATCTTAAGCAATATAATTTATATGTAAAAAGCAATTACATGCGTCATCGACAACAATACATTCTATGTAAATATAATAATAATCTTGTTATTGAAAAAAAAAAAAACTCACTACGTAACAAGTGTAAAAATTGAAAATTAAGTTCTAATGATTATTGGTAGATGTCAAAATATTTTACATTTTAAAATAAATTTAGAATATAAATCAAAAGCATTACGATTACAGCTAATTACATACGCTTGTTAAATATAAAAATAAATATCTACTTACCATCTTCTTTAATCATTATAATGAATTTATTTTCATTTATTTATTTCTACAATGAAATATTCAAATTACAATTGGATAACATAAATGATGTACTTTTAGTCGTAAAATGCGCATATTTTCTGAATCTAGCGAACTCGTGAGCGAGCCTTTAAACGTACACGATTATTATTTTAATAAATAAAGTACGATAATGTATCATTGAATGATTATTAAAAAACAAAAGAATAAAAAAAAAAAAAAAAAAAAAAAAAGAAGAGCCCATTGCTTAAACTTCTGCCAAGATGGTCAACTGTTTATCGATGAACACGCATATGCCAAACGATTGTTTTATTTAAAATAATAGAGTCGATAGGCACTAAATATATGTAATTCTTGGATTCGCTTATACGAAAATATATAATAATATTTAATCTGAAATAATTAGGCCGATTTCATGACCTATTGACGGGTTGATTTGTAAAAGATAATTTTGAAATTAGCCCCTGTGGCCTAATGGATAAGGCATCGGTCTCCTAAACCGGGGATTGTGGGTTCGAGTCCCACCAGGGGTATGTGAAAAATTTTTGTTTCAACTTATGATTTCATAGCCAAATTAAATTTTGACAAGGTTTGTGTTTGGTTTCTCTCTTCTTTCTTCCTTTATAAAATTATTTTTAACAGCAGTTTTATATTACTAACAAAAATCTTTGTATAAACATTAGAATTTTGAAGTTGTGTATGGTGTGGCGCTGTTGTATTGTGTTGTGTTGTGTTGCGTGTGCGTGCGCGCGTGTGTTTATACGCACACATTTTTAATCATACAGTATTTTTATAATGAGAGATAAATCGAGCAGATGGATCTGTGACGCCTTTTACCCATTGCGGCATCCAGTAATAAGGGATTAAACTCTCTCCGCAACCATGATAATGAGATTCAAAAGCTTTTCTGTAATAATAAATTGTATTGGGATTTTTCATTTATATTAGTGTGATAATGATGTCGTCAACGTCTCATTTTTATAATGAGAGAAAATATTACACAACAATTATTTCTTAACGATAAATTTATGTTCGTGCGAATAGTTTTTGCTTTTCTTTATTCAGAGTTTCGTAAACAATAATATAACGAGCGACGGTAACAACATAACAACAATGTATTTCTAATTGTGTAAATTTTTATTACCTATTCTTAAGAATGAACTTTTTTTTCTTTTTTTTTTATCTACTTTCTTGTTCTTTATTATTTATATTGTATAGAATTTTTCAGCATATTATTAAAAAAAAATTATCAAGCAAGTATCGGATTGCAATACAAAAATGTTTTTTAAATTTTAATAAGATATTAATTATTATCTGTACGATTGAACAGTATAGAATAGTAAAAATATTGAATATTTAAATCTTCTTAAGGCATGAATTTTCTGTTTAATATAGTACGTAGATGGCGCTATCATCAATCGTCAAGAGCTTGATAATAAGTATTTATGTAATTAAGTATTAATATAGAATTACAACGAAAAAATCACCTCTTTGTACAATTATTAGTGTACATTTATATTATAAATGTGAAAATAGAAATATTTAGACGTTTATTATTTTTGAAAATTTCGACAAACTCAAACCTTCAGGAAATGTTTAAATAGATAGTATTTACCTGTAATAGTAAGCTTCTTTTGTTTTTGGTGTGCAGTGAGGATAAATTTCACATGCCGCTTTTAAATCGTCATCCTGCACTTTATCTTCAATAATTTCGTTGAGAATTTGAAAAAGAGATTTTTTAATAGATGTTACACCATCGCTAAAAGCTTCCTTGCTTCTCCACAAGATATTATTTGGCAGCAAATCACTTCCATCGAACGCCGATCTAAGCAAATATTTTTCTACACCATCTAAAAAATAAGAAACATGACAATAGTTTGTATGTAATTATGTTCTTTCAAAAACCATTACATTACTTTGTGGTTGTCGTAAAAATGGATCTAGAGATAGATAGTAATTAGTAAACTGTAGATCTAAAAATGGTACTCTTAATTCCAAACCAAATGCACTAGTCATTCTATCTGCGCGTAGACCATCGTAGAGATATATATCTTTCAATAGTCTTAGAGATTCCTTATGGCCATCGAATGCATTTGGCGCATCTTTAAAATAAATGTACCCTTGTGCCAATTCATCGGCACCTTCGCCGCTAAAAATCACAGTAGTATCGGTATTCGTTTTAATGTATCTGGCTATCAAATACATGCTTAAAAATAAAATTAATTGTAATATTAAAAATTTGATCGACGAGTAAGAGTAATATATTTGTTGAGAAATTGCAATACCCAACGGAAGCCCGAATTGTCGTTATGTCAAAGGTTTCGAGATAATAAATTACTTTATCGAGGACCTCTACTATATCTTTTTCTGTAATAATTATTTCATGATGCTCGGTACCAATATGATTAGCGACCTTTAAATTTAATAATAAATAGTAATATGAATTATGTGATTTAATAGAATAGATGACAAATAAAGATTATTGCAACCTGTCTCGCTGCCATTATATCTGGACTATCTTCCATTCCGATTGAAAAACTTTGGATTTTATATGATAAATTATGTTTCTTTGCTTGCTTTACAAGAATAGAAGCAACCAAACTAGAATCTAATCCACCCGATAATAAGCAACCTATTCTTCTCTCAGCCATCAGACGCTTCTCTATAGCGGCTGAGAATAATATTTTGATATTCTCCTGAATATCTGTTGAACTCAAATCTAAATACAATTTGTCGTTAGAATCATTGGGATTGACTATTTATTAATGATAATTTATCAACAAGGCTACATATATTCTAAACATTACCATTCCAAGGTACGTAAGTATTAAAACTAGGCTTCTGTCCTGGTTCATGATATTGTTCTTGTCTTACAAATTTAACCAATCCATTTTCTAAAATATCATATTCTTCAAATGTACCTGGAGTAAATGGTTCTACTACATGATCTCCGGATAATAATTTTGCAATGCCTACTAAAGCCTTTAATAATTACAAAAAACAAGTTTATTAATTATTTAACAGGTATTAATAGTATATCTCTTATAAATCTTTATCAATGATATTATCTATTATTACAAACATTCGAATCATAACTTTAAAGTTCTTTCAAACTGATAATTTTCATAGGTAATAAATATTCATTTCATGCACATTCAGAAATATTTGAAAATATTAAATCAATCATTTTTAATTTTTCATAGACAATTTAAAAATGTCTATTTTAATAAAATAAAAACCTTAGGGTAGCATCTGTAAGATTTATTAGAAATAAAATGATTGTATTGAAATAAAATTGTAAATTAATTTTTTTTTTTTTTTTCTTTCTTTAAATGCTTAATAATTAATGGGCAATGTTTATAAGTCGCAAACTAGAAAATTAAATATGAAAAAAAAAAAAAAAATTGCCTCCTATAAAAACTTGCCAATTAAGTAAAATAAACTCACTTTACTTTCAGATGAAATAGCCAATTGTCCGTTGGCAGTTAAAATCTTAAAAAGTGGTCTGATTCCATATGGATCTCTACCAAGTAAAATTTTTTTCTTTTCAGCATCTAACAAGCAAAATGCAAAGACTCCGTCTAAATTTTTGCAAACATCATTAATGCCCTTTGTAGCATAAAGGTGCATCAATACTTCTATGTCACATTTGGTTGAGCATTCAAAGCCATGAATTTCCTTTAACTGAATGCATTTACAATACAAAATAAATTTTTATATCTTAATTCATTCAATTTTATCTATAATTTTTATAAATTTTAATCGAATTAACTTCTAAGAAACTTACATTATTGCAATTATATATTTCACCATTGCAAAGTAAATATAAAAGGGGGTATTTGTAATGTCTTATTGGTTGCATACCACAGAGACTATCAACAATTGATAATCTGTGGAAGCCAAGATAGGCATTCTGTAATTAAAAGAATATTTTATTTAAATATTGTGGTCAATGAAGAATCGATGAATTTAAATATGAAAATACCTTGATGCGATTATCGTGCTCAATTTTAAATGCATCCGGCCCTCTATGTGATATTTTTGAAAAATTGTCACATATACAGCTGAGCGAATTCGACTCAAACCCAAATAAAGCCCACAAACCACACATGATATAACTAAAAAGTGGCTACGCTTAAATTTAAGTACAGCTAGTGTATTGCAGTATTATTGTATGCCGTCGTTATTAATCCGACTTTATCAGTTTGTGCAATGATTTGATCGTACGCTTCAATCTGTGTAGAGTTTTAAACTCACACATAACTATATACAGTATGTATAAATTATCCAACCCGACCACGTGGAAGTTTATGGAAGTATATACTGGGTGATCCAAAAAGAATGATCTCGCACATCTGGAAAAAAATTATGGCTTACGAGGAAAACTTAAAATGTTGATGTTGAATGAGATTAGTTTGATGAAAAAATATTAATTAAATTATGTATTACAACTTTTGGGACACTTAGAATTGACATTGATATTATAACGATTATTTTCTCAATTCTATTAGCTTACTAAGCAGTTTTACACGTTTAATTAATTTTGCCGAGTAAAGCGTACAACTGCGTTACTTCGTGAAGGAAAAGAATTAAAAAAAAAAAGTATTTTTAAATAATCTTAAATTCATTACAATATCTTATGTAAATACGTAGAACTTTTTTTATACTTAAAATCAAATTCGTCAAATAAAATATCAAAAATAGCGAACAATCATGAAGTATTATAGATAATATATGAATTAAATCGTAAATTCTAATATAATTCAATTTACAAGTAAATATACCTGTTCATTCCCATTATATATAGTTCAACAATGAATGTTTTCAAACGAAAATACCCTAAATGATTTTATATACATGGCAGGTATATCGATGCAAAACTAATGTTTTTTTTTTTTTTTTTTTTTTTTTTTTTTTTTTTTGTACAGAATTAATCATTTAATTTAGATAAATTTTCTTCCATCTTTACTTTGCACGTGCGTACGTGCGTGAATGCGTGCGTGTGCGCGCGCGAGCAATTAGTAGAATTAAACTTCTTTACGCTTCCACTATCTCGTTTTTTATTTTAAAAAAAGTTTAATGTTAGTTAGTGTGATTTATTCAATATAAAGCATATTTCAACCCTTCTGGAGTACAAAATTATGCAGCATTTAATTCATTCTCTTCTCCACTTTAACGTATAACAACATCGATATCCAATTTTATATCTTAATTTTATGTAATTGGCCATTGATGTTCTACCCATTCGTCTAATCCTCAAGTGTTTCATCATGAAAATTGAAAATTACTTATATCATTTATTCGAAACGAAAAATATAAAATAACTTATTATGTAACATAAGTGTTAAACATAAAGAAATTTCAATATGAATACCAACATTTACGCGAATGTGTTATGTATGTGTATGGGTGCATGAATTTGTCAATGAATTGTTATTATTGTTATTACTAGGCAGCATATTTAGCATATAACTTTTCTTCGTTAAAAGTTTCACATTCTACGATTCACACGATCGATTAGATTTTAGAAATTGTTTTAATTAATTTTAATTAATTTCAATTACTGTAAATAAATTACTTAAAATTTCTTTTAAATATTAGTGATTAATGCCGTAAGTGAAAGTTGTTTATTTCCACTTGATGGCAGCATATTTGAAATGTTCCTTTCCAGAAAAGATTATTTTATAGTAAAAGATGTTAAAATTTACAGGTAAAATTTGAAAATAAATAAAAGTTATATTATGCACTTACAACATTTATATACAAATATTTATCTTTTCTCATGGTCGCATCAAATTGTTTCATCATTTCTATCTTTTTATGTTACTAGTAGTCGTGTAAGTCATGAGTTGATTAAATGTTACAATATTTGCTTGCCCAGCTGGTTGATTATTATTTGCTTAAGCTTGAAAAAATTCCGTATTTTCTGAAATGTCTGTTATTTTCCTTTATCAACTGACATTTTTCGTAATGTCGTCTCTAAAACTGATCTTTGAAGAATAATGAAGATTTTATGACAATACAATACAGCCGTTAATAAACGTATCACTATTAATTAATCTACAAAAATTATTTAAAAATAAAATCTTAAATTTCTTTTAAAAAGATTAAAAAATTATTATTATTATTATTTATTATTATTATTATTATTATTATTATTATTTATTTATTTATTTTTTATTATTGTTGTTGTTGTTATTATTATTATTATTATTATTATTATGTAATGTTATTTAAATTACTTACCTAAAACGTGACTATTGTTGAAAGTAATTACAATTTTGTCGAGCTCATAGTCTTAATGTCTAAAATATTTCATTCGGAGATTCAATAACTCGTTAATTTTAATTCTATTAACATTTATGTATAATCATATTGAAATTATTGATAAATCTTTTATGATGTAACTAATAGGCAATACAGCGTTTCGCCTGGTACAATTTTATAATTATTTGAATTACATTATTATTTTATGTCATTATTTTAGTTGGATATAATTGCTGGAATATATCTTAAAACTTTTAACCACAGATTATTTAGTTACGTAAAGAATATATGTACAAATACTAAGTACTGGAGCAATAAACGAAGAAAAAAAAAATTATTATTATGACAAAATTTATTCATTTACAAACATTATTCATTTACAATATTTATAAGAGATAATAAATTTCATAATATTCAACCCAAGAACTTGCAATTAATTTTTTTTACCTCGGAATAATATTTAGATTGAATGAATGAACGATGAGAGGCAGTGCTTAATTTTACATGTGCATGTACTTATTGGAGAAAATTGTTAATTCGAAAGAGCATGAAAGACAGATCTATGAATTTTCTGAGAATTATTACTTTATATTAAGAATTTATTAGGATTTGTAAGTATACGTGGTGATTATGGGATGTCTTGTTCTATATTAAAAAGAAATCGGATCGTTTATTTATCTCGGCTCTTTCCTTCTCTATTCTTCTCCTACTAATGTTTTTCATTATCGTTTTTCTTAATCTTAATCGATTCGTTTTGGCTGTGGATCAGTCGATCGCAGCCACTCCATATGTACGTGCGAAATCGCGTTTCACGAACGTTTGCTATAATTAATTTACAATATAGAAGTTCCATTCGTTCAATAATAATTTTTTATTCTCCCAATTCAATCATCACACACATACATAATTTATACACTTTTCTAATAGTATAATTTTGGGCTTCGATTTATCATTAAGATATGTTTTTCTTAATAAGGAAAAATTTCAACAAGCACATGCAAAAACATTATGTAACCATGCTTACACTCTTATTTACATGCAATAATAAAAGTAATTACTTTTTTCATACTTATTTATGAGCTTTGTATGTGCTTACGTCAGTCGATTGAAATCATATTTGAAAATGTTAAAATTCAAAATTTATTATAGGTATGGATTATTCAAGGGCCTTAAATATGTATGCCCATGAATGAAAAATCAGAGACGCAATAACAATTAAAGTGTGCATGTATAATATATATATATATATATATATATATATATATATAAGTTTTAACATATTACGTATAGAGTTGGCAATTACCATAAACGTATGCATCGCAGTTAATTCATATAAGATATATTAACAATACACTGAAATATCGATGAATTGTATCGTTTGGTAGGATGGCTTTCTACTCCTACTGTACTTCTCACCTATTTTTCGCATTGAAAAAATGCGTGAGGTCCGAGGGGCAATGCCAGTAAGGCCAATGCGTATTCCAGCAAGTTTCGTAATGCACATGTGAGCGCGAAAGAGGATATACCTCATTAGGAATTGAAATAATTTATTTAACCCTTCAGTCCATCATCCACGACATTCTACCTTTCGATTAAAGTCAACATTATAATAGGCCCGCCTAGCTTCGCCAACCTCTTTTCTCTACCGGATTCTCTCTATTGATGATTGAGCTTTCATCGTCTCGACATTCAAATAATCATTCGAATTGTAGATTTTAAAGGCATGCGGCGCGTGGACACGAATATACAGAGAATGTCTTTCTCAATCGCACTGCGATGCTTTCCGCATTCGACACTTGGGGTCTGAAAACTTATGCTTCGCATAGTGTAATTGAGTTGACTATGCTTGTATATAGAGGCTGCTCGCAAGGTCTTAAGAATTTCATGTTAGTTATATCTCTGTTCAGGGTCATCGATACTTTTGCTGCCTTGTTGGCTACTCTTGTGATATTGACTTGGAGCTCGAATCTGTTATCAAGCGCCACTTTCGTCTGGAACTACGAGTTCTCCGCGTGTACGAGGCGCGAGATGAATATAATATACGCCTCTTTGCAAGTAATATCATCTCGGTCTTTGTTGCGTGTAGCTGGATCACAAGTTAACTGGACTTAGTTGGCAATTAAGCCGCATCTAAATAAATGACACGTTGTCATGTACGAAGAGGACAGTTGCCACTAAATTATCCGCATATCCAATAAGCAGAGAATGCCCCCTATCGTCTTTCTATTCCTAGGTTCTACTATACACGATTTATTTTATTAAACCTATACCTAAAGCCAGGCTATAAAGTTAAGATCTATTCAACTATTTATTATATTGAGATATTAAAAATATTTTTAAAGAATTACAAATTAAATGTTATGTTCAAAATTCAACAACGCTTACTCAAATAGAACAACATCATTAATTGATTTCCCCTCGTCTAACAATTTATCTATTTTTAATAGCTTTTTCATTGCAACGTGATTTGGCTATAGTTTTCAAAAAAAAAAAAAAAAAAAAAAAAAAAAAAAAATCATTATTTAAAGTACAAAAAATCTATTCGAAACAATAACGTAACATTTTTAAATTATGAAATATTTTTATTAGATGAACGACAAATATTTTTAACTTTTTTTTTTCCCCCATTCTAATTTATAATTTTCAGTTAGAAATATTATTTTATTTATTAAAAGTTCCATTTGCAGTTACAAAGAATAATTTAAATTTCATTAATTTCCTTTATATCCTTAGCAAGCATCTGTTTTTACACATGTGCACATCTAATGAAAAAAAAACCAACTATTTGTAAATTCATATTTCATGGGTTTTCTGAATACGGTATGGAGTCATGTAATAACTGATGATACAAATAATTTAACAATATATAATAGAACAATATAATTATAATGTATCTTCCGATGAGTTGAAACGCTTATTGAATTTTATCATAAGAGTCTCTCATGAAATAGGTTTTTTTATTTTGTATACGTTATTCACAAATGAAAATTCCATTTCGTATTTACATAAATGAGTTTATGAAATAATACAAATATTCAAGTAAGAAATAATCATTTCCGTAAATATCTTAACACATGGATAAAAAAAAAATAACAAAATTGATCATTATAATTGACATAGAATTGTAGAAAGTATGTACAAAATCAATATCGACTATACACATAAGACTGAGTACGTTACTTCTTTTGTTTTTTTATTATCTCTTCGCATCTTATTGAAAATCCTATTAAAAACTTTATTTACTTGAATAATTCAATAAGTTTATAAGAAATTATTATTTTGTATTCTCTAATGGTTGTTTATAATTTTTATATATACCCAATTGAATTATCGTAAATTATACGAAGACTTTTTATAACGTTTCCTTTTCTTTCTCCTCTCATGACTACGAACAATTGACATTTCTAATTAATAAACCACAACTATAATGATATTATTTATAAATATTTGTATTTTACGATAACGCAACATTTTATTAACAATTATCCTAATTATCCCCTACTTTCTACCGTAACGTCATATCAATGAATTGTCGGGGGATTTTTTTTTAGTTTTTAGCCTTAAGACTTCACTTAAAAAAAGTATTGAATATTCGTCAAATATAATTTATGCGTTCAGTTTTTGTTAATAGATGTCAAGTAGCGCGTTTAAAAGGTTTTTGTGAGTGTAAGCAAATAATTATTAATCTATCTTAATGTAAATATTTCAGAATAAGCATCTTTACATTAAGGTATTGTGTATAGAAGAGTGTATGGATTGTGGATGATTAAACGGTGGAATTAAATGGAATAAAGGTAGCGCACGTACTCGTAAAATCATTGAAAGTCTCATTCTTATCATATAATTTAGGCAAGATCCCCCCCCCCCCCCCCCCCCCCCCCCACCCCCCCCCCACAACCTCCACAACCTCCACAACCTCCACAACCTCCACAACCTCCACAACCTCCACAACCTCCACAACCTCCACAACCTCCACAACCTCCACAACCTCCACAACCTCCACAACCTCCACAACCTCCACAACCTCCACAACCTCCACAACCTCCACAACCTCCACAACCTCCACAACCTCCACAACCTCCACAACCTCCACAACCTCCACAACCTCCACAACCTCCACAACCTCCACAACCTCCACAACCTCCACAACCTCCACCACCAACCGTCGAATCGAATTAATTTTCAAGTTAAAAGAACGTTGACGGGCAGATACGGTCACGTGTCGAAGGGACCCGCTGAAGACGGTCACCGGCCAATTGCACGTTGCCGCCACCGCCACTACCATCGCGATTCAATGCATACGTACATAGATATCGCCCACATGCGCGGCCAGCGGGGAACACAAACACACAGCGAGGAAGGATAGGAGCAACACACGAGAGCGAATTGAACACAGGCCGAGCGTAGATCACAGTAGACGTCTAACGACGGACGTCGGACGTACGGGCGGCGTATCGACGGATTGTCGTACGCGCTGGCTGTCGTCCTCGTCCTCGTCGGCGACGGCCTTCGTCTCTTTTGCGGTTTTTGGCTCCGCTGGGATCCTCCTCTCCTTCTTCTCGCCAGCGACGGCGCGCGAGAGAACGCGAGGCGACCGTAAAAGTGATTAACCGCGCGCGCGCGCGCGCATATACCGTGTCGAGGGCAACACGAGAGCGTCCCGTGTAAAATGGCATCCGCGACGTCGTCGTCATCGTCGTCGTCGTCGTCGACGTCGTCGACATCGCACAATGAGGTCCCTCGACAACAGCAGGTCCAGTTCCCCGTGAGCAAACTCATCCGCGTCGGCTACTACGAGCTGGAGAAGACGATCGGCAACGGGAACTTCGCCGTCGTTAAAATGGCCACCCACGTCGTCACGAAATCCAAGGTGACAATAATACCATCATCGTGAACTTCATGTGTAGGGAGCGAGATAGCGCGCGCGCGATATATATATATATATATATATATATATATATATATATATATATGTGTGTGCGTGTGTGTGCGCGCACGTATTATGCATAGTATTGATATATATATATATAGCGTGCGTGAGATGTAGAGTGAAGCGACGAGAAGAGAGAAGTGAGAAATAGATGGGAGAGAGAGAGAGAGAGAGAGAGAAAATGACGGATAGACAGTATAAACGAATTAGTGATAGAGAGAAAAACAATCACTGATTCACTGATTTTTTTACGTTCTCTTTCCTCCCTCTTTCGACTCACTCTCTTTTACCGTATATGAAAATTGTGCTTTTACAATATCGTGTGCACATATGTATTTTTATCATCAACTTTCTCCACTTCTTTCCATTTACGTACAATTCTTTGTCGTACGTGCACGTCATTTGGAAGATGATTTGTCTTTGGGCGCTAATGCATTTTTATGGCTAACTCGCGCTCTTCCTCTATACTAATACGTCGCGATGCATGTGCATAGTTAGTGTTACTATTGAAAATAAATAGAGGACGGGAGAAGGAGTGAGATGGAGAGAAGTTTTACTTTATCCTTGTTCCCAGCGAGAAATCGAAAATAATAGGATATGTTGGCTAATAGAAATAATTCGCATAACATTTTTTTCTATTTGCAGTTTATGTGCATTATTAATTTTTATCTTCTATTTTACTGTTCTCTTCTTCATCCCGACCTGCCTTTCGCACACACACTCTCTCTCTCTCTCTCTCTCTCTCTCGCCCTTGTTCCCATCCTCCAACCCTCCCACCCTCATTCTCCCTCATTCACACATACATACTCTCTTTCTCTCTCTCTCTCTCTCTCTCTCTCTCTCTCTCTCTCTCTCTCTCTCTCGTGTTCATCGTCTTACAAAGATTTTCCGCTCGACGAGATGTTACTACTGCCGCTGCTATTGCTGTTGCTGCTGTTAATGCTCATCGAGAAATTGCCGGATACATATGTACATTTAGCGCATGATTCCATTGCATGCATGGAGAGATGACGAAAAGAATTAAAGAGGGAGAGAGAGTGTGTGTGTGTGTGTGTGTGTGTGTGTGTGTGTGAGTGCTTTAAATGAAACAAGGGTTAGAAAGAGAGAAATAAATCTAGTGTTGATGACGCGTATGAAGGGCTACTTCTGTCCTGCTCACACTACTTATATTCCATCTCTATCTCTTACTTTATCTTTTTCACGGTGCTTCTTTACGAGACTTTATATTTGCAATGGAATATTGGACCTATGATATCATTATACTCATTTTTAATTTTCAATAGTATATTGTTTTTCTCCAATGTTCTGCCTGTCTGTTTTCTTTTACTAATTCATCAATTATACTTTTCAATGGAAAATAAAGGACAATATTGGCATTTATTATAATTTAAATTTTTTTTATGTACATTGTCTTCCCTTTTGACCATTTCTAATCCCTATATTATTAATTATTTTTTTTAACATAGTGCTTCATGTCTTTATACTTGAATGCTTTATTAATTATATATAAATATTGAAAAGTATTATATCACATAAATTTTAATGATTATAAAATTCCAATATTATTAGTTGGATTTCATAAAAAATTAAAACAACAGTAGGAAATCAGTGTATCGAAGAAAATAAAAATATACCTATGATACTCTTTGTAATAGAATTCGTTGTGTGAAATTACATTTTTAATAATTATAAATTAACCTTATATGCAAATGCGATTATAATTAATGTCCTGCAGTCAGAAATTTTAAATCTACATTATCATTACAAATTAGATTGTCAATTATAATAAATTGAAATGCAAATATATTAATATTTAATTATAAATTGTTATACAGATAATATTTAGCCAAACACTTCATTTCAATAAATAGATTTTAATTTTTAAATAAGATTTTATGAAATATATAATTTAAATGTATTTATTTATCTTAAAATAGCAATTATTTAAAATTGACAGATTTAATCACCAAAATACTTCACATAATTTCAATTCAATTGCACATTGTATTATAGATAACTTAATAGGCTTAAATATTAATTATAAAATTTTATTTATATTGATATCCAAACAGAATTTATGGACTTTTTTATTATTATAGGTGGCCATTAAAATAATTGACAAAACAAAGTTAAACGAAGAGAATTTAGCAAAAATTTTTCGCGAAGTGCACATAATGAAGAGACTGAGGCATCCCCATATAATTAGACTTTATCAAGTTATGGAGACAGAAAAAATGATTTACTTGGTGACGGAGTATGCACCAGGTGGTGAAATATTTGATCACTTAGTAAAAAATGGCAGAATGGCAGAGCCAGAAGCAAGAAGGGTATTTCATCAAATTGTTCAAGCAGTTCATTATCTTCATAGACAAAAAGTTGTTCATCGAGATCTTAAGGTATAGTTAAATGATATAATTAAGTTAATAAAATTTTCTTTATACATATATACAAGTGAATATAATATCTGAAACTATTTCGTTCCACCTTAACAATTAATTTTGATATTCTGCGTAAGAATAACCTCATCGAATATTGCATTATGTAAATGAACGTTGATTATATAATTAATATATTAATTACACATGGATGTATATTAATTTTGAATCATCAATATATCAATTTTGAAAAAGTTGCTGAAAATTATATACATCGTATTTGTAAATTTTATCATACATTTGTCTGTAAGTTATTTATCAGAAGAGTTATTATTAATAAGCTTTAAATTATTAATAAACTATGAAGATTATGAAAGTCACAGTAAATAAGTAAAAATTGGAAGATTATAAAGTAATTAAAATTATTATGTTGATCTTTATTATGTTGATTTTTATATTATATATCATATATAATATAAAAAAGAATATAGTGCAAAATTTTTATGTTAATGTAGGGAATAAAGTACTTTTAATATACAATGAATTTTAATTTAAAAAGTAACAATTAAATACATTAAATATTTACTTAGTTATTAAAGTTATGCAATAATTATAAAGTTGTTTATACAGTCACTATTCTTATATTATGATTTATCCAAATAAATATTTAAAGTTGCTTAATCAATTTATGATTTTTAATAATATTTATTTATTTTTATGTACATATATATATATATATATATATATATATATATATATATATATATATATATATATTATTTTTATTTAATTTTGCTTTAAATCTTAAATATACTTAATTAATTTTATTATTTTATTATTATTACTTATTTTTATAGACATGAATTGGAATTAAGCGAATAAGTAATGTAAAATTTAAAGTTAGCGCCAAAATGATATATCATTAATTAGAAATACAATTGAACCGCTTAATAAAAGATTTATATTGTCTTTTTCATAAAATGTCATTAATGTAAAACCGCATACTTTTAGGCTGAAAATTTGCTGTTGGACGCGGACAACAATATAAAATTGGCCGACTTTGGATTTAGTAATGAGTATACACCAGGTGTCCCTTTAAATACATGGTGTGGTTCGCCACCTTATGCAGCGCCAGAAATATTTGAGGGAAGACAATACGACGGCCCACGAGCAGATGTTTGGGTAATAAACAACAGACTTTACATTTTATTTGTTTAATTGGCAATTTCGTTTTTATATTCTAAATTATATTTCATATTGTAGAGTCTAGGAGTAGTGCTGTATGTGTTAGTTTGTGGTGTTTTACCATTTGATGGACCCACTATGCAGTCACTCAGGTCTGTCGTGATTTCAGGAAAATTTAGGATACCTTTTTTTATGTCTGGAGGTAAGTTGAAATTGTCGTATGGCTACAAATTTTTTTACTAGAATTCTCAGAAATCCTATTATAATTGTATCTATTTTATAGAGGAAGAAAATCCTTGACTCTTAATTTTTCTAAAAACTATTTTAATAATTAAAAGAAAGAGGAAAAAAAAACCAGAAATAAGTGACTTTACATAGTTAAAAATTCAATCATATTTTATTACTTCACTCTCATGTTTATTTAAATATCATTTATTATTTTATTCTCGCGTTTTATAACAAAGTTCGTTATTTTATTCACGTATTTGTTTAATCTAGTCTATTATTTTATTTTTATATTTGATTAGCCTCGTTTCTTATTTTATTCTCGTATTTCTTTAGCCTCGTTTATTGTTTCATTCCCGTATTTTCATTAATATGTTTGAATCCATATCTCGTTTAATAAGAAAAATAGCGTTATCATAAATACAATTTTTTTAAATAAATAGCATTATAAGCCAATTAGCGAGAAAATAACTTCTCGCCGAATTTAAATAAGAAAATATTATGTCTTGCTGATAGCGCGAATTTAATTACGATACTAAGGCTTGTATTTACATCATGTTCACAAAAACTTCGTAAACAATATATTTCAATACTATTAAACTCACTTGTTACGTTTGGAAGAAAATTAAATAAAAAGTTGAAGTACATTTAGGTCGCTTAGTATTGTTGAACAACGATCACACGTTGGAGCGAAAATTCTTCCCTACCTAACGACGTCGAGCGGTTAGCTTACAAATTCATGATCATTTAAAAAGCATCGAAATTTCTGGAGTTGCTAATTGACCCGATTAAGCACACGAACGAGTCGATTGAATATTTCTTTTTCTTTTAAAAGATCGTTCAAACTACTTGTCTAACGATTTTGAATAGAGTGCGAAAAGCTCATAAGGCACATGCTGGTTGTGGAGCCGGAGCGCCGCCTCAGCATCTTGCAGATCCTGGCGCACCATTGGATGAGCGGTGACGGGTACTCGTCGGAACCGGAGCTCGTAGTCGAGCGGGGCAGCCCCGAGATGTCGGTCCAGGTCTCGCCGCAGCTCAATCAATTGGTGATCGAAAGTATGCTCACGTTACCGGACCTCGACGTGGACACACTCCTGCAGGCCGTACAGGGCAATGCCTTCAATCACGTTTCCGCGATTTACAATTTGCTGGTCGATCAATTGGAGAGCGCCGTGACGAGCGTCCCGAGCATACAGTCCGTCCCGGGCGGCTACATGCCCGACGACGCCCATCAGCTCGAGAAGGTGATTGCGCGCATTCGCTCCTCCATCGTCCACACGATTCAATCTTATTTCATCAGCATCCTCTTCTCAACTTTAATAGCCAATCATTTTATCTCGTATAGTGCATAAATTCTATTGGACTTTATATTGCATTACATAAATATGCATTATGTTGAAATGAAATTATATGTAATTATTATAATCGTTGATATAATAAAGGCATGAAGTACATTGGCACCGAATTTGACACGCGTTCCTATTGAGTTCAAAGAAAATTAAATAATAAAATGTCCAATGATGATATACTAGACTATCGTGACAATTAGAATTCTATGTAATTAAGAAAGAATCAACTTAATATTAACGTTATATCAATTTTAATTGAATGCGTAATATATCGTTAATATATATATATATATATATATTCGTAACTATTAGCTTTTTTAAAGTCGAGCCGTCAACAAATGTAGTAGGAGTTTGGAAAGATTATGCGGGAGGAGCGTAGAGTCGCAGGAAAGCGGCCAAACACTTATTAAATGTATTTTGTTCCTGACTCATTACAGTTTGGCGAAACGGAGGGCGGAGAAATGGAAGAACGGGGTGGCCTGCAGCTACCGATCGGTACCCCCTATCACGCGACAAGGCGTCACACCGTCGGCCCGGGTGACACGGCCCACCAACCCACTGGTACCGTCTACCCCTGCGGATATAACGCCGGCTACGCACCCCTTCACCTCTTACCGAACCTCCAGCTAAGCACCGAGCCCCAGGTGTTGCCGCACACGAATCTCGCCCTCAACTTACCCCTCGTCCAAAATCAACCGCCCCAAAACTTTCAGATTAAGGATCAGCATCTTCTCAAGCCACCCTCCGCCATGGGGGCAAGTAAGTCCATTCTTCTTTTTATTTCTCATGATATTTTAATCCTCGATATAGTGTTATTTTGTCTTAAAAAAAAAAAAAAAAAATTAATCTCCCGATTATAAATACTCGACTGGAAATTTGGTTTAACAGTGTTGCGCACAAAAATAATAATTTGTTTTTTTTTTCTTTTTCTTTTTCTTTTTTTTTTTACCATAACATCATTGGTATGGAGGAGACCTTTCCCGTCAAATTTTCTATTCATTTACATATAAATTTAATTCTTGTAATATTGATTTAAGCGCAATCTTAATGAAGTATTCGATCTGAAAACACTATATGGTTTCCCTGTTTTAAAATTTTCAATTTATACTTTAATACAATCAGTTTAATTGATTAAAACATAAAATTTACTTAATCTTTATTAGATTTATAAGCTCGTACATGTTGCCTGAGAAAGTATGTGATTTTATGTTCATATGAAGTTTCATGTTTTAAAAGTTTAGCAGTCAATTTTTGGTAAAAGCCAACATTTGAAAATAAATGATTAAAAGCTAAGCGATACAAAAATTAAAGTGACACATGTAAGAAAGAAACTTAAAATTCATTATTTGTACTTGATTCGTAAAATTTATATACATATATATATATATATATATATATATATATATATATATATATATATATATATATATACAACGAGAAAAATAGATCAAATTAAAAATTACACGAATGCTTAAATCGCCCATAATAAACGTGGTTAATGAGCGTGCATAATAAATGCAAAGCTTTGCTCTAAAAGTTTGGTCAATTTGGAAATTGCATGAATCAGCGCAATGTTTTAACGAAAGCACCTGATGCTATCTAATCGGCAGGTCAAATTAAACGAAGTCGGCTTCGTCGTAAATTCTAAAAAAATCCTCACGATTTAAATGCCATTCTTATTTAATTAAACAATATTTGAAGCGCCTTGATAATTCTAATCTAATTTCCATTTTCATACTTCGCAATAAGAATTTGTATATTTTCGTAAGAAGAAATTTGTAAATAATAATTCAAACGTAGGCTAAGTTTTTTTCGAAAAGAAAAAAAAATACATCATCTATTGATCAATTAAACGATATTGTAGTCACCGACGGATTTGGTATCTAAATTTTTATTTGTTATTTTAGCGAGTACCTTCGGACGAAGAGCTTCGGATGGTGGGGCAAATTTACACGTTTTTTATCAACAGCAACACGGTAATGGAGAAGAAGGCAGTTGGAGTCAACCTGGCAGTAGAGAACATTTACAGCCGGTAAGAGAATTCTATAGGATTAGGATTTAAAAATTTCCAAAGTAATTCTGAACTTGTGTAAATTATTAGAAGAATAAATATTTATTATTTTACACAAGCTTTATTTCATTATAAAATAATTTTAATAATTACATAATTAACAACTTTCCCATCACTATCAAACAAAATATTATTAATATTATTGAAGTTCAGTTCAAATCTTAAATGTTACAATAGAATATTTGTAAATTACAATTATTGCTTTAAAATTGCTGTTAATGTTTATCTTCTCGTCGATATTTCTATTGTATTGATTTTCCCAATTTTCTTTGTAGAGCACATTTACTAAAAGTAATAATATTCATTAGTCAATTTTTACGATTATGTAAGACACTGTACATACAATAGAGATACAATAGATATATTCGAATGAAAAAGCAAAAATTGTGATATTAAATAAATAGTCTAGCCAGCTTATGCTTATAATATTATTTCTTACTATTTATTGTCTTTTGTATAGTTATTACTTTATAAATAAAAAATTTTTACAGCCTGGTAGTCCGGCGCTTTCGCCATCGTTGGGTAGCGCTACAAATGGTGGCGACAGCAGCGGTGGAAGCTCTTCCAGTAGCAGCAGTGATAGACGACAACGGCGCTCTGGTCTCACCACTGTCATGCAACGTCCAGGTATCGTTTATCCTTTCTTCTTTTTCTTTACCTTTCATGTTGCGCGCACTTTCATACTTCCTATTAATTTTATTCACTTTATACACACTTATAAATATATAAATATGTATATTAATATGTATATGAATATGTGTATATATATGTATATATATATATATATATATATATATATATAATGTGTGTGTGTGTGTGTGTGTGTGTGTGTGTGTACGTGCGTATATTTATGTATTTTTCGCCTGGTAGATAAGTAGTACGCTATATGTATATCATTTTAATATGTTTTGATTGTTGTATGCATTTAGTTCGCACCGATGAATGATTATTTTTTATTTATTTTTATCAACAACATATACTGCAGTATCTATTTTATTTCTTGGTTATTTTCGTGAACGATTTAATTTTATAACTATTAACAACATTAAAGACAAACATTAAAGAGATTTGCTGCCAAGTTAATAACTTTCAACTATTTTCGAAATTTTTATGAAATTTATAATACTTATAATATTTCCATTATTATTGCCGAAAAATGACTTATAAATATTTTCAATGTCAGCGTAAATGTGCGACAAAATTTTTATTTTTATTTAATTTTTATTAAAGAAAATGAATCCTTTAGTTAATGCAATTAATGGATTACTATTTTGAAAATAAATTTTCATCAATGTGCATTTTGATTATTCTCCTTTGTGCTACAGTATCATAATTTTTTAATATTAATTATTATACGTAATAAGGCATATAATAACTGAAAATTAAATATGTTTATTCTATTAACCTTACCTAACGTTCATTTTTAAATACAGCAGAGTCTACATCATTTCTATTTTTTCTCCTTTAAACAACTTTAATTTTGCTAAAAGAAATCTTGTTTTTTCTTTTGTTTGGTTTTGCATGGTTTTGTTGTGTCTACTGCACACGAACACACGTACACGCTCTTATCACCTCGGCGTCTCCCTCCTCAAAACACTTGTGTTACGGTAACATTGTTACGCTGCGATGTGCATGTAGTTTTGAATCCCGAGGTGGTCGTGGAGGTGGAAAAGCGGATGAACAGGTGTTACTTACCATCGAGACTGCTGCCGAACCATTTGAAGTGCGGCGGAGGCCCAGCTCTGCCTCATCACAGGAAAACTTCCATATATCCGACCAGTACTGGTAATTTTACCCTTTCGTTTGTTGTTGTTTTTTTTTTTTTTTTGTCATTGTTTTGTTATTCGCTTATCACACTACTTATATTTATATTATATGTGCGTATCTGTGTATGTGCGTACGAGTGAATAATTTTATGTGTGAAAATTTGTAGCTAAATAGTTGTTTGCAATTTATTGGATATGATAATCATATAGCAGCTTTTAATTAGAATGTGTACAACATTTTATAGATCTATATTTTAATTTTTTTTCTTCGTGAATATGAAGGTCATCGATTACTGCACTTGTACGATTTATTATGAAAGCTGCAAAGAAAAAGTTTTAAAAGTCCTGGGTAATTACCATCAAGTTTATCACAGAATCACATGCACCGTTTTATGAGAGAACAGAAAATTTCCTTTTTGTTTTGTCAACTGGTGAGAAAAGGGTAGAGAATTAATCTGAGGGAGGGGGGATGTGTGCTGGTCGAACATAATTAAGATAGATAAATACGGGTTTCGCTTCATCCGTGACACATGATGAATATGAGACTAAAATTGATTCTTTTTTCAACTAGATAAGTATTTTTAGACCTTTAAATCATCTTACAGAGTGACCAAAGTGCAAGCTTACAATCTATTATTCTTCGTTATGTCCTTCGATAATGTTGTTAAGAACGAAAATAGAGTCAAAAATGAAATTTTTTTTTCTTGATAAATAAAGAGCAGAGGATGAGAAATATCGTTCATATATAATTAATTGAAGTTATAATTAATAATCGTAGTTAATAGGGATTATGGAAAACTTAACAATGCCATAATCATACGTCCTTCACTGTAATTTCATTTAAATATTCTTCAACTTGTTTATTACCCCATTCTATTATTCCATTATATCAATAAATATTTATCGATAATGAAATTGTAAATTTTATTGAATTAAGTTTCTCAAAAAATTGATATATTTTGCTTATTCTTTGATCGTCGTTCTGTGGTTCTGCAGATCTACCGAATCCAAATGAGCAATAAAAAATTCAAGTTTTTGAAATATTAATATATCAATTTTGCAAATGTATCATGCTTGTTTATATTGTACAAAATTGCGGTATACTTGCGCTGTTTCAGCTCTGCAGAGAGATAAACAATAACCAGTTTACGTGCGCGGATATGCGATGTCATAAGTTTAACGATGTGAAATTTCTCCCTCGCATTGCGTATGATTTACTTTTTTTCTTCTTTTTAATAAAATTAATTAAAAGACAAAGAAAAATTTTTTACGATTAAAATTGTGTTTTATCTTATCGAGAAAGATGGCATAAAATGACTTCGCTATATATAAACAAACAATACATTGACAACACATTAGTATATGCTTGTGTCTAAAAACAGTACTTTCTTATAATATTTATACATTTTTGTTAAATTAATTAATTACAAATAATAAAATCATCGATTCCGAAATAACAGCAACTGTTATTCTATTAGTTACAGGTGTATTTTTATTTTGAGGAATGATTTAATTTCTTTATTGAGGTTTTTTTGTTTTCTAGATAAGAAGCTTAAACAGTCCATTTTTTTATCAAAAATGTTTATTTTAATTAATTGTAAAAAAAAACAAACAAACAAACAAAAATGAATACTAATATTACATAAAATATCATAATTGCATAATGCATATGACTATAAAAGTGTTAAAGAAATGTTGCATAAGTGATGTGTATATGCCATATATTAGAATATCTTTTTGCTTTTGGAATTACTACAATTGATTAACCGAGGAATAACAATTATGTAGCAGCAACTTAAATGGATGTGAAAATATATGACGAAACATGTTAATTTAAAGTCCATTATATCTTACGTCCAAAATCTAAGACCAAAGAAAGCGATAGGAATTTTCTGTTCCTGCGTAAATAATTTTATAAATTTGGATACAGTTGTAAAGGGATTTTACAACAACAACAACAAAGTAAAAATAAATAAAAATTCGTTTTATGATTACATATTATATTCAATTATAACTATAATTAAATTCAATTATAACAATTATTTATTTTAATAAAAATTGGTATAAATCGATAACAAATTTTAGAAGTAAATTTAGTAATAAAATATATTGACTGGACTTAATAGCTTTTAAATGTGTAATAGGAACAATTGAATATATATTCCAATAAGTATATATTCAATACTTTGATAGCAAATGTAGATTCTCCCCTAACAATCGCAATTACCTTTCATAACTTCTCAGTAACACAATGTGCATGGATTTACTTCCTACACAGCCGGCACGAGAGATTCCTACAAGGAGCCAAGCGCCCACGTAACGACGACCGAACGCTATTCACCGGTGCGCCGAGCCTCGGAGGGATCCGGACCACCGGGACCCGGCATCCAGGCTCTACAGCAAGAGTACCAACAGCTACAAAGGCTCGCTTCCCCATCGCACAGTCCAGCAAGCATGCCCGGGTCACCGGTACACGAAAGGGGCGTCGCGGCCATCACTCAAGGCACGTTTGTAATCCTTTGGAATCTTTCGTAGTCTCTCTTGTAGCGGACGTTAAGAGGGAGTTTAGTTGAGTTTTGCCGAGCGGGACTTAAGAACGCTTAATGAATACTTGATTAGAAATGAAATTAATAATGTGCTTCCATGGCGTTTTTTTATCCAAACGTAAATGCGCGAAATTACGCTTAGATTATTATTGCGAGAGTAAGCACAACAAACGAATTTAAACGATCCATTCTTCTTCTTCTTCTTCTTCTTCTTACGTATGATAATTTTCAAATCAACATCAATTTTACGCCAAACTCGACTTACGATTTTTTCACTATCGTTATTCGTATTTTTTTTCTTCTTAAATCGTTATTACTAAAGGATGCGCAAATTGAATTTTAAGGACAAAATCGATAAACGAATATCAACGAAATTGCACAAAATGATTAAAGCACGCCGAAAGGAAAGCGATTTTATTATCAGCAGAGCACGAGAATCATAAATTACATGCTTTCACAGGCCTAAGTGGATTGACGACAGCTCCTGTTCAGGGAAGCATAGTACATGGTACACCGACGCAGCAACCAACCACGCCCTTAGATTTAAGTCCATTAAGACATCATCGTTCACCGGCTACGACACCCGTGAGCTACTCGCCCAGCAATAGCCCAGCCTTAGACATGATTCAAGAGGAACACCCAGTCGATGTATTGAGGGTAAATAAATAAATAAATATATATATATATATATATATATATATATATATAGGTCATATTATTTTTGAGCGTAGAAATAGTTTTTTTATCCAAGTTTGGATGCTTATTGCTTATGATTAAAGTTTGGCTTATTGTTTCTCTATAATTTAAATAGCTCTAAGAATTAAGCAATAACATTAAAATAAAATTCATGAATTGTATATAATTCATATAGCACTCAACCTGTTAAATCTAAACTCAAGACATCAAAGAGGCACTTCATTAATAAGCTGTTTAAGTCCTTTCAATGAAAGTTATGGTAAATAATAACTTTTTTACAATAGAAAGCTCGAAAAATGTCAGTATTTTTTTTTTTTTTTTTTTTTTTTTTTTTTTTTCAAAATGAAATAAAATACACAAAATTTGATTAATTATTGAGAAATTTGATCAAATAAACATCGATGTGTTAAGTCAATAATACACATTATGATAATTTAATGAAATTGTAATTACTTTTACATTATTTTTTAAACTTATTTGTTTACGCAGAGTTTTGTCACATTTAGTTAAAAAAAAATATTATCTATAGATAACACATCATTAATAATATATATGATTTATCTTCATAAGGTTATATATATATATATATATATATATATATATGTATACATATATTTATTTATTTAATTGGTAATGATAAAAAAAAAAATAAAAATAATATTCATGTTAATAATAATAAATATTTTTATTTGCATTCGAAAGTAATTCACAATGTGCTATAACGTTCAAATGCGCTTACTATAGACTCAACACAATTGATAAATCGTAAAACAAATAAACGAAGAATAAGGGAGATTAAGAAAATGAAATTCAAAGTATTATCAAACAATATATATCCATACATACATCTTTTTTTGTTTTTTGTTTTTAAAGTAAAAACATATTTATGAATCTTTATGAGAAAGAAAATATGGAAATTTTTATTAGAGCAATAAATGAATTTAAATAATGGCAAAAGAAAAAAAAATTGAAGCCGAATGTGAAATGCTTACAATTTATTATTTCCTTATTCGCTTGCATATTATAAACAATGGCATGAAATAAGAATATTAATCTTAACAAAGTTTTAACAAAATATTAATAAAATTTTCAATTTGATCTTGATCTCCCTTACATAATAATTTATAAACATTAAAAACTGTGTGTACGTAAAAATTAAAAATTAAAATTAAGCAATATTCTCAATTTTTGCGACTATCTTGCTATGTAATGGATAATAATTAAAGTAGGATTCCATAATTACTTTAAGGTAATTTCAAAAATTGTTTGTGCATCTTTATCAGTTTTATTGTCAAACATCTAATTAAAAGGCTTGTTTATTAATTTTTTTTTAAGTACATGCTTTCGCTAAGTGTGAATGATCTAATAAAACTAGGTTTTCGTAAAGAAAATACAAATATAATCACAATCGCGCGCGCGCGCGCGCGCGTGTACCTTATTTCATTACTTAATATAATATTTATTTAATACATTCTTGTTTCTTTATTATTCATAATACTATTTACATAATTTTAGTACATTACAAATCTGCAGGAAGAAAAATAACTCTTTTTCAATTATTATTGATTCTTTTTGTTCATTGCATTTTGTTAAAAATCAATGAAAAAGCTCTTTCAATTTTATAATTTAGAATAAGCGTTTTTTATATAAAATTTGTTGAAATGAATTTATATATTTGAATCATCAATGAAGGTATCGTTTTGAATTAAAAAGTATTTTTAAAAATTACAAAACTAATATATCCCAAAAAACTTTGTTTTTTTTTTTTTTTTTTTTTTTTTTTTTTTTTTTTTTTTTTTTAAATAAAATTTGATAGAATACGGAAATGTAAGATTTTTTTTTTTAACTATCTTTTCAATGTAAGTTTCTTCTCCCTTTATTCATAATAAGAATCAAATTGAAAAAACTTTCGAAGCACTGTGCAATCAATTAAGCAAGAAAAATGACTAGAGACAAAAGATATCGGAGGGTCTGATTTGAATTAAAAAATAAAAATACGTAAGTAGATCCCGTTGCTCTTTACTCAGGTGCCGCCGCCGCCACAGATCTCCGTGACGGATGTCCTTGGTGGTCAGGTGACTCTTGTCGGGTGTCCACCGTCGCCCTCGCCCTCTCTGAATTCTATCGAGGACATTCTTCATTACAACCCATTGCCGTCATTCGTCATCTCGGAACCGTGCGACCTTCAGAGGCCGAGCATCACGCGGGGTATCGGCCGACCCCTGGGCACACCCATTCCGGCGGAGGTCGAGGTCACGCTGTCGGACGAGTCGAGCCGACTCAATTCGGAGACGATTCTCGGCCGCGTCAAGCAGATAATCGACGCTCGTGCACCTCCAAAGGGATTCGTCTTCTCGCGACAGGAGGTGGACGGAAGTGGACTTAGCCTCGAGTATCCGGGCGGCGTGCAGATCGAGCTGAGGGTCTGCGAGAGCGAGGAAAAGGAGGCCAAAGGCATCAAAATGAGGAGGATCAGCGGGGACCAATTGCAATATAGTCAGCTCTGTCAGCAGCTGATATCTTGCATTACCGTTTGACGGCAGAAGCCGTTTGTCGTCGTAGTCGTTCACGTCGTCGTTAGGGACTTTGACTCTGGGCGTAATATCGAGTCTGGTTGATGGTTCGGATGGCTCCTCGATCCTAAGCGATCGCACGATTATTGATGAAATTTTGTAAGAAGTCATTGAGATCGTTGGGTCCGCATGTGCGATTATGAACAAAATTGCTCCAACCATATCGCCTGACGCGTGCGAGTGTTTAAAGACGATTTACAATAATTGCGTTGAATAGGAGACGATTTACGAGCGATTAATCTTGTATCGTCACGACCAATCGACCGACTGAGACTTTATACGATGAAATAAGCGCAGTTCGATGGAGCGTCCGCGCGCATCAAATACTATTAAGTAATCTTTGACAATTTCTAAGAAAGTTAATATACTCGCGATGATGCCTCCCCCTTTCCCCCTTATACCATTTTAAAGAAACTATGTTCCAATAAGAGTTGGTTAAGCTACATTCATTCCAGGGGCGTTGCTTAACTTTTTCTGTGCATTTTATTTTCTTCTTTTTTTTTTCTTTTTTTTTCTTTTTTTATTATTATTTTTTTTTTTTTTTTTGTAATAATTGGAATTACATGAAATAGCTATACTGATTTGGATCTGCGGATTCTTCTCTTTATGTTATGTAAATTTTTTAAATAGAACAATTCAGAATTTTTATGATAACAATTTATAACAATTTATAATAATGTTAAGCCCTAATGATTAAAGCAATAAGTTTATATTTATGATTACCCCTTAATCGCGATATATTTGTTAACTAGCAAAGCCAATGTATATTTTATTATTAGATCTCATACAATTCTGAATTCATTCTATTTAAATAGCTCATCAGTCGTATTTGATCGAAATTCATAGTTTACTTTGAAGTTAAACTTTAAAGTAGCGTGTGCTGCGCGGCTTCGTTTCTTCGCGCCGGTCGGTACTTGAATCACTGCAATCGGAAATGATTTTCGCTTTGTGGATCGTTGCTCCACGTTGATCCACATTCACAAATAAGGACTGAGCACGAGTCGTTAGTGCACGAACCAAACGCAGTGTTTTCGCAACGGGGGTACATTGCTGGACCTTGACGACGTGACATACTTTATAGTATGTTTGCACTCGTTGTATGACATACACGCGCATTATGCAATTCATAAGAGATGCAGCCATTGTCGGGAACAAGATCTTCGAACAATTCATCTCAGTCGATAACTACCATAATAACGAATTGAAGTTGTTGCTTGGAATATGTTCGTAACAGCCCAACGGCTGGCCTTCTGACTTTCCTTAGCTTCGCATCCTCCAATATACCCGGGGCAATGTCGACCGTAGCAATTGTCTCACATAAACAATTGTACCCAGTATCGAATCCTTTGTCAATATCTTCCATAGAGTCAAGAAATCTTACGGCATCGTCATTAGGTTGATGTCGATGTCCACATGCCATTTATGAAAAAGAATTTTTATTATTTTTTCAATTGAATTCCTAGCCAGAATTGTAAATTCATTGCTTTCCTTCGTGACTATTATAATCTTCGTACTTTCTTTTAATATAAAAAGAAAAGAAAAAAGAAAAAAAAAGTTCGTTCGTCAAATGCGTTTCTTTTTTATTACTTTGAGTTTAACATTCCTAGATGAAAGTGGTGTTAGCGAGCGCGTGATACGTCTCGTATCACAATTTATATACAGTATTGCTAATTTTGCATGCTGAATCTTAAATAACGCGTGTATCCAAAGGAGATTTGCTTCAAGTACCTTTGTGTATATTTAAAAGTTTCTTTGCAGGAAAAAGAAAACAATTTTTTGAGATTTTCTTTTTTGTTAATTCTATGTGAGGGAAGGTATTAAAGAATTTTTAAAGACTGTCGATGAAATATTATAGGTGATTTTAAGATCTTCAAAAAGTTGTGGTTATATTATTAATCAATTTTCAAATTCTTGATTTAATCAATAATTTGGAAGTAATTGGTAAGGACTTAATTCCGTTAAAGGATTCATTTATAAATTTTACCACATTTGTCGTTAGAGAAATAATCCAAATGTAATTGGATTTTACATTGTATTTGTTTTAATTGGAAAAGAAAGATTTAACAGTTCGTTTTTTAATTCTTAGAATTTAGTGTATCTAAACTATTTTAAATTTCACTCATTACAGTAATGTAAGAGTGAATTTTTGAAAATAATATATGTTGAAGGCTTAATACTTCTTCGGCACTAGGAACAAGGACAATTCTGACATTTGCAATAAAATTAACGTAAATGGTTATTGCACATAATATTAGTAAATTGGTTTTTCTTCCCTTTTTTTTTGTTTTTGTTTTTTTGCAAATTAGGTTATACCTATATTTGGTATAATAATCTGATCAATTATACGTAGGTGAAAACACTCATGAGCATAAGAAAATGTAGATTTTCTCGTCACACCATTAACCTTATTTATTGATCATTCGTGCGCCCAGTAAACTTGTTCTCGAGGTGATCGAAAAACGTATTCATCGATCAGCGATCGCAAATTTTACTTCTTTCGGCACTCGTGAAATCCTTTCTTGTTCAAAGTCGGCTGACGTCGACAAGACATTTTTTTTTTTGTAATTTAATTTGGACTTTCGTAACGTTTTAACTTTATAGGATTTCACAATTATTTTGTACAATGTGCATTATTAAAAGGGAGAAAAAATAATCACATGCAATGCAAAATGTTTAGCCTATAGATCATCTTAAATACAAATGAAAAATGTAGTTAACATATAATAGTAACGTATTAAAAAAATATTTTATTTTTTGTCATCGATAACAGCATTCATTTACCAATATATATATATATATATATATATATATATATATATATATATTTTCTATATATTTAGCTGTACTATATTTTTTTTATATTATATTTATTATTTCGATAGTGTATAAAAATGTTTATCAATATTTATAATAATATAATTCATAGGTTTGTTTTTGTACCGGGCAAAACGTAAGAATTTTCTAAAAGAATTGTCGGTGTTTGCCGATGATTAACTGACCACTGATAAGGAAAATTATATTAACTACAATAAGATTTTTCATGCAAATTGTATATTTATTTCATATTGAAACAATATTAGCGTAATTGTCGAATTAGTAATTGAAAAATACCGAGACAAACAGTTATAAAATTTGTTACTATAGAACTGGAATAATATATTTTTAAGAGTTCTATATATTTACGTCAACTTGCTCGTAAATTAACATTTTCTAATATATTTAACCTGAATTTGAGATATAGATAAAGATTTTACAATTATGAGTATTTGGATGTTTTAGCATTTATTAGAAAAGAGAGCAACAAAGGTCGAGAAATGGATTATAAGATTATTAGTCGCATTTTGTTCCGTAATCTAATGCATCTATCTTTTCCTCGAGTCTTTAATTCAGAGTTTGTTCTATGTTTAATTGCATTTTGTGTAATAGCGTCGCTAGCTGATGTGTTGCACTAGTTAGTAGTAATATTGATAGCTCAGCCGCTCCATTCGGTATAGATTCTATGTGCCTTGGTTGCTACTATTTTTCACAAGTTAGAATTAAATCAACGAATTCGTGACAGATCGATAAATTAGTCATTGATGATAAAATTCTACTTGATTTGTGTGGCTTGTTTGCATCTTGGAAAATAAAAAAAAAAAAAAAAAAAAAAAAAAAAAAAAACCCCCACAGTCCAATATGTACTTAACGTAATTTAAAATTTTTTTTAATTAATAAACAAATTAATTCAATATAGAATATTGTCCTTGGTCTATTATACGTAGATTATTCTTCTTCTTCTTTTTTTTTTTTTTTTTTTTTTTTTTTTTTTAACATACCTAATATGATAATATCCGCGCCTAATATTCATTTGTTAAACTTATCGAGTGTCCCTTTCGCTCGTGCAAATCTACCATTAAAGCCAGAAAACGTAACATCCCTTAGTTGCAATATATATATATATATAAAATAACCAGTAATTCGTTCTTTATTTAAAAATGAAATTTCAATTGAGTTAATGCTGAAGGCGATCTATGTCATGAAGGTTCGCAAGACGCTTAACTGCTAGTTCGTCGTATGTGACGTATGGACAAATTGTGAAGTACCATACGTGAATCTATGTGCGCCATTCTTCTGAATAATCGGTTGTAATTTGGTATAGAACAAGAGCTTAAAATAGCGAAAGAAATTTAAAAAAAAAAAAGTGATCTCTAAGTTTGGGAGGCCAAAGAGGAAAAAAAAATTACACAAGATATATTTCAATTCTAACATCTTATTCGCAGCTACCTCCGAAAGATCTATACATATCTCTTCTTTATCGAATCGTTGATTCGGTCATATATGCTTCTGAGCGACAGAAGTCTCGACTAAATGAACGAACGTAATGTCAAAGTTTTTTAAATGAATTTTTGACATGCACCCTTATGACAAATCTAAAATGAAGTTTTGCAACAAGAGCTTAACGATCATGTGCATTAATATATTGTAATGACATAAGTGTCGATACAATTGGCTAGTTCGATATCAACAATGTTGAAAGGTAACCAATTCCGATGGTTTTACAATAACGTAATGTTCATTTTATCGTCTAGAGACTTGGAGGATTTTTAAGTTAATACTAGTTGTAACTAACAAATTTATTAATCTTGAAATCTATCATTTAATAATATTTTCGACTCGTTGAAAGGATACATCATCGAATTTAAATTATCGAACGGCCTCGGAGAATAGAAAAGAAACAAGTTTAGCTTTAAGATGAATTATACCGTATCTTTTTTTCATACCGCATCGTCTAAAAGAACATTAATACTCAAATATTGAGTTTCGTTCATAGTTCGTGAACGTCCGAACTCGGAATAACCAACTACGCGTTCTCGTAAAAGTGAACGCGAACATTATTCGTAAAAATAAATTTTCTCGATCATTCAGGAGCTTATTACGTTTGGTGCGCTCTTCTACAAAACACATTGCAACAAATATATCGGATCAGACATGTTAATGCATATCCTCCAAGTAGATCTGTTCATCATTGGCACTTATTTATTGATAAAAATGATTTTTCGTAAATTCCGAATCGCCGTGGTGCTGCTTTCCCTTCAATATTATTTATTTGAATTTAATGAAATTATTATGCAGTTATGCGCCGCATCGTTTTAGCCTAGTTGAGTCGAATTTTGGAGAAGTTTAAAAATTTAAGTTCGCCGCTGAGTATAAATTTTATAATTTTTTTTTTTTTTTTTTTTTTATTTTTATTTTATTTTAATCAACGTGCATTATCGTAAAATCTATCCGTTAAAAGTTTCTTATAAATCATTAGAGCATGAATTTCACGAGGCTTCTAATTACGAAAGGCGTTAAAAATGAATTTCGTAAAAATTGTTATAATTTAAATTTTGGTACTTTGGAAACATTTCTATAGATTATCTTCACATTTCGATATATTTTCGTAGTTGTTTAATATGGCTCTTATGGGCAATGTATGGACCCTTGCGTTAAGTTATCAAAATTCTGCGGAGAATTGACGAATTCTCACGATCTCATTTCATAGCTACCATACCTACAAAAAGTTAAATTCTTTTTCGTCAGCCGACTGAAACAAGACTTCGAGCTCTCTTTTTTTCTTACCAAATTTTTTTGTGGCATCCTGTTGTGTCACGGTATTTATTTTTATTGGTACTTTATATTAATATAAATTATTACGTATAGGGAAATATAACGATAAGATGGTTTAATATGAATGCAATCAATATCTTATACATACATTATTTCTATCAATATTTATATTTTTTTTTTTCTTAACCAACTAAATTCATTTTTATCATTAACTAGTATATGAACCTTACCAATTTTTTTACGTTATATTAATCTCAGTTACAGCGCACTTGGCATAACTGTTAAATCTTCAACAACTTTTATAATAATACAACTTGTAAAAATATTATATATATATATATATATACACTCCAACGATAGGAATTCTTATGATTTTATGATCATAAGCTCTTTATTGTTTTAATATTCTTATATTATGAATTTTAATTTGTAGCAGTCATTACTTACTAATTAAGTGAAATATTTTATAAATGTATTGCAATTAAGTATGTCTAAATATTATGTTATTGTAAATGCTTGTTTCTTTTTTCTATGTCGTATTCTTAAAAGGTAAAAGTGAATAATTGAGAAATATCTCTTCATAAACTACTTCGATCACGTGAGTTTAAAAAACAATAACAAACAAAACAAAAAAAAAAAGGAAAAAAACTTAAACTCATCGAGTTGTATTATATGAACATATGTATATTTCATACTTGATTGTCAACTCTCCATTAATTCTCATATTACTCATATTTCTATATAATAATCAAAATTTCTTGATAATAATTTTTATTCAAAACTCTTCACCTTAAATTAACATTTAATTCGCTTATAAAACTTTGCTCAACTTTCGTTAACAATTTTTTAATCGCAATTGTCAAATTCTTATCAGACAAAATTTTCCTGTACCACTAGGCTCACCGAATTTAATAATAGTCTATTTATTATAACTGTCTTTTATGTTTCGAAAATTTGGACAAAATTCCATTTTGTGATAAACTAAAAAGACACGCGCGTGCGCGCACGATAAACATATGTATAAAAACAGGTTTAGATAAACGTTATGTTGAACATTGTGTAACAAAGTAAAACAAAGTTAACAACGACACAATGGAAAAAGAGATTGTTGTTATTGCTCGATTACAGAAGAACATATTTAAAATGTCGTTTATGTGCATTGAAAAATTTTGCAAAAAAATATGTGGACGTAATTTTAAGGCTTTAATATAAAATTGCTTCGTCGTAACATTTTCTCAATGTTAAGAAATCAGCTTTTTCAGTAGCGTTAGTTCTTCATTCAAACGATTATAATGATTTGGTCGGATCGGGGATTAATTATCAAAACCAAAGCATGTAAACGAGCGTTCCCTGAATATTTGCAAGGATTTGCATCCTTATTATTCTGTCCCTGCAATGATCGTAACGATGATCTAAGGAACTCAGTTTTTATTGTTGTAAATAATTTTGGGTTGGGATATCGAAATCGAATAATTTTCAACTCGTATTTCGAGTATAAACATTATTTCGCAGACAGAACCAAAGATATTGGTAGTAGCATTAGCTTACAAAAAATCTTTATATTCGGATAGTATTCGAAAATATCTTTATAAAAAAATCTTTATATTCGGATAAAATAATAAATGTTCGACTGTGAGTAAATACGTTAATAATTGCTTAAATTAATTGTTAATTATAATTTAATCGATGAATTTATTTGCGATTTAATATTAATTTAAATTTGTAATTATTGTTGGATCGATTTGTACATTAAATTTGACCGTTCTTAGATTAATTTCCGTTCTTTAACGAATAAGATAAAATCATTTAACAATTTGCCTTAAAAGTAAAATTGTTCTGGCATTAAAATAAACGTAATTCTTATAATTACTTAGGAATTCTTTAAAGGTACTTGACTTCTCGAGCAAAGTTATTATAAAAATATTTTTATTCTATTTTTTAAGAAATTTATCATTTTAAAATACGAATATGTAAAATATGAAAAGTGTTCTTATGAGTAATCTGTAATCTTATACTGATTACTTTATCATATTATCGATTATAATAGTGAAATTGCTAAGGAGTTTCATAGAGAATCATTGTATCTATTGTCATTTACCTATGTAAATAGAAAACTTAAGTGTAAATAATATATGGTGATAAAATTCGAGATAAAATACGAATAATTCGATGGCTCATGAATGATGCAGAATGAATTTTTAATGTGAAACAAAAATATGGGAAATAAAAACTGCACAATTGTGAATTAGATAATGAACGTTTTAATGCGAATTGCAATGTCCAATTATTGGAGGAAAATTTGAAATTTTTATTTTATTGTTGTATAATCTTTAGTATTTTCAAATTTGTTGATTTAAAAAACAAAAAAACAAAAAACAAAACAAAAACAAAAAAAAAACAACTATAGAAAAATGTTAGATGAAAAAACAGAAATTAGGAAATCATGATCTATTTAGTCAAATTAATGTGCTGGGCACTTATTTTTGCGTTGGAGAGGAATTTTTTCGTTCAATTTTTCATTTAAAGCGAATAAATTAGATTAAATTTATATTGAAACGGATGAAGATATTAAAGTATCTTCTATCGACCACGATTAATGCCATATAGAAATAAAAATAAAAAAATTGCGAATTGAAGAAAGTTTAGATGGAAATGTGGTAGCCTTATTTTCGTTCGTTCATCGATACCGAATAGGTTTTTTTTTTTTTTTTTTTTTTTTTTTTTTTTTTTTTTTTTTTAAAGGTACAATACAACGTAATTGTAAAAAAAACTGTTCCACGAGGCATACAGCCAATTTATTGTTAAATAGACATTTGGGCTACAAATGACGCACATACCATCGTACCTTAAACGATACGCAGATGTATATAGGAATTACGCATGCATACATATGCGTACGTGTGCACACGCGCATTCGCGAGCACACGCACACACACGCGCGCATAGACATTGTAGGAAAAAGCAAACGATAGTAAAGTATATTGTATGTACGAAGAGAAAATGAAAAGTAAATAGAGATCGATAATAACAAAAAACCGTGCTGTAATATAATTATGAAATTAATGAAATTTAAAATACTGCGACGAGAATAGAGTACAGATAGTATTTTCTGCTGTCAATTCTTCAACTAAGACTGTGATTTTTAAATATATTAATTATAATTAGAAAAACTCGTTATTAATACACGCCAAGCGACTAAAAGAGATAATAAAAATAAATTATCCAACATATATTCTTAGTTTTCATTCGATCATTTCCCTTAGTTACATTGATATTAAAAATTACAATGGTATTGTTTACTTGCAATGAAACAATTGATGATATATATAATTCAAATATAATAATAATATAATTCAAATAATAATATATATATATATATATATATATATATATATTTAAGATGGTTGATTTTCAATTTTAATTTCTACTCGAGCCGTTTCTATTCTATTAAATTCCAATTCCTAATTTTTATTTTTCTATTATTATTTGAATTTAAAATGTTGTCGCATTCGTCAAACTAATGGATAACGATGCGCCACCATCACTACGTGAAGTAGAAACTGCCAATGTCAGTTAATAACATCGAGCTGTTTTGCTTTTCTGCTAGTGAAGTTTTCAGTTATTGGAAATAATTCTGAGCTAATCTTATCAAATTCCAATTTCTAAGTTAAAACCGCTCCACAGCTTAACCAATAAAGTTGACTAAATAAGGAATAAGTAAGATAATTTTCAGGCAATGTGAACTAATCAGTAAAATAATCTATTTGAAATATGCGTATGTTATATTAAGCTATTGAGTATAGAATAATAAAGTAAAATATGTTTGGGACGATTCGTGATAAGTTTCAGATTGTGCAAGATGGTCTTTCCGCGAGGTAAATATTAAATTTATTATTTCTGCAAAATTACATACCTTCACTTACATAATTTAATGTTTTCAATGCAATATAAACTCAAAATAATAAGCCGTTTGACAAATACATATTGATTAGTGTAATTTTTTGATTAAGGAACTATTTTTTAATTATTAAATGACGTAAAGTATGTATTACAAATTATATTATATTATAGCATTCGTGGATTGACGCTTACCGAATCTTCTACTAAGCCCAAAAAAATAATAAACGTTAGAAAAGTTAATTACGATGCTGGAGCTGATATATTACATCACTTTCAAATGGAATGGAATAATCTTCATGAACTATCGGAGGAAAATGCACAGAAAGCTCAGGAAGCGGATGCATTAATAACAACTATTCATGAAAAATTAGAATTTCAATGGAATTGCATGTCAGCGTTGAATAGTAGTTTAGCCGAGATACCAAAAATTAACAATACCGTTGAGACATTAATAAATAAGATAGGTACGTCTTAGATTAACGCTAATGTAATTGATTAAGTTATTAAAGTATATCGATGTTACAATTGAAATTTAATTAAATCACGCGGCTCATGTTTTACATCTTTTTGCATTCAATTAATATCCGTGTAATCTTCCGTTAGGCTCTTTACAAGAAAAGTTTGATGAACTGAATAATGCTATTTTTGAACTAGAAGATTTACACGAAGTTTTGGATTTTCAAAAAAATCAAATAGACCATAAGTTACAATTAGCATTGTATCAAGAAAAAAAATTATCAGAATTCAATCTTATTAAAGGTGAATAACTTAATTATTGGCAATCGAAATTAATCGAATACGCAAGAGTCGAATGTATTTTCTTTATTCTGTTTGTAGAAAAGCTGGCGAGCGAACATGCTGCCAAAGTTTTGGAGTATGAACAAGAACAGGAAAAAATTTTAAAAGAAAGACAAGATACGTTCGAAGAGGCCTTTAAAGAACAAATAAAAGAGTACAAACAAACAGGTTATATACCAAGTAAATACATTTCTTATACATTAAAAGAGATGCGTTTTTATTTTAACAAAATACACAAATATTTTAAAAATATTTTAGAAATATCTTCAAATCAACATAAAGGACCAAGTTTGGATGAAATAGTCCTCGAGTCAGATTCAACTGATTTTGATGAATTTCTTAAAGAATAATTCTAAAACCTCAATATTTATGAAGCTGTCGTTTTATATTTTAACATCTCCTCTTACAGGTACAGTTTTGATCGATCTTCGTTATAGCCGTGGCTCGCGAGTTTAATAAAGATTTTGAAACTTGTGCACTAGTTATTAACAAAATAGGGGTAAAAATACATATTCGACACTATTGCTCTTCGTTATAAATAGTCAACCATATTGTCCAATTCTCTTGGTTAGAATTTGGTCCATTTGTAAAGGGTCGTCAAAGCAACGTCTTGACAATTTTAATCTAACAGGCCTTGTCCGATTATTCATTTGAAAGAATTGAAATTCCCTGTCCTGTATTGTCCATCATGTCGGTCAGTTTTAGCATTCCGTCGTGCTATTCCAGTATTTTTTCTCGAGTTTAGCAATAATTGATTCTGTTGCGGTTGATCGAATAGCTCCCGTTGAAAATTCGTATCAAAAGCCTGAGGAGGTTCGCTAAAACGAAAAGAAAAAAAAAATACAATACCATTAATTTAGCTTCATTGCGTTTAAAAGGAGCGCCATTGGAAAGTGGCTATAATTAATTGTTTTCATGCAATGAAGTAAATATATTATTCAATAATGTCAATAATTTAGCGTGTTGACAAATTTAAGCTAAATTTATATGTTATCATATAACATTTATAACATTGAAAAACTAAATCAAACATTTCAAATAATATCAACTCCAACCTTTATAATCTTCAATAGTTTATAAATATCGTGCTTAAATTATTTCAAATAAATTCTAATACTCTCATCAACATTAAAGAAGCAATTGCTAATTTGATCATGCGATTAAATGTTGATGTAATTTACCATCCAGTAACGTTTTCAGCTGCATCGCAAGCACCGATAAGTTCGTTAAAAGCGTGACCCTCGCCACAATTTTGAAGACGTGGTCTGTTCTCTACGCAGAAATAGTAATGTTGACAATCCGAGGGGCTTTTATAGAATCGTACTTCGGGAATGAAGAATTGATTTTGATTGACAGTGGGACAAGTGAAGCCAAGAAAAGCTGCATTGAAGAGCATATTTGTTTGATTAATAAATATAATGATAGGTGTATGGTATGATGCTAAAATAATGTAAAGTTACCTTCAGCGTCGCAATCGGGTACTTGATCGGGCCAATCGCAGCGATAAGATTCAGGATTATATGCTAGACCTTCGGGGCAATTGAAAATATAAGATCTGCCTTCGACACAATTCATAAATTGACCACAATTTTGCCTGTCGCCTATCTTGAAATATCCATATTGATGAGGACAGTCGTCAGTGGGTTTAGCCGGTTCTAACAATAAAATATGTACACGAAATTTGATTACTCTTTATTAACTTTATGCCATAGATGAAATGTGTAATATATATGTGTGTGCGTGCGTGCGTGCGTGGGTGAGTGCGTGTTTGTGGGTATAAATACCTTAAAACAGAAATTTGTACTTACAACTAATGATAAATTAAGGTAAACCAATGAGGATAATAACAATTATTGTTTCAAAAATTTAATTAAAAAACTGTAATTATGTATATAGTGTATTAGTGTAAATAAATTACTTATAATTAAACTTCGTGTTTACAAAAATTAAGATAATTTTTAAAAAATAAAATATTTTTATGAATAAAGTATTATTGTATTTTATCTTTCATTACCCAAAAATATAAACAAGTCACATTGCATATACAGATCGTTTATATATATATATATATATATATGTACGGTTATATCAGATATTCAACTATAAATAAATAAAATTAATTAATCACAATCTGTGAACTATCGTCAGTAGAAAAATAACAAAAATTCTTATTAAAACATTTTATATAAGTAAAGAAGTTTAAAAACAGATACACACCAGTTATGAATAAATCATATATACGAAACGTAAAAAAAAGTATTACATGTCATATGCAATTTAAATGCATATTTAAAAATTGCATAAATATTTAATAAAACAGAGACCGTTGAGAATAGTGAATATTGTAGAAAAATTGCTTTCGCATTGACTTAGACGCAATGCATTAGACGAAGCGAAAAATTAAAAATTAAAAATTACATAAATGCAAATTGTAAAGGCGTAAAAAATTTATAATTTAACAATCGACTATTTTTTTTTTTTTTTTTTTTTTCAATTAATGGATGCTATTATTTATTATTCGACATACGACACCAATACAACATTCACGAAGATAAAAAATAATGGGAGAGAAACTCACGAAGAGCCGATCTCCCAAGGCACTGGATGTCAATTGGATAGCCGCAGGGATAGTTGAACCTTGCCTCTGGATTGAAAAGCAGACCCTCGGGGCAGAGCTTCTCCTCGGCGATCCCGTCAATGCACTCGATGTATGCGTCACATTGCGAGGCAACGGGAAACCTACCGTTGGGCTCCGGACAATTTGCTCCAACACCACCTATGCCTGAACCTACATCCAAATTCCTCGGTTCCTGGTATCGTTGTTGTTGTTGTTGTTGTTGCTGCTGCTGAGTGAAGAAGGGATTGTGTCTCGCGTCGAAACGATTTTGTCCTCGATGGTTATATTGGTTTTGACGCTGTTGAAACTGCTGTCCAAGGCCTTTGCGACACGGTCATTGGAAAATGAGAAAATTTTACGAGATATTATATTAGTCACTTTCTCTATCATTACGTCTACCTCATCTCGATTACGCGTAAAAACTCGACGTATGTTATGGCAATTGAGAAAATATGAAATCCCGCCATTATTACCATATACATTTGTAATGTAAGCTAAGCGATCCATTTCTTTAAAGCTTAAAATTATTGAAATTCAGAGGCAATAAACTTACTCGATGAAAATCATCATCTTATTTCAGTATTAAGGATTGATTTGAAAAATTCAACAGACGCTGTGAAAATGCTGTGAAAAGTACTTGTAATTACGTAATTACAATTACAGTCGAGTCAAGCCTTTGAGAGAGCATTTGGATTTTGAAATTTATAAAATATTCCATTACAGCCTCTCGTATAATATTACTATTAAGATTTAAGTGATATTCATTGTGAATTATACCGGTAATTTATAGGCGCACGAAAAATATAAAAAAAAATTTTTTCAAACTCTTCCCCGAGTTGTCTCTTTAAAATTTCAGTCTTCCTAATTTGCAGTTCCAAAAGCTTCGCGACGCCCAAGTTAATATAACGGAACGAGCTCTACTCGAAACTTTCCTTTTTTCCTCCCAAAACTTAGATTAAGTCTTCGTTTTTATGTAATGTTTAACATCAATATTAATTGCAACACACTTTGTAGAATGTATATTTATTGAATTGGAGTTTTGCATTAAAGGGGAGATTTTGCGAATAATCGGGCCCCTATATTATGCTCAAATATATAACAATCATCGGTGCTCATAAAACTTTACGATATACACGAAGCAAACTACGGGTTTTCAAAGTAGCGACCATTTAAATATTTAACGTATAATGCATTTTAATATGTATATGTATATGTATATATATATATATATATATATATATATATATATATATATATATATATATATATATACATATACATATACATATTAAAATGCATTATACGTTAAATATAAAAGAAGATGATAAAGACGAGTATATAAATAAATAAATATATAAATAAATAAAGTCATGATAATGAGGAGGAGGCATTTCAGATGGGAGAAATATTTTAAAGCTAAAAATGTACTAACAAAGTCTAAAAAAAAAACGTCAAATTAATTTCCGGTCCATCTTGGGAATCACCGATTGGAGTCATCGGATCCTCGGTACTGTATCTATTACTCGCGTCATCAAATGCTGATTTGGCGGCGAGTGGAGATCGATCGTCGATCGCCCCTTCCAAAAAATCCTCTCCTAACGCGGTGATCGTCACCCGCGGCCATAGCTTCGAATCACGCACGATGTATTGAGTCGCGAGTCGGCGGGGGTGGGGGCTGCGGCGAAAGAACGAAATAGGCCGTTAGGTAACCGGGCCGGGCCGAGCCGGGCCGGCTGGGGTCCACCGAGGAGGAAAGCCTCAGCGGGGGCTTCTCGCTTATTCGCGACGCGACCTCGAAGGTACGTAAACTCACCAGGCTATCGCTCGCTTATGCAACGAGGTGGATTGTCGGGACGGAAGGGGCCTGGGTGGGGACGAGAGGAAAATGGACAAAAATGCGAGAAAGAAATGAGCGAGGAGAGGAGAAGATGAGCCGAGCGCGTCGATGGCCTCGGGCTTCGTGCGCACGCGCGAATCCAGACTCCGAGCGCGCCTGTTATTATTTGGGTTACAGAGAACCGCGACTCGCGCTTGTAATTTAAAGAGCCCGAGTGCTTTTGGCCCGGGTAGGGAGGGACGACCGACAGGAGTAGAGACACGGAGAGAGACGCGAAGAAGGAGGATGATACTAAAGCACGGAAAGTGTCTCTATGCATCCGATAAGCAAAAATTAAAATCGCCCCCGCGCCTCCCGGCCCCGGGGCGCTCTTCTCCATCAAAACTGTTTGTCCTTAGGATGAGATTTTAGAAAGGTACAGTTCTCGGAATCGCTCTCCTATAATGTCGATAAAATTTCTATTTTTAAAGATAAATCAGTGACGACATTGGCTGCCAAGCTGCGTGTTGCATGCTCGGAGCCTCGACCTGTTCGTCTCTTCTTCAATCCTCTTCAATTACTATCACCACCCATACGAGTCAACGATTTTGTTTTTTTTTTTTGTTTTTTTTTTTTTGTTTTGGAAAGAGTCGTTTATCTCTCTCACAATTTACGGTTGATTATCAACGCCTCGTTTACCTGATGCAAATGCATTTCATTACCTTATAGTCTTGGCAATTTCGACATTTAGGCATGATAGGCGATAAACGTGAAATATTTCATGTTTGGCATTTGATTTTCTTTCTAAATTACAATCTCTTTTACGCATTCTAATATCTTCGATCAATATTTAATATTTAATTCATTTTAAACTGCGCGTCTTTTGAATAATTTAGTCTACGTCTTCGTATTCTTGTCGTATGGTCTTTTTATTGATTTGTCATTTAGGTTGACATTTTTCCCTCTTGAAATTCATATTAATTTTGCAATTGCAATACTGCAAGACATTAATTTTCATTACCGCGTGATAATAACATTAAGAGTTATTACAATGGGAGAATAGTACGTTTAATAACAATATTAACGGATGCATCGGTGGCTATTTATTTAAATAATATTTCGTCTATTGGTAATCACTGTATCCCCTTCCCTACTTTAACAAATAATGATTTTCTTTAAGCTGCTAATTAAACCTTATGAATTTTATTCATAACACGAACTTAACACATCGTTATGGTTTATGCATCGTGTACTTTAATTACGTACTTATTTTGCATCGAATTAAATGGCCGAGAATTATCTTTATAATGATCGTATAACTCGAATGGTAAGTACTTCATTTTAAAAGAGTAAACAAGTGATTTTTGGGCCTATTAATGCGACAGAATTCCAGCGACCTCATTAAACTTCAGATATTTTTATTTTATACTCGTACGATTTTCTGATTTTATTTTGATTCTTCTGATGATATTAAAAACAACGATTTCCTTAAAAAAAAAGAAAAAAAAGAAGAACGTTACGATCAATATGAAATTATAATATTATGATGTCATAAAATTTCAATATTCAGCGAGTTCATTTTCATCTCTAAATATATATAGATATAAAATTCATATTTTTACATTGTACGAAAAATGTATGGAAAATAATTCCGCTTACAACTTTAGCAGAATAGTTATTCATACATTAAATATATTAATTCTTATATATATATATATATATATATATATATATATTAGTAAATTAAATGAAAAATATAACTGTGACGAGAAGGGCAAATACTTCTCATTGGTTTTTACATTAAAAGATATCACGATACGAGGAAATTTCGAGAGACTTTTATTGCACATTTTATGTAATGGCCAATAATACAAGTATTGTATCTTCGAAATTTCACTATAAACAAGTTATAAAATTTTGAAATTGATTATACGTTATTAGGATGTATCACGACGAAATTCAAATCCTCTGCAATATGCGCCAGCCTTAATAATATAATAATGTCCGACTTAAGTAGATGGTACCCGATCCGAAATAAAGTTAAATTGGCAAAGGTCTTCGTAAAAACGATGAAATGCTGATTGCATGGTGGTTTCTGGTAATTATAAAAACGGAGCCGCCTATGCGGTTACAGGAATATCCTCGGCTCGTTTGTGCATTAGAGAGAGAGAGAGAGAGAGAGAGAGAGAGAGAGAGAGAGAGAGTGAGTGAGTGAGTGAGTGAGTGAGAATTGCGAGAGTGAGAGGTAGAGTGAGAGAGTGAGAATTACGAGAGCGATTCAGTGAGGCGGAGGAGAGGGGAAAGCGACAGATGCTATTCGCAACCAGCGAGGAATTCATTAAACTATCAACATCCAAACGCTTACCGGCACACACCGCAAAGGCACTCGATTACCACTAGTGCGGCTACCTCGTGCCTAAAAATCCCATCATAATGGCCATTACATCGAAGATGCCCCCGCGAATGGACCGGTAGATGTGTGTGTGTGTGGGGGGGGGGATTTCGGGGAGGAGAGCCAGGAGTTAAAAAAAAAAAAAAACTCGAGTGCACGTACGAAAAAGCCCATATCGAGAACTCGGGGCGCATACTCACAGGTGGCGTGGAGGAGGAGGCAGAGGAGCGCCGAGGAGAGCAGGAGCCGGTGCTGCGCGGGCCCCATAACTCTTGTGTCACGCGGTCCCCGAAAATCGAAGGTTGTGGTTAGCTGTTGACGCGCGGCCCGTCGGACCTGGACTACGCGCGCCGACCCTGGTTACGTCGCTTTTTCAGAGGGCCGCCGCGGGGCCTCGCCGCGGATCTGGAGGTGGAGCTGGTGGGGCAGGGAGGAGAAGGCGCTTTTTGTACGTGGATCCTCCTCCCACTCCGCTTTTCGCGCACGGGTAATTGGCTTCGAGGAGTATTTATTATTGGCCTCCGACGGCGCGTCTCTTTTTGTTCGGCGCATAAATAAGAGAGCGCTTTTTGGGCGCAAAGCCAGTGGTTTTCCCAGTCGTGGGCCTCATCGATAAGCCTGTCGAATTATGCGCGCCGATGCTCGCCGTTCTGACAAAAGGTGCCTCCCATCCCACCCTAACCGCGGCCTCACCCCACTTTTAAGAGGGAATAAGCGAGCCGACGACCCGGTGAAATTTTCTGTCTACTTGGGCTTCGTCGTGGCCCTGCCCCTCGCGATCATCCATTCCTATAAAGGATCCTTAAGGATTCTTGCCGCGAATGCTTTCACGGACTTTTATCGACAACGATTTATGCTGATGCATATTATTTTAATAGCGATAAATTTATATGGCTAATACGACCCGGACTTTTTCAAATGATATTTATCGCCGCCACTAAAATATCCTGCGGACATTCTCCACGATTCCGCGGCGAATATTTCTTTCGAAAGTGATAAATACCTGCACGCGGGGAAAAAAGGGAAAAAACTAATTCACTTCTTGTGTCTCTTTATTTATCAACGTTTAATCTAAATCTCGTCAGTCTCTCCTAACGTGAAACATTTATCTCCAATGGAGCAGGGGAGGTTCGTCGCCGTTTGTCCAGCCTTGCGACACGATAAAGCCTTTTTTTCATCTCTGTTGCGCATAGAACACGAGTTACGGGGACGGCATCTTACTTCTTGATAATGATAATGCGCTCTCAGAGATTGGGTGCGGGAAAAGGGGAAATCTGGCGAGCTCCGTGAACTTTGGATCTTGGATTATTAATCCGATGTAGAGACGGACAGGTGCTTTAATAGACTTAATAGAATTCTTCTGGACTTAAACCTTCTAATTTAAAGCCGCTTCGCTAGTATTACATAATCGCTAGTATTAAAAAAGTATTTAAATTTCACAATGTATTTATTCGATTGAAATAAAGAAAGAAAAAAAAAGAAGAGACTACTTTTAATTTTATTTAGCTTTTTCTCTTTTACGATGCTCTTAACGGCGTCTGCTGCTCCGTTGTATTCTCGATCACTCGATGATTCGACATTACGCGTGGGAAGGATTAGAAGCTATTATTTGTAAACATTGGAATAAATATTACCGTTAGTTATTCATAATTATAGCCCAAGGATAACCGATTTATCCTAAAATATTGATTAATCACTAAAGATTGATTTACGCTGTTATAATCAATATTTGCATCAAGCACAGCCACTCCTTCGTTTATCTGTTGTGCCTTGGTTATTGGTTACATATTGGTTACATTAGTAATTCTAGCAATACATGCTAGATTAATTTTAATTAAGGTGGATTAAAGGAATACAATAAGTATTGGAAACCTATATTAAATATAAATAAACGTACATTAATACTTATTGACATTTATTATAAATACGATTTGATTATCGAATGAGATTCCGATTACATTTCATAATTATTTTATTTTTCAGTTTTCGTGTCATCTTTTTTTTTGTTTTTTTTTTGTTTTTGGTTTTTTTTTTTTTAATAAAATTTTAAAGATAATTCACTTACGTTTACGCATACACAAATATTGCACGTTGTATTATAAAGATAATTAATTATTGCAATATTACACGTAGCACGTAAGAGATACTTATTACTCTCTATGTATGTATTAGTTTGTTTTAAGGTGACTTGGATATTTTAATTTTTTTGTTATTGCATGTGATTATCGGTTTATGATTGGAGATTGGAGACACGATTCAACGATTTTCATCTATTTACGTTTCAAGTATTTCAAGAAAAAAAAATGGAAGAATATATCGAACTTGTTCGTCCATCTAAATACGTCGCAATTGTGTGAGCAATATGTAAGCAATTTTTTTTTAATTCCCTAAGGGCATTGTTGTATTACAGTACTTGTGAAATATTTTTTAAACATGATCGTCTAATAAATTAAGCACACTTGTGTAATATAAAAATTTTCCCCTTAAAAAATGGGCCAATTTTAAAGAATCGATCCCTTAATATAATGAAATTAATAAGTCTGGTATATGCTTCCATCGGTATTTATAAACTATTTGTAATAATAAACTATTGGTTATTATTATTATTATTATTATTATTTATTTATTTATTTATTTTTTTGTTAACTATCTTAAATTGTATGGATTTTATTATAAATTTAGCTTTCTCTCTCTCTCTCTCTCTCTGTCTCTCCACCTCTAGCTCTCTCTACCTCTCTAATAATCCCATAGAATAATCAACGAAACGAGCAAACGAGAATAATTCATCTCGATTTTTTTGCATGGACAACCGATCGGTCCCTCGTATACCCATATTTCTATAAACGTTCCACATTCTACTATTTATTATTGTGCATTGCATTAAGTAAAGGGCTTCGACAATAAATACCGTGATTGTAATTAAAGTCATAAAGTTGCGATTAATCCATAAGCCCAGTTGTACGATTGATTTGGAAGTTTATCGCCTATTCATTACTAAATTCGAAAATTTACGTCTATTTACCATGAATACAATGACTTTCGATACTTGGGACGACAATGGCCGCACATGTGATAAGTCATGTGACGTAACGAGCCGCGTCTCAAGACCAAATTTCACATGTATAAATAATAAATGCAAGAGATTACAAAAGGCAGGAGATGTTTAATTGGTGTGGATTAATGTATGCAAACGCGCGCGTATCTTGCTCAATAGGAAGTAGGAAGATCAGCGTCGAGTGCTATAATAACGTAGAGAAGGAAAAAAGAAGATTGAGCGCCGTCGATTGACCCCGAGGTAACGATCTTAACACAGCGAGTCTGTTTATTCGTCGTAAGTAATAAATAAAAGATCTCGACCAGCCACTGCCTCGTGACGAAGCTCCCATCAATTTCCAAGAAATATGAGAAAATATGACATTGACAGGTGACGCTACGGTAAGTCCGATAAAAAGGAGATAAAAAGGAAAGGAAACAGAGTGGGCTACGAGGGTGGAGACGAGGCCGCGCGACGGCCAACAGGATATAGCTTTTTCACGCGATAATGTACAACGAAACTCACTTGGTCACTTTGATACTCGAATCCGACGAGTTTACATTCTTCTGGGGCATCGTTAAATTAAAACGGGCCTTCGTTATATCCTCCTCCTCCTCCCCCCCCCCCCCGTATCAGGAGTGGGTGGATGTCTCCTTACTCCCCGGGAAGGCTCACTCTTCATTCGTTTACGACCCGGCTCTGGAAGGCCAACGTCCATAAACGAGTCAAAGTCCCGCCTTGGCTCCTGATCCGCATTCCCGAATTCCTGATTCCGGAAAGATGGAACCGCCGGCTCAGCGAGGGAGGAGTAAAAAGAGAAAACAGAGATGTAGAGAGAGGGTGTTGTCACTGGCGTTGGCTCGTGTGAGTCATGGGGAGGTCTTGAGGTGTTGAGGAGGTGGAGAGTGGAGCGAGTATGATAATGGCTCGATTGAAGGAACGTCAAGCGGTCGTGGGATCGTGGTCGTGGTCCAGTGCGTATGATGAAGCGAATTTATCGGCATTAGTTGTTGCGCGTTTATTTTGATGGTGTTATTATGAAATGGGCTGGTGATAGCGTCATCGCTGAGATTGAGTTTGAACGATGAGGAGGGTAAGTGATGTGAGAATGGCCATGGCATTTTGATGAGGTGCGACTGCATTGTTGTATGTGGATAAGTGGGCCAAAGTACTGGATAAATGATGAGTACGAAAACATTGAGTGCAATGGCAGAGGATTACTTTTACAATATCAATCCCCTGGCTAAAAGGATAAGCGAGGATGTTGCAGCGACGAAGGATGCTTACGAGGGACTTTGGAATACATTGAGCTTGGAGGAGCGTAATCAAGCTCTAGATGAGACTATTATACAGCCAGAGGTGGCGCTTAAATATGCTTCTAAGCAGCTAGAGTCTTCCAAAGATTTTCCAGAATACTATCCAAAACTTAGACTACAAACGGGAATGAAATATATTATCGACGAAACTGGATCGGTAATTATTATTGGCTTTATTAATAATCCCTAGAAGCATTTCATCGAATGCTGCGTTGCCATTAGAGGGCAATTCCTTAATTATATATACTCGATAATCTTAATTTTCCAATCTCATCAATGATTCTGGACTTTAAATACTGTTTTTAGACTTTACGTTGGAAGGACGAACACTCTGCACCATTTTCCTTCATGACCCAGTCGCAAATGAATCTCGATTGCTTGGACCAAACAAACGATAAAAATAAGATTATGTTAAGCTATATTTCCAATACTTCGCATTATACAAATCCTTGTAGTTTAAGAACCACGGACGATTCGTTGGATGATAATTACAGTTCTCCTTCCAGTCACAGTTTTTATCAAACTGAAAATTATTCGGATACCTTGATTTCTACCGAGGAGTGTAGTACCATTCGTAGTAGCTGCGTGGATACAGAAACATCGGACGGCATGTTCGCTAAATCATTGAACAAAGATTCTCTGATAAAACTGCAAAACAACAGTTCCGAGGAGGATATAGAGAATTTGAGGTCTCGAAAGAATTTAAAGCAAGTTTTACAGAGTAGTGGCTCAGATAAGAGTCACCCAAATACGAATATGGACGAACATTTGAAATCCAGTGATATCGAATCAACTGCATTACTCGATACCCCAAACTCTTGCAGTAGTTATCAATCTTCGCAACTTAATCAAGATCCAGAGATTCCAAAAACAGGATTCGAATTTTTAGATAATTGGTAATATTTTTAATGATTTTAAAAGGTAGAACATAGCCTAAGTCATTCTACCTTATATATTTTGAAGCAACAGATTATGTTGAGACCAAACGATGCTTTACATTGAGCTCTTGCTTGAAATACCTTTTCTTTTTAATAATATCTACCAGATGCCTTCATTATACCAACAAATATGTTTAATCGACTTTACTATATTATATATATTTAAATAATTCAAACATATACCCAACGAAGTAGCAGGAATTAGCAGAACACGTAAATCCCAATTTGCTAATAATATATTACAAGAATAGGAATAGGAAATAGCAAATTAAATAGTAGTATAATGAAATAAAAAGTAGAAAATGTTTTTAATTTTTCATGTATATATATATATATATATATATATATATACGTGAGCCAAAAACATGATATAAGTAGGCTTAGAAAGTAATTTTAAAGTATTATGAGATTACCATGACTAGTTGGGTTTACATAAAAATGAAATAATAATCTATAAAATTACTTCAAATGATATATGTCTTCAGCGCATGCTATTATAATATAGAATGTCATATCCACTCAACGTTCAAAGATTTTTGAAAGTGTAATAAAATGACAAATCAATTAATAATATTTATATATATTTAATTTTCTTGAAAGACATTATTATTATTATTATTATTATTATTATTATTATTATTATTATTATTATTATTATTATTACCGTTAAAAAGAAATAGAGAAAATTCATTAAAAAGACTGCAATGTATCCGAAATATATTTAAGACTGTAACTATACAACTCGCTTGTATATGAACAAATGTATAAGTATAGTACAAATTTATAACTTGTAATAAACTTTATAAACACTTTGCTAACCATTTTCAAAAAGATAGGAATACAAATGTTCTTCTTGGATACGTTTATACTACCCATATTGTTATATTCATACATTTATACGAAATAAATTCTACTAAAAATGAATGAATAACTCGTGTATACTTATTTGACCTTTAGGTTTATTTAAAAAAACAAAAAAAACAAAAAAAACAAAACAAAAACAAAAAAAAACAAAAAACAAAAACAAAAAAAAAAACAGAAAAACATATTGTGAGTATCGAATTTAATTAAATGAAATATCGTTTATGTGATATTACCTACAAAGCACCTTAATCACACATACGAATACTTCATAAATGCTCGATGGATTAATTTCGTCGTCACGTACTCCTATGAAATATCAAGGAACATTTACAAAATTTTCCTTATTTTTTAAAACGATTGCTATTTTTTAACACAATTTTTACATACATTAATTGAAAGATAAAACAAATATATATTAAAATCTTTAAGAATCACAACTTCGATTTGAACAATGGGAACTAAAAATTCTCCGGAACTAAAATATACGTCCGTTGAAGTGTTTATATAAAATTTTGGGAAATGACGATTTGTAGTGTAACGAGACGGTTTTCGACCTTCTAAAACTGCCATCGTTTACATATTTATTTTATTGTGTTAGTGTTGGAGGCCATTTCGACTCATACGGTTGAAAATGTTGAAACATTTTCACGCGTCTGGATATTTTTTATTAAACTCTTGCGGAACTTTGGGTTCTTCATTGTTTTTTTTTTCTCTCATAGTACGGGCAGTGACGATAGTGCGTGTAAAATATGGCGTTATTATTATAAAAAATATAATGCAGCATTAATTAAGTAAGAATTCTTTTAAGTTTTAAACATTTTTGTGTATGGTGAGAATGTGTTGTACGTGCGTGCGTGTTTTTTTTGTTTATCATTTTTTTGAATCATTTGAATATTAACAGTCAACTAATACTGTTCAATAAGAATTTAAAAGATATTTGTCATAAAGTCATAATTTTTAACAACACGGATGAGAAAATATTTGTTATGTAAATTCAAAACAAAATTAATAAAGAGTGAATTGATTATTTATTAATTATTTTTTAATTTAGGTTCTTAGGCCGAGATATTTGAAAAATAAAAGTTCAGTTATTAGTTCGTTATTATGAATAAATTAGGAGATTAAAATTCTCATTGATAATTAAAAATCATTTTGTAATTGAATTGCGACTTGTACTTAACGATAATAGCAGACAAAAACATTATTTTTCGAATTATTTTTTAAAATTTTTAAATATAATTTCCTAGTTATCTGATTACTTTGAATATTTATGATTAACTTGAATAAGCGTCTAATATTTATATTCAAATATAATATTTGATAATTTCTTTAATTATATAAATATTATATTATATAGGGAATAGTACAATATAAACATACATAAGCTTACGTAATTATAAAAAAAAAAAAAAACTGCCAATATTTACGTATTATTATAAATATTGTAAATAATAGTGATGATGGAGCGTGATTAATAAAAAGCATTATATTTACAGAATTTTAATTTTATATTCTGAGAATTTCATTTTAATTGATTGACATTTAACCGACTAGTTAAAGATAACATATATTCTATGTTATTATTGTTTTTTCTTTTCTTTTGCTGAATTTACTAATCAAATTCACGGACTAATTTATTGTCCAGTTTTAATCATTAGTTTATAGTTATGGATTTACAAATATTATCGATTAATATTATTAAATAATTTTATATTTTAGTGGAGCAAAAAAAATTTTCTTTCCCTCTTAATTTCCGTCAATATGTTGGCAAAAATATGACAAAAGCAAATATGCATTAATAAAATTGATCTTTACCGTATTTGATCATTTGACTCATTACCTAACAACAATCTTTGATGGAATATTCTATTTGATACGTCAATTGATTTCTGCTTGAAGTTTATCATTTACTTGACATATTATTTAGTGAAACGGGAGCAAAATTAACCAAAAGAAGAAGAAACTCCGTTTATAATGGTTACAACGTTATCTACGCATTTATCGATAATAAATATTGCCATTTGGTATTACTTATATGTTGCGAGGTGAGCGAGGAGAGGAATAAAGTCGAATAATCGTATCTTATATTTTAATCTTTATTACAAATATAATACCTAGCAATCTTACAACATTAATGTTCTTCATTACGCACTTACAGCTTTTGTACACGATACGCTCTCACATGTACTCACTATTTACATGTGCAACAATTATAATAATTTACATGGGATAATGTGAGAAAGCGAATCATTAAAACGACTAATGGCTTATATTACGTATTTAAACGATCAGTCTGGCATTTCGAACATTGCTATCACTTATCAGTACAATGTGCGCGCGCGCGCGCGTTTGATTGTTTGTGTGCGTGCGTAAGTGGAAGAGATGGCATGGAGATTCGAAGGTACATAAATTATTTTTCACATTAAATTATCGTTCTAAGGCTATTATTATTCTATAAGAATATCAACAGACGCGACATTTCAATAATAACTACATAAATACATACGCAGAGGCGAAGGAGCGTCGAATTTGAATACTTTACAGGGACGCTCGAGTCCCCAATGATATTGAGTCTGCGTAACGAGTAAGGATTAAATGAGGCAAGGGAATAAAATTGCACGTCGGCAATTGGGCGAGGGATCAGAGCTCCAGGGCTTCGGCATCGACACCCTGATACAAGGTGCCAAATTCCAAGCTTACGGTCCAAATCCAATGGCCTGGAGATTTAGCCGCGATAGCTCAGACGTACTCCTCGGAGGGTTTGGAGTTGGCACTGTTGGCGAGCCTGAGGCCGGCGGGGACGCGGGTCGCGCCGTCAGGCAGCTCGGCGATATCGATGAAGACGCCCACGAGACTCTCGAAATTCGGTCCCCAATTAAGGAGGTAGTCCCAGCTGAGGGCGGTACTGGCCGCCGGGCACTCGCCGCTCGCGGGTCCGTAGAGGCCGCCCGCGTGACTCGAGACGTCGTCGTCCGAGGCGACGAGGGTGCTCAGCGAGCCCCGGAACGAGCGCTCGAAGCCATCGTAAGCGACCCCCGGTGTTTTGCTCGGCTGGGGGCTCGGCCCGGTCCCGGATGTCACTCCCTCACCGGACCTCTTGTCCCCGACGAGGGAGCCGCTATCGTACTCGATCTCCGAGCAGGTGAAGCTCTCGTCGGCGCTCTCGTCGCTCGGCTGAGAGTCGCCGCCGCCAACGCCTACGCCCCCAACGCCACCACCAACGCCGACACCACCGACCCCGACGCCGACGCCGACAACCCCGCCACCACCGACGCCCACGCCGACGCCGCCAACGACGACGCCGACGCCGACGCCGCCCACGCCGACACCGCCTACGCCGCGCTCGAGCCTCTCGACCGGCGGACTATGCCTACGACGTAGCCGCGGCTGCGCTTCGCTCGACGAGCTCACCGCGTCGAGGGTCGAGACGAGGCTCGAGGTACGGGGCCGGGCGTTCAGTCGCTCGACCTCCTCGGCGGTGAGGCCCCGCTGTACCGGATCGCCGGATGCCGGCTCGGGTCCAGCTCGCTGCAGGGCCTTACGACTGGCGGTCGAGCCCGAGAGTTGGCTCATAATCGGCGAGTTGAGGCTGCGCTCGCTGTTGGAGTTGAGGGCATCCTTGCCGACACCCCCGGAGGAGGAGGTCGTGGCGAGGAGGGCGCTCTGCAGGGGCTTGCCGCTTATGTCGTGGAGCGTGAGGATGCGGGGTTGTTGAGCCGATAGCTCGCTGCTCGGCGAGAGCCTCGCGAGGGGCGTGCTCTGGAGGAGTTTGGGGGCGGCGGGAGCGGGCTGACCGTGGGGCGGGCCCGGTGCCGCCCGCGGCGGAAAGGCGGTCGCGTGCTTGTGACGGCCGGCGTAGCCGGCGACCGGGGGAGGGCTCGCCCGGTGATACTTGCGCGCCCCGTCCCGGTAGCCCTTGTAGTGGTAAACGACGTCGATGTCGCTCGGGGCGATCGAGCTCGCGTTCTCAAGGTCGTAGTGCTCCGGGAGCTCGGGCTCGCGGCCGCCGCGTTCGCGCTCCCGTTCGCGCTCCCGCTCTCGCTCCCGCTCGCGTTCCCGCTCCCGTTCTCGTTCTCGCTCCCGCTCGCGGGCCAGCGGCTGCTCGTCTCGAGTGGCAGGCGACCGGCTGAGTTCGCGCTCGATTATGTCGGGCCGCTGGGGCCGCAGCTCGGGCCCCGGAGTCTCGCGCTCCTTGCACTTCTTGGCGACGAGCTCCGAGCCGAGGTGGCCGAGGGCGCGCAACTCGGGCCCGTCGGGTATGTAGGTGTTCTCGTGGCGGGCGACGTGGGCGTCGGTCGGGGCGCCAACGAGGCCGTTGCCGAGACTACCCGTGAGGACGGCGCCAGCGCCCTTGCCGAGCACCGTGCCGGCCGACTTGTCCTTACTCTGGCGTCGCAGCCGGAATATGACGAAGCTGGCGAGGATGGCGACGAGTAGTATTATGAAGAAGACGATGACGAGGGTGACGCCGACGCTGAGGGGATCGGCTGCGGTGGCAGCGGCAACGCCGATGGGACCTCGGCAGCCGAGGTGCACCTTGCCGTGGTGGACGACCTCGCGGAATATCGAGCCGGAGCCGTTGAACGGCTGGGACTCGTCGTTAACGGTGAAGTTGGCCAGGCAGCCCTCGAAGTGCTTGGGTAGGCCGTCGCGGGCCAGGTAAAGGTCACGCCTGACACCGCCGATGGCGAGCAGCGTGAGGTAGGGATCGAGGAAGTCGTGGACGCCGGCGGAGTCGAGCTCGTCGCCGGTGGCCGCGCCGTCGACGTAGAGCCTCAGTCCGCGGGCGTGCGCGTGCAGTGTGAGATTGTGCCAGCGTCCGTCGGCGAGACTCGCCGCCTCGTGACTACCGGCCGTGTGGACAGGTGATGTCAGGAGCGAGGAGTAACTGATTCGGCCCTCGCGCAATTCCACCGATGTAAAGTGCTCGTTGCTGGCTGCGTAAATGAGCAGGCCGTTCGGCTTCACGGTGCGGAACATCAGGTGGAGGCTCTTGGCGGGACTCGAGCTCGTCAGGGGCGCGAGACTCCTCCTCTCCTTGTTACGACGTAACGTGGATCCGGTATGCCAGAGAGTCGAGCCTCCGTAAAGATTCTCCAGCAGTTGCATCCTTCTGTGCTTTTCGGAGATCTAAAGGTGGCGAGGGAGAGTCAAGGATCATTCATTAGAAGCTGATATATATCGGGACCTCGTCATTGTATCGAGATACAACGTGGCCCGTTGTTGGGCCATCTTAGGGGTGAAATAATGGGAATTAGAAGCGGTTGATGTATGTTACCTTATACTCGACGTAGCCACCCTCGCTAAGGCTGACGGACTCGAAAGCTCCCTGGCAGTTGGGTGCGGAGATTTTGTCACATTGGCAGAGTGGCTCGCTCCATTTGTCGTGGCAGATGCTGTGGCCGCAAGCGTTGCCGCGTTGGGCTAGGCGCGAGCAGGGCCCGGCCTCGGATCTCGGGCAGGTGGGCCTGATGCCGCGGGAGGACAGCGGACTCGTGAGATTGAGGGCGCGGCCGTTTAAGGAGACCGAGTGCACGCAGCCGACGAGATCGTCCGAGTGTATCTGTCCGGGCCTCTCAAGGACGGGATCGGCATTTATCAGGCCGCCGAGCAGTAGTGGATTATTGTTGAAGTTGAGCGTTCTGTAAGGGGGTGAAAGGCATTTTGGTTTTCGTGGATGAAGAGAGTAGGACGTCGGTCGTGTAAGCTCGGTGAAGGGGTGGGTAGCAATGCATATTTTACGTGGGAGACATTAAAGTGCCTTTTTTTAAGTTAAGCTCGAGTAAATGGTGAAGTGTGCGCGCGCTGGGGGCACTTACCCAATGGGCCCGACGTCGTCGACGTAGCAACTACCGTCGCCGGGACGACAGTCGTCGCACATGTCGCCGTACTCCTTGCATTTGGAAATACTGAGCGAGACGACACGTCCGTTCCTCGTAGCCGTCACCTTGCGCCAGTTACCATCGGCCAGTGACCTTTCGGATTTGATCGTGAGGGAGATGATGGCGCTTCGCGCACCCCCGCACGAAAACACAAGCTGTCCCTCGATGAGCTCCAGTACAACGAAGTCCGAGCGGCCGCTGCTCTGAGGCCCGTAATTGTAGAGCAGGAGGGCATTCGGTTTCGTCGTGGCGAACACAATGGTAATGTCGTTGGTGTTGGAATCGAGGGCGGGGAACGTCATATAGGAGAGCTCGTCGAAGCCGAACGTCGAACGCTCGCAGTGGCGCCCGTAGCGACCGTCCGGGCAACTGCAGCGGTACCTACGACAAGAGGTTCGTCCCTTCGTTATTGCCAAGGATGAAACGTCAGAGCGGATCGAGTTTCTTAATGAGGCGGTTGGTCGAGACAATGGGATCGTTGGCAAGGTTTAATGGGGGTGAATAGGTAGTAGACGAGGTAGTGGACTAACCCAGGTATTTCCCCGACGCAGAGTCCACCGTGGAGGCAGGGATTGGGCCTGCAGGAGTTGGTGAGCACCTCGCAGTGATTGCCGCGATAACCGGCCCGACAGAGGCAGAAGAAGCTCGATCCATCGGGGCTCTCCTTACAGGATCCCCCGTTTCTGCAGGGGTTGCTAGCACACGCGTCACCGCGTTCCAGTTCGCACAATTTGCCCTCCCGATCACCGGGGCAAGTGCAATGAAAGTCGAAGCCAATGCGTCGGCACTGTCCAGCCTGGAACAAACATTAACGCAATTAAAGGGTTGAAATGGCTGGGGTTTGCGGCTAAGTAACGTCAATAGTGATCGATGGCTGATAGGCTGATGGCTGGGAAATTAATGGTCAATGACTTACGGAGTGGCAAGGATTCGGTGAGCAGGGATCTTGCTTCTTTTCGCATCTTTCCCCGGTGAATCCGTCGCGGCATTTGCACGTCATTTCGTGCACAATTTCCGGCGACGTGAGAACGAGCGTCGGACTGTCGATTATCCGGGCGGTCTCGTGCACGGCAATCTGATCGCTGCAAAAGCCTCCGTTCTCGCAGGCATCCGTCTTACATGGCGTATAACCGATCGTGATGTAAGATCCCTCCAGAAGCGTCTCCATTAGCCTGCGCTTCCTCAGCAGGAGCTCCTTCACTTCGCTTTTCGTGCGATAACCTGCGGGGCAAAGTTGCGCTTGTAATGCTTGGTCCCCCCATTGGGACGAGTCGATGCTAAGAGAGACAAGGGACAAGTATCGAGGCGTTACGCTACCTTGGGACGACGACGATGATATAGCTACGTAAACTTCGATGTCCCCGTCTTTCTCGTCGATGCTGTATATGCTTAATGTATCGCCGACGTCCAATTTCTCTTGAAGTAGCTCCAAAAGCGCTCTATAATGATTGCTTAAAAAGTCGGTGGCTTTTATTCGCGATATCCGTATCGTTACGCTATTCTCCACCGTTGTGTTTGAGAACATAAGGAACTCCACGGTAACCTTCGATACTACGTCCGGATGCCTACCGTCATTTCCGGACACGCTCAACGAATAGCCAATACCTATGTGAGAAAGGCAAATGATGATAAAGCGTTGATAATGATATGGTTGGGCAAGGGGAAGGATAAATGTCGCCCGTAGTCGACCGATCGATCTCCGATGAAAGTCCCTATAGAGTACGAAGCCTTATTTATTTGAGAGGCTTTTTGTTGTTTGAAAGGCTCGCGCCAATACTACAATTAATAACTTATTTTTCATGTAAAATCGATTCGGGCGTACCGACATAAACGACCGGCTCCACTTGAAATTGCAAAGCTTATGTTTATGAATGTCCGTTTCGTTAAGGCTATGAAATTAAACGATCATCGGGACAATCGGAAAATTATGCAAAACGCCGAATTAGATCCGAAAAATCGGGAGAAAGGAGGAGAGAACGGTGACGATAAATCAAAAGGGGGATGAGACTCGTTCTCTCCCGTACCACGGGCCCGTCATCCCCCGCCAGCGTCGCCACCCCCGCCCTCCCTTTTAATAACGGACACGCGCGCCATCCATCCGATACAATGCGAAGCCCGCGTGTTCGCTCCCCTTCCCCCGCCGCACACACACACACACGCACGCACGCACGCACGCACGCACGCACGCAACAACGCGCGCCTCGCGCTCTATCACCCCCCCCCCGCCAGCGCCCAAAATACACCAATCCATCAATAATCCCCCTTCTCGCCCCGCCAAATCACCCGCCCTGTTCCCTTCCCCGCGATTGCGCACGCGAATGAATTATTAATAACGCGATCTCGCGCGCAATTTTCGTCCGCAGGATTTATGGCCGTGATCACGAACCTGGCGTGATTTTGCCGGCATGCAAATTGCACGCGACAGGGATGCTCAGCGCGCCGGTGGAGCCCCCGAGGCCCTGGAGGATCTTGCAGGTGTAGTCGCCGCTGGTGTCGGGATCGTTCGGATGGACGTCCGCTATTTTGCCAAGGGGCGACTGTCCGTTGAAGGAGTGCACGGTCACGTGCACCGAGCGCGGACTGGATGGATTGTCGTTCTGGTCGAGAACGTGGATGGTGACCGCGTGCTCGCTGCTCAACCTGGGTGTGCCCGAGTCCTCCACCTCGATCTGCAATCACCGGTTACAATACTATTAGGATTTGGTTACTACTCTCGACGATGGTGATAAGGATTATAGCTCGATAAGACCGTGATTATTCAGAGGCTACGGAAGTGGTAGTTATCGAGGACAATGTTAAGGAGGCTCCGAGCGACTTGTCCTGTCGGAGATTGTTGTTCGTTAAGTATATACTCTTGAGCGAAACATGAAAATGGCATTTCTCATTCATATTCATAAGATATGAGGTGAATTTCGATCGCACGGTACTTCCGATCGTGGCCACGTTAAAATAGATTTTAGGTGAGTACGAAAGGACCTTTAATTCTTTTAATATACGTCGTGATTTTATATAATGTGAGAATTGAGGATGGAATTTTATTGGCCATCGTGGGACAAAATCCTCAATATTGGATAATTTGGCAAACTTGTATATTATGCCGTTTTTATCGATCTTACATTGCCTCGTTATTCAGATAAAACGGCATCTGTCGAATAATCCACAACAAATTACACGTTAAAGCAGTCGATTATGGATGTAAATTTATCAGCCTTAAGAGAGAAATGGTGAGAGAGAGAGAGAGAGAGAGAAAGGGTGAGAGAAAGAGAGAGAGAGAGAGAGAGAGAGAGAGAGAGAGAGAGAGGAATCGACGTAGTCTTTCATCGATAATCTCGATTTTATATGCATTTTGTGTAACGTAACTTTGGATAGTTTGCCAATATTGATTGTCGTAACATTGATGCGAGCATTGTTTATTAATTGGTAGTAAGGCTTACGAAAGAATATTAATTAATGCTAGCGGTAGCGAGATAATATTTCAAAAGATAAATACCGGCAAAAATAATTAAAGTGCAAGATCATAATTTTGCAAAGCGCAGTTTAATTATCGTCGCTAATTGAATGCAAATTTATTGAAAGAGAGGAGAGAGGATTAAAATGGGTGACAGTTAAAAAGAGCGAATGTAGAGGAGCCGTTAAATACTTTGGAGGAGGAGGGCAGATTTATAGAATTAATCAATGAATTAATTCACTCGACGTTAAATGTAATATCGCCCTAAATTCCGCGTCTAATAAAGCAAATTGTGCAGGTTTATTTTCAAAGGCCGATGCTCGTAATGTTAGGGAGGCCTTTCTCATTGGCTCGTTGTTGCTCAAAGCCCTTACGAAGATGCTCTTCCCTATTAAACCAATGGTGGTACCAATTTACCAATGGTAAATTGTTCGAGATCGTTTGCGAAGCGTCATGCTGCCAGCCACACTTACCAAAAGATCCAAGTGCGATGCTATTTCCCTATCTAAGCTCCGCGTTGTCTTTAAAATACCCAAATGCTTCTCCAAACTGACTAGATCCATCTGTTTTCCACCGATTATCCGGTAGGAGAATGGAGCTCCATTTGGCGGCAGATCTAAGTCCGTGGCGCTTAACGTCATGATACTCGTACCCGCGGGCTCGTTCTCGCTTACGTAGCCGCTAAGCTCCGCCGAGTCGAAAATCGGCCCGTTGTCGTTCACGTCCAATAGATCGATCTTGACGGAGGCGGTGCCGGTTTGCGGCGGACTACCGGTATCGATTGCCCCGATTATAAGCTCGTAACTCGGCACCGTCTCCCGATCCAGCAGTTTGGCCGTTTCGACGTCCCCGGACTGGGGATCGATTTTAAAAGCTTGGCCGACGTTCCCCCCGATGATCGAGTAGGAGAACTGATTATTTTGTGGCCGGACATCTTTGTCGATGGCTCGGACGGTGAGGACTCGGCTTCCGAGGTTTCCGCCCTCGGAAACCGTGGCTTCGTACAGGTTTTGCAGGAATTCCGGAGGATCGTTGCCGTCTTGAATCGAAATGATGACTTGGGCCTCGTCGGTGTCATTGCCCCGAATACCACCGGCATTCTTCGTCATGACTGTTAGAATGGCCCGATTTTGCGTTTCACGATCCAATCTAAAACGAAGGAAACGAAAAGAAAAAAATATAAAAATAAACAATCAATAAATCAATGAGATAGATAGATAGATAGATAGATAGATAGATAGATAGAGAGAGAGAGAGAGAGAGAGAGAGAGATGTACTATCGTACGCTAGTAAAACTTTCAAAACTAGACTTTTTTAGTTCAAATGGTAGGATGATTGAACGAGGGCTAAAATTGGTATTGGTAATCGTCATCATAGACTCGACATAATTTCTTTTCAAAAACAATGAGAAAAACAAAAACAGAAGCAATCGTTTCGTAATTGTATTTGCGATTAAAAATTATTTTACTCAATATTGACCGTATTTTTTGTAATCAATTTTTTCTTCCTCCTCCTCCTCTTCTTCTTCATCTTCTTCTTCTTCATCATCATCATCATCATCATCATCATCATCATCATCATCATCATCATCATCATCATCATCATCATCATCATCATCATCATCATCATCATCATCATCATCATCATCATCATCATCATCATCATCATCATCATCATCATCATCACCATCTTCTTCTTCTTCTTCTTCTTCTTCTTATTATTATTATTATTATTATTATTATTATTATTATTATTATTATTATTATTCATATACACACCGGTTTTACAATATAATTTTGAGCAATACTATTAAGGACATCGCATTAAATCGATACTTTATCCTATTAATAATAGCCGAATGGCATTTTACATACCTTCTCGATACACTGAGTATTCCAGTCTCGGGCCCAATAGAAAATCCTCGATCGTTCGAGGAACCGACGAATAGATAGAACACCTTTCCATCGGTACCCGCGTCCTGATCCATAGCTTGAACAACACCCACGGATGCTCCCACCTCGGCACTCTCCGAGACATCCATGTGAAAGACCGGCTGAATGAATTTCGGATAGAATTCATTGATACCCGTAATGCGTACCAACACCGTGGTGAAACCGATCATTTGTGGATTGGCGTCCGGATTGGCGGCAACGATGTCCAATGTATACTCGTTGGCCTCTTCGTAATCGAAGCTCAACCTCGATGTAATAATTCCAGTATCCCGCTCAATTTGGAAATAATCTTTTCCACTTCCACCGGTAATGCGATATTGAATGATGGCGTATTTCGGGGAATCGATGTCCGTAGCGCGCACTGCGAACACAAAGTGCCGGGGCGGCAAATTCTCCGATAAATAAGCTTCGTAGAGGCTTTGATTGAACACTGGTGGATTGTCATTGATGTCGGAGACGTTAACGGTTAATGTAGCAATAGCGCGCCTCGACTCGAATCCCAAGTCTTGGGCAGTGATGTTCAATCTGTACTCTTGAATGGTATCGTAGTCGAGAGGCTCGAGGATTGTGATCGCCCCAGTGAGAGGATTAATCGAGAACTCTTGGCGCTCGTTGCCCGCGGAAATCTCGTAGTTGACCATTCCGTTCGGGCCATCGTCCGAGTCGACGGCATTGACCGTGAGGATGGTGGTGTTGACGGGCTCGTTTTCCGGAACCCGAACTTGGTAGCTCACCGCGGCGAATGCGGGCGCGTGACGATTCTCACCGGTAATTACCAGCGTGACCCAGGCCTCGTCACTCTGAGGAGGGACGCCCTTATCGGCAGCTTTCACTTTGATCGAGCAGACCGTGCCAATCTTGAAGCTGCCGAGGCTCTTCCTCACGTAAATCCAGCCCATTTTCGGCTCGACGTAGAAGTACTCGCTGCCGTTACCAGACACCACGGTATACTCGATTTCAGCATTGACGCCAAAGTCTTCGCTGTCGTAAGCAACGACCTGGGCGATTTTCTTATTAATCGGGTGTCCCTCCGGCACCGGGGACAGATACGATCTTTGCTCGAATTTCGGCGCATGATTGTTCGCGTCGACGATGCTCACGTAAACGAGGGTTTTCGTGGATAGAGGTGGCTTGCCGTTATCCGTGGCCAGTACGTAGAGGGAATAAATATTCTCGGGCGACATTGGCCGTTTGGTGTGCTTGTATCGTAAGGGACGTTTGCTGAATAGATCGCCGGTCGCTGGATCGACCGTAAATAAGTCCGATGGCTGAAGGAGACTGTAAGAAATTACGGAATTCGGGCCCTGCTTGTCGCGATCGACGGCTACGACTTGCCCGACCTGGGCCATTCTATGCTGAAGCTCCGGGAAGTAAAAGTGATAGGATTCTTCCTCGAACTCGGGTGGATTGTCATTTTGGTCTTGGATCGTGATTGTAAGTGGAGTTTCGACGCCCCAAGCTCCATCGGCTGCCGAAACCTTTAATAAATACTCGTCTTGAAGCTCGCGGTCGAGGTGCCCGGCCACGGTGACGTTGCCGCTCAGTGCGTCGATGGCGAACTTATTGCTGGGATTGTCGGTGAAGCTGTAAGTGACGTTGGCATTTTGCTCGATATCCAGGTCGCTGCTCGTGATTCGTATGACGAAGGTGCCGATCTCGGAGTTCTCGGTGACATTAACGCTAAACAGTCGGGTAAATCTTGGCGGATTGTCATTCTTATCGAGGATGGTAACGAGGATAGTCGCACTGCCGGTCAAACGGGGAAAACCACGATCTCGCGCTTCCACGATCAGTTCGTAGGCAGACACCTGCAAACCAATAAATCCAGGATATATTATAATATTGGGATAGCTTGTTAAATACGTTAAATACAACGTCATCTTTTAATCTTCTCTCGAGCCTCATTGGTAAGCTCGTGGCGAGGGTGATTAAAAAGATTTACCTCTTCCCTATCCAATTTCGCGTTCGTATTGACTTGGCCGGACGATTCGTCGATAACGAAGACCTCGTCAAAATCATCCCTTAGGTGATACGTCACTTCCCCGTTCATCTCCGAATCCGCATCTTTGGCTGAAACTCTTGTGACGAGTAGGGGTGGATACTCCTCCTCGGGCACGGATGCATTATAAATGGACGAGTCGATTACGGGGACATTGTCGTTGGCGTCCGTTACATTAACGAGAATCTGCATGACGCTCCTCAGCGAAGGATTTCCCGAATCCATCACTTCGATCCAGGCTTCAAAGTTCGGCGCCGTCTCGTAATCAAATCCAGATGCGATAATAACCTTAAATAACATTAATGGCTAAGATTTAGTCAGATTACAGATTACAAACGTGACTCGAGCGGACTAGAGGCGCAGTCCCGAACGAGGGCAAATCAATTTAAACGGGATCGATATAATTGTTATTGTTTACGCCCGCCTAGAAATCATATTATTTCTGTCTGCCACATCGAACAATAAGGCTATTAAATTGACGGTTAAGCGAATTATGCAATAGGAGAGGGATAATTGCTAATTTCCCGTATAAAATCCAGTTATCCACGAGCGTCGATGATAATGGCCTCGGCGATAAAGCAATCGAGAGGCTAAAATATCGCGCACTAGCCATTGATTTTCATTTTTCACGTTCAATATTATCTCGTCGCATTAATCGGCGAGCCGAGCGCCAAATGCCTCACCTCCCCGGTATGTGGCTCGACCCTCAATGCCTCCCCGACGTTTCCGCCGGCCATGCCGAAGACCAAATCGCTGGCTGGTCCGTCCTTCGGAGTGGTCGCGCTCAGCGTCGTCACGACTTTGCCCTCAGGCGCGTCCTCCTTCAGCGTAAATCTCGTTGCTGTCGTGGGCATGAAGGTGGGAAACAGCTGGCGTTCCCAGAGGTGGACCACGAGATCGGCGGAGGTGGTGCGGGGCTCGGCGCCGCAGTCCGATGCTTCGATCTGGAGTTGATAGGTGCTCTGGCCGCCGGCGAGGAGCTTCCCGTTGGCGCGTACGACCCCGGTCGTTGGGTCGACGATGAAGCGCAACGAGTCCTTGCCGTGGAGACGATAGGTGATTCGCGAATTCTCGTTCTCGTCGTCGTCCACGGCCTTTGCGCCGAACACGAAGTCACCTGCGTTTTAAATGGACAAGCGTGCGATTGAGATTTAAGGCCATTAAATCAAATTAAAGCAGATTGGAGTCGATCGGTCGGTCGATACGTTTTCCTGACTTTTTACGGCCAACCTCGTACGCAAGATAATGGATAATTAGGGTGAATCGGGGGGGGGGGGGCAAGCATGTGGGGCATTTTCTCAGCGGCGGTTGTCCGGGCTCCGGGTGGCTTTTGACAGCTTAGGGCAAGGCATACAGTTACTTTTTAAAGATATATCGCTTTGATAAACAAAGGAAAACAAAAATTCAGCGCTACGTAAGATAAAGTCGACTAATTCTTTCTTTTTTTGATAATTTCGTTTCTCTTTTCTTTACTTTTTTATTCCTTTTTTTTTACTTCTTTTGCTTTTTTTGCTTTATTTGCTTTTTTATTTTACTTTTCATTGCTGGGAAAGCACGGCGGCGAGATCGATAAATTATTTAATATTATTCTAAAAATATTCCTTATTTAATGTTTATGATTAATGAAACTGATATATAATATCGTAGCGCTTATGAACCATAATTTAAAATAAGTATATAATTTTACAACATAATTGACAATGTCTTCATTTACCCTGCAGGATATCAGAAATGCAGACACTGGATTTAAATAAAATTCTAATATATAAGAAAATTACGCTGATAATCCGTGCCCATTTTACGCAGAGGACGTATTGAATTTAGCAATTTAATTATTTTCGAATAAAATGTATAGAATGTCGGGTAAAAAAAAACAAAGAACAGAAAAGAGAGAGAGAGAATGTTATATATATATATATATATATATATATATATATATATATAAGACTAGCGTACGCTATATCTTATAAATATGGATGTTATTGATTTTATCATCGATCGAAATTAATAATAACTATAACGTAATTGTTAACAATTACTTGATAACGATAAATCCTTGTTGAAGACGTGAAAGTATTTAATTTTTGTAGCTTTTACGAATCGAGTTGCACGCAATGGCCAATGGACATTTGGCCTCTATTGTATTACATATTCATAATATCCAAGTAGTTGGCAAAAAATTTAATGAAACATCTCGAATGTACGTTGACGACTTAATTCTCTGCCGGGCTCATCGCAGCCCATCCCCGACGAATTGTCTTTGCAATTAATTAATAAAAATTACAGATCGACTCAGCGCCGATCAGTCCGAACGCAAGCCGTAACAAAGATACCTTCGCGAACTTCCTTTAATGCCGAACGAGCGGCCGATTGACGAGGATTCCTAATCACAGCTTCGAAGAAAGTCAATTCGGCAATTTGCTCTTTTCGATAGTTGGATCGTTATCGCGTCGCCTTAGCTGAAAACGGCTGTATCCCCACTTCCCTCCCCGGATAACGATAATTATGATAAGGTCGAGGTCGTACCTTTGGCTGTCGAGTCGGGAACGTAGGCTGTGTATCTGGGACTGGAGAATCTCGGGGCGTTGTCGTTCAAGTCGCTGATCGATATCGTTAGATTGACAGCGGAGGCACGCGGCTCCGTCGGGCTCGAGTCTTGGGCGACCAGGGTCAAGTGGTAGACGGCCGTCTGCTCGCGGTCGAGCCGCTCCAGGGTGACGATTTGGCCGGTGTTGGAGTTCACGTGGAACTTTTCCGCTTTGTCGCCGAGGAGGCTGTATCTGCACGTGATAAAATGGCGATTTATTGGTGGAACGCGACTTGAGGCGGTAAGTGGGGGGGGGGGGGGGGGGGGGGGGGGGGTT